AATAATTTGGATCCATTTTATTTAGTTGGTTCTCATCAGCTGCGTACAACCTGAATTCATTAATAAATTTAAAAAAGTGTGCCATTTTAACAAACTTTTGTCCATTAGCAAGCATATTGTCAGAGCGTCATAGTGAAATAAGGCGTTGCGATCTACAAGATGTCTAAAGTGTTACGACATATATATATCTTGTTAGAGAGAAGTTACATGAAAAAATTAGTTAATAGTTGTGTTGTTAGGGTGGTAACAAAAGACAATTAGCAATAGTTACGTAATTAGATAAAAGAAGATCAAAATTTTAAAATTACGGTGCACTTGAGGCCAGGTGAGAAGTTATTATTATTATTTCCTTTAGTTCCTAGAGGAACATAGGGCTTCAGCCATGCGTCTCCATTGCATTCGGTTCTCTGCTAGAGTCTTCACCTGGCTCCAGGTCTGCTCACATGCTTTCATCTCTTCTTCGCATGATCTCCTCCAGGTCACTCTTGCACTGACGACCAACTCGCCGCTTCCCTTTCGGGTTCCACTCGAGGGCTTGTCTAGTGATGTCACTTGATGGTTTCCTCAGAGTGTGGCCAATCCATCTCCATTTCTTCCTGCCTATTTGTTGCACAATCGGTTCCTGGTTGGTTCGCTCCCAGAGATCTTTGTTGCTGATCCTTTCCGGCCATCTGATCTTGAGTATTGAGCGAAGACATCTGTTAATGAAGGTCTGTAGCTTGTTTGAGGTGCTCTTTGTGACACGCCAAGTCTCTGATCCGTATAGTAGCACTGACTTCACATTGGAGTTGAAAATCCCGATCTTATTTTTGACGCTGAATGATGTTGACCTCCACACAGACTTGAGAGTAATGAAAGCTTGTCTTGCTTTTCCGATTCTTGCTTCGATATCCTCGTCAGTTCCGTCCACTTGTAGTTGAAACGATGCCTCCCAGGTAGATAAAAGAGGTCTTTTCTTTCAGGTTCCTTCGATTTATGGTGATTGTTGTCTGTTGTTGTTGCTGTTGGTGGTGTTTCCCAGAAATCTTCATTATCTTTGTTTTCTCTATGTTCACCTGAAGTCCTATCTTTGATGCTTCTTCTGCCACCTTTTTGCTTTTCACTTGCATATCTTCCAGTTTGTGGGAAATCAGACATATATCATCGGCGGAGTCTAGATCCTCCAAGTTTTTTGTGTGAGTCCATTTTATGCCTGTTTCCTCATTGCCCACTGTTTGTCGCATTATCCCATCTACTGCAATCAGGTAAATCATTGGCGATAGTTGGCAGGCAGCTTGTCTTACTCCTGTCTTCACTTCGAAGGATTCCGTGAGCTTCCCGTTGTGGATTACTCGGCATGCAGCGTTGTCATACAACTGTTGGATGAGATGTATAATTGTCGGTGGCACGCCGTTGTAGCGAAGTAGTTTCCAAATCACCTCTCGATCGACGCTGTCAAAGGCCTGTTCAAAGTCGATAAAGTTGAGATAGAGAGGTGACTGCCATCCTAGGCTTTGTTCAATGATGATCCGTAGTGTGGCGATTTGATCAATACATGACTTGTTTCTCCTGAATCCAGCTTGTTCTGGTCGAAGTTTTTCATCCAGGGCTTGTTTGATCCTTTCCAGGATGATGCGGCTTAGTATTTTGCTTGGGATGGACAGGTGAGAAGTTGGTGATGTAATACAGTGAGCAGAACTCAGAAGATCAAGAAAAATTATCTCTTAAGAGAGTCAAACGAAACATAAAAGAGGGGTGGAGTGTAAAGATAAGTTAACAAAATTAGAAAACAAAGAGTTAATAAGAAGTGAGTTACCAGGGTAATTGAAGTCCAACAACGGATTCTTTTTAAACGCATAAGTCAGGCTTCAATCGTTTTATTGCTATAACTTCAGCAAACTTGAGAAAACTTCAGTTACTTTGTCTGTTAATTATTTTGAATGATTCCAGCACATCTACTCGGTGTCCTGTGTCAATCAGGTGTTTGGCGATTGAAGAGCTTAAATAATTCGGTCCCTTTAACTGGAGGCTCCTTGGAACATAATCGCAGAATCTGACGTAGGCCCTCCTCTCTGTTCTTCCAGTGTAACTGCTCCTGCAGATACATGTGAATTGGTATGCACAGCTGGAGGTAACATGTGAGGGGTACTTGTTAATCTTTGACTGCACCAGTGAAGAGGTTGTTCGGGATAGAGAGACTAATAACGCTGCACTTATTCTTTTATTTATCATTCTCATAATGTCATCGCCCTTGTAGTCGAGTTTGATGAAAATACGCTTCTTACTGACTGTAGCAGTATCAAGCTTCTTGAGTTCATTCTTGCCATATTTGTTAATGAAACCTTATGGGTAACCATTTTCTTTCAAACATTTTTCAAAAAAAAAACATTAGTTCACTGTCTAGTTTTGTTGGTGAACATATTCTCTTCGCTCTAGAGAAAAGCGTTTTCACCAGCGTTCGTTTATATCTCACCGGGCAGAAACTGTTGAAATTCAAGTAAAGAAACTTCTCTCTACCAAGATATATATATATGTATATGTATATGTCGTGACACTTTAGACACCCTGTTTATCTCACTGCCTTATTTTACTATGACGCTCTGACACTATGCTTGCTAATGAACAAAGGTTTCAGGATTTTCATCATGAGCTGACATTAGTTAGAGAACCATTCGAAAACCAGCTGGGAGTACTGGACAGCTGTCTCGTCAGTCTAGTTTGGGACTCTGCTTCAGCAGTACGCGCCCACCGCAGGGGTTCGAACCCAGGACCTTCTGGTTACAAGGCGAGCTCGTAGACCATTAAGCCACTGGGACCCGATCCAATGGTCCATGAATTCTTACTTCTGCCAATTCACGACAATAGTCCCAAACTAGGGCGAAACAGCTGTCCAGTACTCCCAGGTTTTCCAATGGTTCTCTAACTAATGTCGGCTCATGATGAAAATCCTGTAACCAATCAAATCCCTACAAACCAACACTTGAAGAACAAAGGTTTGTTAAAGTTGTACACTTTCTATTTTTAATAAAACAAAAATTCAGGTTGTACGCAGATGATGAGAACCAACGAAATAAAATGGATCCAGATTATTCAGCGCCAATGTTTCTTCTTTCTTTGTTCAAATTTACGTAGAAGAATAGAGCAAAAGTGGTTCAAAAGCTTTTGACGGTTGATTTTTCATAATTAGATAGATAACGATAAACTAACTATGCGGATCAGTCAATTCTTGATTTTCCAAAAAATTACAATAATAATAATGAACTTTTATTTATTCTACAAAGCGAATATCACCCATCTGTCATGTTTATTCTGAGATGACCTCAACGTTATATTTACACGTAGTAATGCATAAATGAGTGTTTGTGAGTGTGTTGACGTGTTTGTGTGTGTGTGTTCATGGACTTTAATGTGACTTTTAAACAATATTATTGGACCCTGGATTTTACTGTTAACATACCATGATGTAAACGCGTTATTCACTACTAATGTGCCTTTGCTCAAAACAGTTGACATTTTGTGTGATTACATTTCCACACACACAATTTTTTCATCCCGTTCCCTATATCTTATTTAAGGGATTTATTACTTCTATGTAATAAAAATGTTAGGTTTACATTTGAAGGTGATTGTTTTCGCCAAGTTGATGGTTTTGCTATGAGAAGTCCGTTAGGGCCCCTTTTAGCAGATATTTATATATCGTACATTGAGAATTTATCGGAGGATTTAATCGGAAAGTTCAGAATAGTATATCACTTACATCTGTAGAAAAGGAAGATAATTGTTTATCTTTCCTAGACATATTGCTTAGTCGATGGCTTGATGGGTCAATAAAACGATCTATTTACAGAAAACCTACCTGGACAGGATAGGACAGTATCTTAATAACCACAGTTTCTGCCCTGTTCGGTACAAAAGAGCCTTAGTAAGGTGCCTCTTCAGTAGAATCCAAAGAATAGGCACTGAAGACACACTTAATGAAGAAGAAAGAAAGCTGACACAAACTCTGCTTGATAACCACTATCCAGACGAGTTTATCAGGAGATACAAGACCCATTCTCCAACTCGCCCCTTAGAAAGACGTGTACATCAAGCTACCTACCCTATATGAGGCATCATAGCAGCTTGATAACTAGGCAAAGATTGAACGCTGCTGTTAAAACGACATCTTATGCAGCTAATATCATAATAATAGAGAATGTGAAGCCAATACATCCATCCATTTAAGCCCTTCGAACATGCGAAGAATGATGTCACATGCCCCACTGTATTTACCGATTTGAATGTACGTGTGGACACACATACATAGGGAGGACTCATTGATCTCAGTAAGTGCTGGCTTCAAAGCATATTCCTACATGGCTACAGAAGCAAACAGAATTCCCAGAAACCATTAATGGTGAGAACAGGAGACCTAGCTCCTCTATTGCGAAACATATTACAGAGGAGACAGGACATAAAATTAATGTTTACACATCTCTTAAACTTATCTATAAAACATGTTTGGGGCGTATCCTGAAGTTAGTGGAGGCCCTAGCTAGCAATTAGGAAGTTTGAACCACCTTCATGCGTTCAAAGCAACCATTCGTCATCACACTAAATCTTTTTTGGTAAACTTTGTTTTGATACCAGTCAGGATAGATATAGTAATACCTCTGTTATTTGGTTTAGTGATCTTCATTGTTATTTTGAACTTCAAAATGTCGTTTTACCTTGACCTGTGTAGTTCATTTTCTCACCTCCGTAACTCTCTATTAATTTCATATATACACATCCTTATGACAAGTCCGTGTGTGATCAGATTGTTCGAAATGTGTTGTGCGCGTGAATACACATTACACGATTCAGACAAATCACGTCTTCTTATTGCATTATCTAAATTCATAAACGGAACTAATTTTTTTAAATACTGTTACTGTTCTTTTTTCATCACATAAGCTTTTGCAGCTACATTCACGTGACTGTTTTAACTTGTTTTTTTTCTGTTTCTCCCCTCATTTACTTTCTCTATTTTTTTTTAATAGGCACATTAATTCAAGTTATGTGTGATAAACTACGTTCATCTCGTTCAAGGCTAAGCAATTTCGGGACATCGTGTAAAGAAAGAAAAGAGGCCATCCGTCAAGTGTTCTTATTCACCAATCATTTATTGATTACAGCTAGAACTAATAATGGAAAGTTGAGATTAGTTAAAGTAAGTCTGAATCATGTATTTGTTGTTCTTTTCCATTAAAAGACCGTGCGTCGGTGGCACAGTGGTTAGGACTCTTGCCGATCATGCACATGGTCCGAGGTTCGATCCCCTGCCGACGCACACCCGATATCTGTGGTCGGCCTGTAAAATTTGGGCTACCGATATCCATGCTGAAAATGCCATGCTTGTACTGAAAATACAGTGTGGCATCAAGCTGTAACCAAAATAAAAAAAATAAAATTAAAAAAAATAAATACTGAACAAAGAACATGCCATTGGCAGAAGTTAGAATTGAAATAATAGAGAAGATTTGTAGCTCAGGTGGATGATTTACCATTAATGGTGTTCTCTGAGCTGGTTGGTTTAGTTGCGGAGCTTTCGTCGTCCTTCTGGACAACATCTTCAGCGCAATATTTAGCATAAATTTTCCATGAGTGATATAATTGCGTCTCCCGGTAACCATCTTTACATATGCATTGACCATTTTCTATTGACTTGGATTTTACACTTTCTGGTCACCTGATTTACTTTTTATTAATTGGTATATTTCGTCTATATTAACGTGTTTGTTAATTGCATATTCGTTTGAGTACCAGGCTTCTAGGAATTCCCTGACTGCACTTTTGGTGTTTCCTCTGTCTAAGATCTCAACATTATCCCAATCATCAAACTGATGTCCATAATTGTCTATATGCATTGATACTAAAGAAAATATATATCGTGTCTTTTCACGGCTGATTTGTGTTCCTGGATTTTAATTCGAAGGGGACGCCCACTTTTGCCGATGTAATGCTTGTTGCAGTTCATACAATTTATTTTGTAAACGGTATTAATTTTATCTCCTTTTTCTGTTGGATCTTTCGGTTTGCATAATATCGAATTAAGCGATTTGACTGGCTTGTGTGCTATACCTATATCAAACGGTTTCAGTATTCAGGCTGTTATTTCAGAGATATTTTTCATGTATGGTAGGATGAATTTTCTTGTCGTCTTTGATGATGGTTCTTTGTTGGTGTTTTGATTCGACTTTAAACACTCTTTTTGATGAATTAGAAATCATGGGTCATTGGATCTGGTCCCAGTGGCTTGATGGTCTACAAGCAGGCCTCAAGGTGCCGTCCTCTCTCCTTTTCTTTTTTCTTTCTTCTTACACGACCTGCCACATTTAAACGAAACTAATTTTGTCAAATATGCTGATGATCTGACTGTATCACTGCCTATCACTTCCGAGTCTGACTGCTCCAAACTTAATAGCTTTCTGTTGGACATCAGCAAGTGGTCTAAGTCAAATGGTCTTATGTTAAATCCTTCCAAATGTCAGGCAGTTAACTGTACTTTCAAGCATCGACGTGACATACATGAACTTGTTAGTTCTCATGATGCCTGTAGCATAGATGACACAGAAATTGAAACAAAGTCATGCATTAAATACCTTGAATTAGTTCTTTCCTGTGACCTTAAATGGTCATCCCATATCTTATTGATCTCTAAGAAAATGTTTCGTCTTACCTTCTACATTAAAAAGTTAAGACAATCAGGTATCAACCAACCTTTAGTTCTGCAATTTTTAAACTCCTGTATTTTACCTATTGAACTCTATTGTTCTCCATTAATCTTTCCTGGGCTTCTAAAAAAGGCTATGTCATATTACGAAGGGTATTAAATGCTGTGAGTAGGACTTGTGGTGTGCCACTGCGTGAGCTCGCCAGTATTATAGTCAAGAGACACATAAATTCCTGTTCAAAATAGGCAAAGGCCGTACTGTCAGACCCTCTGCACCGCCCCCGTTTTTTTCACAACTATCCCCTTGCATCTCATCAGGTACGACGAGAAGTCCATATAAGAAGTTATATGCTCGAACCACTAAGTACAAAAATTCTACAATACCCTATTTAGCCCGTATTTTATGTGATGAAGACTCTGTTAGACGTGAAGCATATAAGTTACTATGTAATTAGCAAAGTGAATCGACCCTTTCATTGTTCATCTTTCTGTAATTTTATGGTGTCACCCTTTCTATCGTTTAATTATAACTTTGCTATTTTTATTTTAGCTGTTATTACTATTATTACTATAATTTTATACTTTATGCGTATTTTTCTCCGTACTGCTTACAGTAATTTGCTAAATAGCTGCTATAAAAACGTTTTGTTATCATTATTATGTAATGATTATTTCGTTTATTTATTTTTGTTGTTGTCGTTTTTGAGTAAATTAGATGCAATATTGTACTGAATGCTGAAAATTCCTTGCTGTATCATTAGTACTGTTTTTGGAATAAAGCAAATTATTATTATTATTATTGTAACCAGAAGGTCCTGGGTTCGAACCCCTGCGGTGGACGCGTACTGCTGAAGCAGAGTCCCAAACTAGGCTGACGAGACAGCTGCCCAGTACTCCCTGTGGCTGGTTTTCCAATGGTTCTCTAACTAATGTCAGTGCTCATGATGAAATCCTGTAACGAATCAATCAAATCCCTACAAACCAACACTTGAAGAAAAAGTATGCCTTTTCGATCATTTCCTCATCGTTAGGTTCCACAGTTATACGCATCCACTGATAATAATGAAAGAATTAGGGTTGTTAACAACATTAATATTGTTTAAATAACATCAAATAAATCAATAATATGAATCGATAACAGTTCAATAGCATCTGTAAGTATGATAATATGCGTCAACATAACACTACACACTGAATATCAAACAAATTAGGAGGAATAATAATACAGAATTGATGGCTCCACAGAAGGCCAGGGAGGTAATAGTGTCTGACTGGACCTATTTCTTCTGCACACGCAGACAGTACCGGTTGTTTAAGGCGAATCACTGTAGCCTCTGCTTCTTGGTAGAGTATTCGGTACTTGGATGCATTCAGCGATTCATTTGGTACCTGACAGATGATGATGGAGAAGGATTCTTCAATGCCAACTTTGTGGCCGATATCGACCAGATGGTCTAATGTTGGACTGTTGATATTGGTTTAAACAACACCTTTATTTAGCCACACTGGTAGGTGTTCCTAAGTTCCTAGAGCAACGGCTAAAATGACTCACCTCACAAGTAGAAGTGGCTAGTCTAGTCTATGTACTTCATCTTTCAATTGATGAATCACCATAGGTAGAGTAGAAAACATGACTTGTAGTTTACCAGCATTAAAAGTTCTTTGAACAGATTTTGCTTAACTTCTTGGTAATTATTTCGCTAGGTATATCGCTATCGAATTGCAGTCGTATGTATAAAGGTTTCTTATTTACAGACAGAGCTCGCTTTGTACCAAGAAGGTCCTGGATTCGAAACCTGATGGGAGAGTATTGATCAAGAGTCCCAAACTAGGACTAGCAAACACTACTGGTTGATATGAGTGGTGTCGTATATGACTACTACTCATCTCAATCAATCAATAAATCAATCAGTAGTGTATATTTGTACTGTTGTATCAGAGATATCAGTTCTCATAAATTCCTGCCTATCTAAATCAAGTTTATCAATCAGAAGATCAAAAATCAGTTGAATGACAAGAGAATCATTTAGTGCGGTCAACTAGAAAGATGGTTATTTCACTCTTGTAGAATTCTCCAAGCTGAAGGTATCGTCCAGAGTGAGAGAGAGAGGCTGTATACAATTATTCTAAATGCAAATAGGCACCATAACCGAATTAATATCAGTAGAAAGTTTGAGCATCGGTTATGGTGAAATAAAGTATAATTATATTTCAATAATTTCATACATTTGTTCCCCTTAATGAATTTAAACAAAGCAACAACTACAGATTTAGTAGAATAAAATGGTACCATATTTTATTTCGTCGCCTTCTCGTCAGCTGCTTACAGGGCAAAAACATTATTAAATGTATCTACAAAAACAATTTTAACATACTTGCACAGAGTTCATTTTAAACAAAAATCAATTGATCAGTATGTACATACACTAATAATATATACATATACATATCCAATATTAAACACAACTCCGAGCAATAATAATCATACAAAATGAAAACTTTTCAGTATCTTGCATTAGGATGAAAAATATCCAGTTACCAGGGCAAAGAAAGACTGATAACTGCTTCTTTCTGAACGCACAAATCAGGTTTTAGGCGCTTGATGGAAAAGGCTTCAGCAAACTTAAGGAGTATTGAACTCTTTTGCCTATTGATAATTTTGAACGACTTTTCCACGTCCACATGATGACCCGTGTCAAAAAGATGCCTGGCGATGGCACTGCCTAAAGCATTTGTTCCCTTTAGACGTAAGCTTTTTGGTACATGTTCAGAAAATCGTAGATATGCTCTTCTTTCTGTTCTTCCAATGTAACTGCTCCCGCAAATACATGTAAATTTGTATATACAGTTGGAGTTAACATGAGAAGGATATCTATCGATTTTTGATTGCACCAGATAGCAAGTTGTTCGAAAGACGGGAACGAGCTTAGCTGCAGGATAGGCTATGGCTAGTGATGTACTCAGCCTTCTGTTGATCATCGCTGCAATGTTTTCGCCTTTATAATCAAGCTGAAAGTAGATTGGCCTTTTTCTTACTGTGATTTGTTCTTCATTTGCGACTGCAGATCTTCCATACTTGTTGATGAACCTTTGAGGGTACCCAATGCTCTTCAATGTATTTTCAAGAAACTCAAATTCTTCCTCTAATTTCTTTATAGAGCATATTCTCCTCGCTCTATAGTACAGAGTCTTGACCAATGCTCGTTTATACCTATTTGGACAAAAGCTATTAAAATTTAAGTATTGTCCCTTCCATGTGGACTTACGATAAATTGACTTTTGAAGACTACCGTCTTCTAGGCGTTCCATGGCGACGTCGAGTTCAATGCTCCTTAAGTTTGCTGAAGCCTTTTCCATCAAGCGCCTAAAACCTGATTTGTGCGTTCAGAAAGAAGCAGTTATCAGTCTTTCTTTGCCCTGGTAACTGGATATTTTTCATCCTAATGCAAGATACTGAAAAGTTTTCATTTTGTATGATTATTAATGCTCGGAATTGTGTTCAAGATTGCATATATATACATATATGTATATATTATTAGTGTATGTACATACTGATCAATTGATTTTTGTTTAAAATGAACTCTGTGTAAGTATGTTAAATTGTTATTGTAGATACATTTAATAATGTTTTTGCCCTGTAAACAGCTGAAGAGAAGGCGACGAAATAAAATATGGTACCATTTTATTCTACTAAATCTGTAGTTGTTGCTTTGTTTATATTTCAATAGTTTACACACAATGATAAGTTTTGTTATTGGTAATTTTACTGGAAATATTACCAATAACAAAACTTATCATTGTGTGTGTAAACTATTGAAATATAATTATACTTTATTTGACCATAACCGAAGTTACTAAAATATTATTACTCTCCCTCAAAATCTTATACTTCACTGAGATTAGAAAATATCAGAAGACGATAGATAACGAGAGCTATTCGATGAAAATTCACATAAAGTTATCTCAGATCACTGATAGAACAACTTAATCTGATTAGTTGCAGGAGGTTGAAGATTGTCCAATGAAAATAATTTTGTCCACATCGCAGTATAAATTCATATTTAAAAGAGAAAATTTGTCTGCGAACTCAGGGTATAGCTTGAAATATTGATTCCCGTTTCAGCTAATTTCCATGAGGAATATTATATGTTCTAGGATCGACCACGAGCTGACATCAGTTAAAGAATCATTGGAAATTCAGGAAAACGGTTACCCGGAACCTTTCATCACAAAAGCCATGAAGCCCAAAACACAAAAACCGTCTATGCTTACTGCTCCCAAGAAACTTCTCTATTTGAATCTACAATTCAAGGGAGATTCTTCAGCAGAAATACTGAGAAACCGCCTGTGCCGTTCACTGAAGAAAACCTTCTTCGCAGCTGAACTCAGACTAACTTTCTCTACGAAACCAATGATTTGCAGGAACGTGAAGGACAAGCTACCACTGGGGGCCTCATCAATGTGCATCTACCAATTCACCTGCTCATGTGGAGCTAGGTATGTCGGCCGTACCCAGCGTTTGCTATCCAAACGAATCAGCGAACACTTACCTTCATGGTTTTATAAAGGAGAAAGAAGATCCCCCCGCCACAGCTCTATCCTAGAACACTTGATCGAATCCGGACACCAAGCAAACCCACAAAAAATCTTCTCAGTTATCTACACAATACGTGGGAATCTTGCCAAAAGAGTACGAATTAAACTTCTTCAAACTGCAGAAGCAATGGCAATTCACATATTGAATCCTGAAATCTGCATACAAAAGAAGTTTGTTCAGTCATTAAATCTACAATGGTCCTGACCTATCTCAACACCAAATACGTAATTTTGTCTTACCTCTTTCTTCTTTGTTTGTCTGTTTCTTAATTGCATTATTTTCTACCCGCACCCTCTAGTAAATCTCTACCCTCATGACGACTGTTGCTAACTCTATTTTCGTTTATTTCTAAGTGAATTCTACTCAGCTTATCAACTTAACTGTCATTCATTTTCAAGTGAATTCTACTCAGCTTATCAACTTAACTCTCATTCATTTTCAAGTGAATTCTACTCAGATTATTAACTTGACTCTGATTCATTTTTCATTGAACCCTAGCAATTAGATTACGTCACCCAACCTACTTTTGTAACTTTATTTTATTTTCTAATCGATTAACGCCTTCTAAATTACGTAATTTGTTGTCAAAAAATTAACAATTGCATTAACACATCTTTGGAAATATTCCTTTTGTTGCCAAGAAAAATTACTATAAATTTGCGGTTTGTACAGCTTGAGAATGATATCGCCGAAAACAGTAACTCTTTGCTGAACGCCTTTTCTTTTCTAATTCAGGAAATATTGGACATCTGTTTCATCCTGATTTATGACTCTTCAAGAGTGTGCACCTGCCAGGGTTCGAACTCCGGATCTTCCGGTTATAAGGCAAAGTTTTAGACTATTCAGCAACTGGCACTTATATATATATGTAATGGTCTATGTATTCCTACTTCTGACAACCAATCTTGCCGGCGAGTCACTGTTCAATTGCCTGACTAGGTGGAGGCCTCTGGTTAAGACTTAACACTAGCACCCCTGGAAACTTCGTGTATAATGTCAGTCAGATTGATTATGAAGTGTTGCTTTCCAGAGATTTGATTAGTGGTTACAATTTTGATTACCACAATTTCCTTCGGAAATCAAATCATTCAAATCAGATCAGGAGTGTGTGTGATCCGAAACGGTCATCTGGTGTTTAGATCATCTCGATCTGGCTGGATGGCTGACTGGCTAGGAAGCATTAGTAGTGCCTGACGTGAGTGGTATGCAATCACTACTCATCTCCATCAATCAGTAGTATGAAAATATCCTAATTTAATTGATGGATGGTGACTAGCAGTGGAATCCAGGATGCGCATTTTGTCCTATTCGGCACTCATCGTCTGGATGTACCTGCATTTCCCATTGAGTGATGGTGTTTCCACCGAGGCTGATGGTTTCAAACACCAAAGCGTTATTCACCAGACCACTTGGGCCATGAGAGACATCACTTCTTGTGCAGCGGGTCGTATTAATTTTAACTGAACTTTAGATTTTCCCGTAGATTGATTGCACCGAAGTGCTCTGTCTCAGGTTGACATATCGGCTTCTTGTGAAGACGCTTCGACGATGTCTGGGCATTTAATTAGAATTTAATTGCTGGATGATAACTGGCAGTGGAATCCACTAGGATGCGCATTTCGTCCTATTTGGGACTCGTCAATTAAAATTAAAATGATCTGTTGCACAAGAGGTGGAGTGGCTGTTGTGGCCCAAGTGGTCTAGTGGATAACGCTATGGTGTTTGAAACCATAGGCACTGGGTTCGAGCCTCGGTGGGAACATCATCACTCACTGGGCAATGCAGGTACATCCAGATGACGAGTCCCAAATAGGACGAAATGCGCATCCTGGATTCCACTGCAAGTCACTATCCGTCAATTAAATTCGAATTAAATGTTCAGACATCGTCTAGGCATCTGTACAAGAAACCAAACTGTCAACCTGAGACCAAGCACTTCGGTCCAATCAATCAACGGGGACTTAATCTAAAATGCAATGAAAATATGCTAAGTTCTTAGGATGTGTTATTTTCTACAATTGTTTATACTGATTTATCTATTAGTACTCATAAAAGTAATATTGTGATTACTGATTTTTATTTTTATTTTACCTCTTCTACACAACCGTCATGACAACAAATAATAAACAATAAAATGTTGACAGAACTGTGGTAAAATTTCTCTGGTTGAATGTACGCTTGTCGAGGACACTACAGCGGAATTATTCAATATGGATGATGAAGGTGAGTATATGGAAGTTAAAAATGTTTAGTTTAACTCTTATCGAACTATCTTTACCCTGGTGTTTTACTTACTGAGTGTTTTATTATTATTATTATCCCCTTGGGTTTCTACTGGGACAACATAGGGCTTCGACAGAAAAACATCTCTGTTTCACCCGGTTCTCTGTGGTCCTATTTATCTGGTTGCAGGGAGGCCCACAGGTTGCTATCTCCTTCCTAACACACAATCTCCTCAATGTTGGTTCGTTCTTAGAGTTTCTTGCTGGTAATTCTTTATTGACAGGCCATTTGATCTTCAGGCGGCAGCTGTTAATAAAAGTCTGTATCAGCCTGTTAAAAGTGCTTCACATGTTATGCCTCAACTATTATTATTATTGTTCCCTTGGGTTCCTAGTGGAACATAGGGCTTCAACTGCACGTCTCCACTTCCTTCTGTCTTGTGCTCTACTTTCCACTTGCGTCCATGTTAGTCCATACCGTTTCAACTCCTCTTCACACGATCTCCTCCATGTCACCCTTGCACTGACGTCCCACTCGCCGCTTCCCTTTCGGGTTCCACTCGAGCAATGGCCTGACGCGCGATGTCACCCAGCGGCCTCCTCAGTGAGAGTCCAATCCATCTCCACTTTCTCCTGCTTGTTTGTTGGGCGATTGGTTCTTCTTTTGTTTGTTTCCATAGTTTCTTGTTGGTGATTCTTTCCGGCGGCCATCTGATCTTCAGTATAGAGCCCCCAAAGACAGTTGTTGATATGGGTCTGCAACAGGCTGTTGGAGATATTCTTTGTGACCCTCCAAGTTTCTGATCCGTACGTATAGAAGAACTGACTGACTTGACGTTTGTATTGAAAATCCGAATTTTGTTGTTGATGCAGGCTGAGTGACAGCGGAAGATTTCCAGATTGGTTTCAGGTTGATGAATTTGTTTCTCGCCTTCCCGATTCTCGATTTGACATCCTCGTCCGATGCCTCAACTAATACCTGGATATTTTAGTGTCCTGTAGATTCACAATAAAATACCACTGTTAAACAGTGTCAGATGATAATTTACCTCCTCATATAAGTGGTAATATTGTCAGAATCGGCGATACTATTCAGTTGCTCAGCCACTCTGAATGAAGCGGAGCATATAACTTGAACCTTCAACCCAGAATGGGTCAAAGAACAAAACTCATTTTTCCAGCATCAATGTTAAGTCAGTAAATTCTTCTGTATGGGTCAGAAACTTATCTTGCAAATCACAGAAAGCATTTCCAACTGCTGCCCACTTCTCCGGCTCCATATTGAAGACCAGATGTCTGACCGGAGAGAATTAACAAGAAGACACTCTGAGAATAAACCAACCAAGGACCATTGCTCAGCAAACATGCGGTAGAGACATGACCATGTAAAGTGGAAGACATGAAAATCCAGGCTAGATATCTTTGATGATAGATATCTGCGTTCTACCTCTCTTGTGTGTTTGGCGGTATTGTAAGTTAAGCACTATTGGGGTGATTAGGCGTCGAGTGCTCAGTAAGGGAAGAAAATCAATCGACAACGTTGTGAAAGTACACCCATTGAGATGGTTAGGACATGTGCTAGACATGCTAGCCTAGCCATCAATCGCCTTCTTCGACAACAAGCAATTTTAGCTGACATAGGGTTGATCAGGTTGGAGAAGAGTTAGCTTGTGATGACCAAACCAAAACATGGCTTCATCATGCAATGAAATTTACAACAGTTAGTTTAAACCATCTTAACACGTAGGGTGGTGTGGACTGGTGGTGACTGGTTGGGGTCCTTATGATGTCAAAACCAATGACGGCTGGAGGCAACTGATGATATGGCTTGAAATCGTCCTCAATGGCTGGGGCAGATGCATCCACTCTTTGTGATTTATCATATCAAATAAAATTCTATTTTTCTTCCACATTACTCTATTCTTTTTGCCTCACTCAAACTTGTGTATGTTCTCTCTCTCTCCCTTGAATCTCTCTTTACTCTCACTCTTCTCTTGCTTTGTGTGCTAGATGGAGGGAGTGTGGCAACTCAAACTGCTACACATTTGTGCAATGTTCTATGTTGAAACCAGTCAGTCAGTCATGGATGTGTGGTTCTTGTGGACACAGATTTTGATCTGACCTTGTTACGAATATTCTGCTTGATTCTCAGGTACTTGTTTTGTACTAATAACTTTCTCTTGACTTCATAGATGTCTAACAGCCCTTTTGAGAACCACACATTGATTCTAACCATCAATACTCGTTCTTTTGCTGTCTCTGGAGACTATCTTTGTGACTGTGCATGTCTCACGGAAGTTTCAGACAGCTTTACACAGGGGGTGGTAAGAAATGAGAATACTTCAAAAGATAGACAATAACTTGTGTCAATTATTATGCCCTTGGGTCCCGAGTGAAAGGGTAGGCTTCAGCACCACATCCTCATTTCATTTTTTTCTTCGGATTCCTTTATAACTGGCTCTACCATTGCCCAAGAGTTTTAATTTTCGCCTCTTGAGACTATCTTCTATGTGTATCATCCTTGGACTCACGCCACACTTGTCGCTCGCTTTTTATTTGATCTTCACTCCACGGCTTGACTACCGCATGATATCGCTCAACGGTTTCCGTGGAGCCACCACAGTCCATTTCACTTTTTTCCTGCATGTCTGTTGAGCAATGGATCCTTCATTGATTGTCTGGTTGCCTAGGTTACTACTTCACTAGTTTACTACCCGGTCCCAACTCCAGAAAATACAAAGGAAGGGTTTCGCGTGGTGGGTCTGGCAACCCTACCCCAGAAAATCAATTCTCTTTCTTACAAATAGGAAAATAAATTCTTGTAAATTATACGTACGGCTTAGGTAACTACGTAAATGTAACGTATTAATAGGTGAACATGGAGAAAACAGAGGTAGGTGATAAAGATTCCTGGGCAAGAACAACAACAACAGACAACGATCAGCATAAATGGGAAGAACCTGAAAGAAACAACCTCCTCCTCCACCTACCTGGGAAGCATCGATTCAACTACAGGCCGGCGGAAATGACAAGGATATCAAAGCAAGAATCGATCGGAAAAGCAAGACAAGCTTTCACTACTCTCAAGTCTGTGTGGAGGTCAACAGCACTCAGTATCAAAAATAAGTTCCGGATTTTCAACTACAATGTGAAGTCAGTGCTACTTGCTATACGGATCAGAGACTTGCACTGCGCGTCATAAAGAGCATCTCAAACAAACTACAGACCTTCATTAACAGTTGTCTTCGCTCAATACTCAAGATCAGATGGCCAGCCAGAAAAGATCAGCAACAGAGATCTCTGGCAATGAGCGAACCAACACAGCAGGAACCGATTGTGAAACAAATATGCAGGAAGAAATGGAGATGGATTGGCTGGTCATACTCTGAGGGAACCATCAAGTGACATCACTAGACAAGTCCTCGAGAGTTGGTCGTCAGTGCAAGGGTGACTTGGAGGAGGTCATGTGAAGGGGAGATGAAAGCATGTGGGCAGACTTGGAGCCAGGTGAAGACTCTAGCACAGAACCGAACGCAATAGAGACGCACGGTTGAAGCCCTATGTTCCTCTAGGAATTAAAGGAAACAACAATAATAATAATAAAAATACAATAGCTTCGATCGGAGTATCATTTCCTCTCCCTTCCCAATCCTCACAAACAACTCTAAAAGCGTCGTTATCTGTCTGTCTAAATGTATCACATGTCTTCTCTGAGAGAAAATTCTTATTTATAGTCATCAAAATATTTTCTGAGTTGTTTCCTTCTCTCAGAGCAATTCGGTTGTGCGTTCATAGTTGTACATACAATTGTCAGTCGCATGTTAGTCTATCTAATATCCGCCGCTGTAAGCCGTTTTTTAACAAGCTTGTAAAATTCGATAATATAATAATAAGAAGAATAATAAGCTAAATAAATCCGATACAGTCTGACCAAGTTTATCGATTATTTATCGATTTAATATTTAAATTTCCTGAATCCACTGACAGAAATAGTTATATTTTTAGTATTTATTGTTGGATATTTCTCAGAAGTTACGAGTCTACATCTCCAGTTATTTTTAAATATAAAGTTAGCTACATACTACTGATTGATGGATATGAGTAGACACATGACACCTATTCATATCGGCCAGTAATGCTTTCTGGACAGCCAGATCGAGGTGATCCGAACACAGAATGGCAAAATCTATCATCCGATAAGAGAGAAACCTCACACACAAAGGGTCAAAGTTCAAGTCAAAGAAACAATCAGTACCAATACAAATAACCTAGAAGGTGTGAAAACACACAAAAGCAACCAATCACGTCCAAGGTGACCCACCAGGAGAGATGATTAATAAACTCTTGGAGAAATCTAAACGCTCACTTCAAATTGAAGTATGGGCTGAAGATGTCACGTAGTAGGGTGATGAAAGCTTCGCTAATTAACTATCCAGCTCAGAGAACACAACCACATCAAAATCATCCACCTGAGCCACGAATCTTCTCCATCATATAGAGAATGGCTACTTTGACTGTTTGGGGCTGAGCTCAACAACAGTGGTGTACCCGGTTTCACTCAATTCAGAGACCCTGATCACTTCAAACCACCCCATTGGTTGGCCGCTGAGTTGAATCTCAGTGGATGAATGTTCTAAGAGCTTATCCTTGTAACCGGAAAGTCCTGGGTTTGAATCGTGGCGGTGGGTGTTTCCTGCTCATGATTCCAAAACTATAATATCACTTTTTGGTAATTTCTACTTCAAAAGAATGGATGTTGAACAAAAATCTCTTTCCGATAACTTCATCATCAGACTCTATAGTTATATATACATTATATTATTATTATTGTTCCCTTGGGTTCCCAGTGGAACACAGGGCTTCGACTGCACGGCTCCCCTTCCTTCTGTCTTCTGCCGTACTTTTCACCTGCATCCCTGTTAGTCCATACTGTTTCAACTCCTCTTCACACGATCTCCTCCATGTCACCCTTGGACATCTAACTCGCCATTTCCCTTTCGGGTTCCACTTGAGCAATGGGCTGACGCGTGATGTCATCCAGCGGCCTTCTCAGCGAGTGTCCAATCCATCTCCACTTTCTCCTGCTTGTTTGTTGGGCGATTGATTCTTGTTTTGTTTGTTCCCATAGTTTCTTGTTGATGATTCTTTCCGGCGGCCATCAGATCTTCAGTATAGAGCCAGCGAAGACAGTTGTTGATAAAGGTCTGCAACAGGCTGTTGGAAATATTCTTTCTGATCCGTATAGAAGAACTGACTCACTTGCGGTTTGTATTGAAAATCCGAATTTTGTTGTTGATGCTGAGTTGAGTGACGAAGATTTCCAGATTGCCTTCAGGTTGATGAATGTGTTTCTCGCCTTCCCGATTCTCGATTTGACATCCTCGTCTGTCCGTTCCTCCTGTAGTTGAGACAATGCTCCCTAGATAAGTGAATGAAGTCACCTCTTTCAAATCCCTTCCGTTGATGGTGATTGGCGCTGGATGTTGTTGTTGTTGTTGGTTGGTTATTTTCATAACCTCCATCTTGTCTATGTTCACCTGGAGTCCTGTCTTTGCTGCCGGCCTCTTCGACCAGTTTGTCGGTTTTCGCTTGTAAGTCTTTGATTTTGTGTGACATCAAACATAAATCATCCACGAGCGAAATCCAGGTCTTCTAGATTCTCACGTCGGTCCAGGATATCTCTGTCTTCTTGTTTTCCACTGTCTGACGCATAATCCAGTCCACCACAATTAGGAATATCATTGGTGATAATAAGCACCCTTGTCTGACTCCTGTGTTTACTCCATACGCCTCACTGAGTTTTCCGTTGTGGATCACTTGACATGTGCCGTTGTCGTACAGCTGTTGAATAAGGTGAATGAATGAATTAGTGTTATGAACAACATTAATGCTGTTTAAATAACATCAAATCAATAATATTGATACATTACAGCTCACTAGCATCAACATAAAATAAGCTGAATGTCAGAAAAATTAGGAAAGATAATATTACAAATTCATGAGTTTATAGTCTCCACTGAAGACCGGTCAAAGTAGCAGTAGTGGCTGAGCTTGCTTCTTTTGAACACAGAGCCTTGATTGTTTTGAGGCAAATTGCAATAGCCTCTGTTATTTTGAGCATGCGGTGCTTCGATGATGAGATTGGCAGTTTATTAGGCACATGGTAGATGATAGAGAAGGATTTTTTCACGCTGGCTGGCTTTGTGGCCGGCCGGTTTGCACCAGATGGTCCAATATCGAACTGTTAATGGTTTTCACTACACCTTTACTTAGCCGTAGTGGGAGATGTCCTCGAGCACGAAAAATGTCTTCTTCATCAGTTTCTACAGCTGTATGTCCATAACAATTAAGGGAATTTATTTAATTGGCGACATTACCATCATCTAAATAACATTGAATCTGTAATATCAGTAACATGCATCAGTATTTACCATTAAACTGACTAAACATGAGATAAATTAGGGGAAGTAACACAGAATTTGTGAATCGATAGGTTAAACGACAGGTCAGGTTAGCAATAGTGGCTGAACCAGCTCCTTCTGCATACAGAGCTCTGGTTTATTAAGGCGAATTTCAATGGTCTCTGATGTTTGGAGTATTCGGTATCTAGAGGTCTTTGGTAATTCATTGGATACCAGATAGATGACAGTTTTGTAGCTTTTTTGGATGACGTAGTCCAATGTATAAAGTGATCAGAACACCAAAGCTTATTTATTCTCCAAGTCTCCGCCAAGAAGGACGTACATATCAAGCTATCCTATGTGGACGGTCATAACAGCTTGATAACTTGACAAATATTGAATGCTGCAGGTCATAAAAGACTTTTTATCCAGCTAACAACCTAATAATTGACTGACTGATTGGTTTCAACATAGAACTTTGCACAGATGTGTAGCAGTTTGAGCTGCCATACTCCTTCCATGTAGCACACAAAGCAGGAGAAGAGTGAGAGTAAAAACAGATTCAAGAGAGAGAGGGAGAACATAGAAAAGTACGACTGAGGCAGAAAGAATAGTAATGTGGAAGAAGAATAGAATTTTATTTGATACGATAAATCACAAAGAGTGAATGCATATGAGTCAGCCTTCGAGGACGATTTCGAGCCATATCACCGATTATCTCCAGCTTTCGCTTGTTTTTACCACCCCACGGACCACAACCAGCCAGGAATTCGACACTTCCAAACGTGCTTGACTTTAGCTAACTGTTGTGGATTTCATTGACTGATGAAGACTTCGCTAGCTGACTCTTTTCCAATCTGATCTATCCTATGTCAGCTAACATTGCCTGTTGTCGAGGAAGGTAGTTGATGTCAAGGCATGTGTAGCGCTAACCATCTCACTCGATACAGCTGCTTGACAGCGTCGTCGATTGATTTCCCCCGCCCCCTACCTACCTAGCACTCGACCGGCGGCTAACTTCAATACTGCTCACCTTATAATAATGCCTAACACCCGCGAGAGTTAGAACGCAGACATCTGTCAGCAAAGACAGCTAGCCTGGATTCCATGTCTTCCACTTTCAGTGGCTAAGTTTTAAAGTCATAGAGGAGGAGAGAGCGAGCTGCTGAGTAGTACACACGCTGTTTGATCGGTAGCCAGCCGGATATCACGTCTGCGTTAGAGACGGAGTAAACTGACATATGCAAAACGTGCCTTCTGTATCCGTTCTGAGATTTCGACAGCGATCAACCCACTCGAGCTGGCTAATACAACTTACCAAACAAGTCAGTCGGTCAAAACGCTCTACCGTTTCATTACCTATCTTTGAGCTAGAATTTCAATTTAGTTCAGTCCTGTAGGGAGAGAATCGCATGCCAAACATTCGAAAATCGCCCACTGCCCAAGGTGTTCAGGGAACTCTGAATTTTGTCAGCATATTCACCCAGAAAGACTATAACTATAACAACGAGATTATACCCTTCCTGGTAACAAGTCAATCCCTGAGTCGCTGAAGTCAGTTAGGGTTACTTCCATTAGTGCATCTTTGGTAAAAGTAAAGGTTAATGGGGACAGTGGGCATCGCTGACGGTCACCATCAGCTGTCACCAATTCAGATGACAACTCTCCGTAGGGTCTCACGTGGTTGACTGCAGCAGTACGAGTAGAGTGCCTTGATCAGAGCAATCTAATCTCTCGGCATTCCCTTCACAGCCAAACATCACTAAAGTAACTGTCGGTCGACGGAATAGAATGCCGCCTTTAGGTCAAGAAATATAACAACTGTTGGACGCCGGTGGTGAGTATGCCTATGTTCCAGAATCTGTCGAATCGTGAAGATATGATCAACATACCCCCTTCCTGGTGTCTAAAGCCTACCTGGTTCTCTCTCCGAATAACTGAGAATGTGAAGACCATATATCCATCTAAATCTTGAGAAAATACACTGTATCTACAAATTTAAATGTACGTGCAGTCACACACGCATATAGATGGAGGACTCATCGATCGTTGTAAGTAATGACTTCAGAGCGTATTCCTAAATGGTTTAGAAAACAAATGGAGTCCCCGGAACCCATTTTTCTACTGCGAAGAATATTACAGACACAGGACATAAAATTGATGTTTACATTCCTCTTTTAAATCTATCTATAAAATGTGTTTGGAGCTTCTCCTAAAGTTTGTAGAAACCCTAACGATTAGGAAGTTTAAAGCATTGAAATAGAACTGTTGATGGTATTAACACACTCCAGTGTGTGTTCCCGAGCATTGAAAATTAAGTTCCTAGAATAACAGACAATATAACTGGCTCCAAACGAGGAGGAGTTGAATTGATAGATAAAATCAGAGGTGTCTAGCTAGTCTAGGCACATCACCTTTTGAATTTCGGAATCACAACCCGTTGTATGGAAACTATATTATTATTATTATTGTTTCCTTTAATTCCTACAGGAACATAAGGCTTCAGCCGTGCGTCTCCATTGAGTTCGGTTCTCTGCTACAGTCTTCACCTGGCTCCAGGTCTGCCCACACGTTTTCATCTCCTCTTCACATGACCTCCTCCCAGTCACCCTCACCCTTACACTGACGACCAACTCGCCGCTTCCCTTTCGACGGGTTCCACTCGAGCGATGGCTTGTCTAGTGATGTCACTTGATGGTTTCCTCAGAGTATGGCCAGCCAATCCATTTCCATTTCTTCCTGTTTATTTGTTTCACAATCGGTTCCTGCTGTGTTGGTTCGCTCCCAGAGATCTCTGTTGCTGATCTGTTCTGACCGGCCATCTGATCTTGAGTATTGAGCGAAGACAACTGTTGATGAAGGTCTGTAGTTTGTTTGAGATTGTCTTTATGACGCGCCAATCCTCTAATCCGTATAGCAAGTGGCACTGATTTCACATTGTAGTTGAAAATCCGGATGTTATTTTTGATGCTGAGTGCTGTTGACCTCCACACAGACTTACTTGAGAGTAGTGAAAGCTTGTCTTGCTTTTCCGATTCTTGCTTTCATATCCTCGTCAGTTCCGTCCGTCTGTAGTTGAAACGATGCTTCCCAGGTCGGTAGGTAAAGGAGGTTGTTTCTTTCAGGTTCCTTCTATTTATGCTGATTGTTGTCTTTTGTTGTTGCTGTTACTGTTGGTGGTGTTGTCAAGGAATCTTCATCACCTCTGTTTTCTCTATGTTCACCTGAAGTCCTATCCTCTCTGGACGCTTCTTCTACCAACTTGTTGCTTTTCACTTGCATATCTTCCAGTGTTTGTGAGAAATCAGACATATATGTCATCATTGACGAAGTTCAGATCCTTCAGATTTTTTTTGTGTGAGTCCATTTTATGCCTGTCTCCTCATTGCCCACTGTTTTTCACATTATCTTTGAATCGATTTTTTCTCAACTTGTTGATTATTATTTCATTTTGATTCATATCAGCTCTGAGTTGTAGTCATATTCATATATAGAGTCGTCTTTATTATTTCTCTTTTTTTTTCAAGATCAAACAAATCTTGGAAATGATCAAAAAAGTCAACAAGAAAATGGTTCTCATATGACAAGAAGTAATATCGCCCCTCTGTTAAGTTCATCCCCTTTAAATACAAACATTAACAGTGAATTGCATTCACGTAATTCATATCCCGCCAATATTTTACATGATCCCAGCAGCCATCAACATCAACAGCATCAACATCCTCATCAATTACACAAACGTTATACATGCCCTGATTCCACTCTAAATCGGAATACACCTGTAAATAGCTCTTATCGTGTTGATCAGCTGCACAGGTCTTCTACACCTCTGTCTTCTACTGGCACTGGCGGAATAACGCAGCAGTCATTGCCGACGACAACAACAACAACAGCGTCAACGACAACATCTGTTTCATGGTTACCATCGCTGACAGTTCAGCATAGACATTCTGCATCGTTGTGCACATCCTCAGCAACAACAACAACTGGTGACAGTGATGTACAGCATACTACAATGAGAAGTTCTATCAACCAACCTGCGACTACCATTATCAGTAATAGTGGTATCACTTTCACGCCTATATCGAATATGTCTAATGCGCCTAACAACACTGTACAAACTCGTAGTGGTTCAAATGTTAGTTATTCAGCAACGGCGATAACATCAGCAATGCCAACATCAGCAACAACAACGACGACACCAGATATTAATGTTGTTATGAGTCCTACATCCACGCAGCATCCAACAAGTCCATCATTTTCAATGTTACACAGATTTAGTAGTAATATGGGTCTGCTGAACTCTTTGAATACAACTACCACTTGTAGTAATACAGATAAAACAGACTACGGGAATTTGGATTTTCGCTTAATATGGGAACCTAAAAATGGTCAACCGACAAGTATATGGCTTGTTGCATCAACACTGCAAGAAAAAGCAGCTTGGTGTTCAGATATCAGTCAAGTGAGTTTGAAAAAAAATGATATAATTTTGATTATATGTGAATTAAGATAAAGTCTTTCTTGTTTTCCCGTCACGTTCCCCAGTGGAACATAGGGCTTCAAGCTAGGAGCTTGAAGTTTCGGTAGCAGGAGCGTCTAGTTTTACAGGGTAGGGTTGCTAGCCTCACGCCCAACCTCCCTGCTCTATCAGACTTACTACTCGCATAGTAGTGTTTAGGAGTGCGTCGGTCGGGTATCGAACTCCTAACCGCATGCGTGGCTGACAAGCATTCTACCGTTGTGCCACTGACGCACGAAAAGTCGGGTAAAATTCTATGAATCACTTTAAAAGCTTTGTTAGAATCAACTTGGGGTCCGTGCCCAGTATCGAAGAGATGAACTAATGTTGAGTTGCATAGAGCTTTGTTCTAACCCTTGTCGAACCAAGATTTAGAGTGATGTTCAGGAATCCGAAAATGAACATGATAATCATAATAATAATAATGACGACATACATGTCAAATATGCGCAAGATAACACCAACAATAAGGAATCTAAATCATCAGTAGCAATTCCACACAAGGAAGGAACCTCGGAAACCTTACGCGGAATTCTTAACGAGACAGGAATAAAAGTGGCTGGCATTCAAACCAACCACAAACTCAATTAGAAACAAGCTTTGTCGGTTAAAGGATCAATCCTGTGGAGCCTTTAAAACAAAACAATTTAGTTTATCTAATACCCTGCTGGAATGATTGTCAGGTCAAATACATAGGTCAAACTAGTAGAACAGGGGCAGTCAGACAAGCCGAAAATATAACCTTAGCAAAATCTAGATTGGTTGACCCGAATAACATAGGAAATCTAGAGAATAGTTAGGCTATAGCACTACATGCAGTTACACACAACCACACAATAGGATGGGATAGGATGAAAATTTTAAAATCTAATGTCACAGGGTGAATTGAAGGAGAGATTGATAACAGAATCTTTGTTTATCGAATCAACTACAAATACGTGTAATAGGAATGATTCAACACCTGTCCACATTTATATCTGGAAAACTCTACTACCCCAACGACGACAAATAGGAGAGAAGACAAAGAAAACTATAAAACTCAAGTGTCAAAGTCGTGTGATAATAATTGACGGCATGATTATGAACAATAAATTGTGTTCGAAACCTTGTCATCCAGTAAATAATACTGTTTCATTGTGTGATATATCTAATAAACAAACTAATATCGAATTCATCCTATTCTTATTAGTCATCATCCCTGTTTTAAAAATTTCTGGATTGTGCAATAACTTGTGGTCTAAACTCCACGAATTAACTGAGCTTAAATTCCGTAATGAATTTTCATCCCTCCTTCAAAACTTAGATATCTTGTCACTAACATCTACCAGAAATTTGTTTGGAAGACTTATAACTTCTTAATTTCACCCCTGCCTACATACTTGAAACCGATGGACTAAAATAACCATTTGATTGGTAACATTTTGATGTCAAACACTACACTCAAGTGTTAGTTTGCCGGAGTTTGAGTGGTTACAGGATTTCATCACGATCTGAGATCGTTTAGAGAACCGTCGGAAAACCAACAGGGAGTACTGGGCAACTGTTTCAACCTACTATTGGATTCTTTAACAGCACACTCCCACAGAAGTCCGAAGGCAGGATCTTCCGACTACAAGGCGAACCCCGATGGCTGTGTGCTGCTAAAAAGTCACTAAGTGGGACGAAGCAGGTGTTTAGTATATATATATATTATTGTCGAGCAGATGATGGTGAGGAATTGATCGAAATGGAATGAATATTTCTTCTCTCAATTTGTTGTTTTTTTTTCTAAATGCTTAAATGGGAATTTTGCAAAATCAGTTTTGAATTTCCCGTTGATTGATTGGACCAAATTATTCGGCCTCAGGTTGATGTGTCTGTCATACTATTTATTAGTGGAGAGCGGACATGCATGTATACACTGGGTATAAGACGACATGTGTCATTATGTCTAGTCTCATACTTCTCCTTCCTTATTAATCTGATTGGCTACTTTCTAAGATATCAAAATAAGTTTACAATTATAGATAGATAGGCGGACAGGCAGACAGATTGATTTCGTCTATTGAGTAAATTCACATGCAAGACCATATGAGTATGATAATTTACTGTCTGTCTTAACGATGGCATCTCATTAATGAAACAGAATTCATAAATATAATAAATTTATGACATCCAGTGTGTAACGATCAAAACAGGAATGTGTCGTAGTCTGAACGCAGAAAATCAATCTTCGCGTTCTACTCTATAATTTTTTCCCTATTCCTTAGAGTTCCGAGTACAGCAAGGGTGGCATCAAGCTAGGATTCTGGAGGTTTTTGGTAGCAGTGGTTTCTTTTTTTTATGGAGGGAACGCGAATGGGGGGTAGCTAGCCCCACGCTCCACGACTTATTGGGGTTTAGAAACTCCATGCTACATGACACCGTTCTACTGCATTTTTGAACAAAATTTCCTTTAAAGATACCCATAGTCACAAAGTGCCCCGACGACAGCAAAGTGACAGTTATTTGAGATGAAATCTACGGTACTATTTAACAACAGTAACGTGTCAAATAGTCAAAACTACCCAAACAATGCAGTTTGGCAGCTGTACGGATCAAATTTCTTCTCAGTTACAAATCAAGTACTGTACCACATTGGAGAGGGACTCATCGATCTCTGAAAGTAAGGGCTGACTTCAGAGGATATTCCTAAATAGTTTCAGAAGCTAATAAATGGCCAGAACCCATTACTGGCGAGAACAGACAACCTAGCTCTCCTATTACAAAATCTATTATAGAGATAGGACATAAAATTGGCGCACACACGTCTTTTAATCCTGTCCATAAAATGTGTTTTGGGAAGTATCCTAAAATATTTGTGGAAGCCCTAGCCAGCAATTAGGAAGTTTTAACCAGATTTATGCAATCAAAGCAACGATTCGTCATCACACTAAACCTTCCTTGGTAAACTTTGTTTGATGATACCAACGCAGATGTACTAACTATTATGTCCCTTCTTTGGTTTAGTGATCTTCATTGTTATTTTGACCTTCAATATGTCCTTTTAACTTGACCTATGTAGTCTATTTTCTCACCTCTTACCTCTTTATTAATTTCATGTGTATTCCTATGACATGTCCGTGTGTGATCAGATTGTTCAAAATGTGTTGCGCAAATATCCTGGACCAACGTGAAGAATCTAGAAGACCTGGATTTCGCGTGTGGATGATTTATGTTTGATGTCACACAAAATCGAAGACTTACAAGCGAAAACCGACAAACTGGTCGAAGAAGCAGCAAAGACAGGACTCCAGATGAACATAGACAAGACAGAGGTTATGAAAATAACTAACCAACAACAACAACAGCAGCAGCAACATCCAGTGCCAATCACCATCAACGAGAGGGATTTGAAAGAGGTTACTTCATTCACTTATCTAGGTAGGGAGCATTGTCTCAACTACAGGAGGAACGGACGAGGATGTCAAATCGAGAATCGATCGGGAAGGCGAGAAACACATTCATCAACCTGAAACCAATCTGGAAATCTTCCGCTGTCACTCAGCCTGCATCAACAACAAAATTCGGATTTTCAATACAAACGTCAAGTCAGTCAGTTCTTCTATACGTACGGATCAGAAACTTGGCGGGTCACAAAGAATATTTCCAACAGCCTGTTGCAGACCTTTATCAACAACCAACTGTCTTCGCTGGCTCTATACTGAAGATCAGATGGCCGCCGGAAAGAATCACCAACAAGAAACTATGAGAACAAACAAACAAAACAAGAACCAATCGCCCAACAAATATGCAGGAGAAAGTGGAGATGGATTGGACACTCGCTGAGGAGACCGCTGGGTGACATCGCGCGTCAGGCCATAGCTCGAGTGGAACCCGAAAGGGAAGCGGCGAGTGGGACGTCAGTGCAAGGGTGACATGGAGGAGATCATGTGAAGAGGGATTGAAACAGTATGAACTAACATGGATGCAGGTGAAAAGTACAGCACAAGACAGAAGCAAGTGAAGACGTGTAGTTGAAGCCCTATGTTCCACTAGGAACCCAAGGGAACAATAATACAATAATAAATACACTACACGTAGTAGTGACTCACTATTCGGACGTATTTTTCCAAAAGTGGCAATGATCTTAAATCATACACTCCGAGAAAATTCACACTAGGTTACATCTCAGAACGAGGCATATCTGATTCAACAGGACATATATACCCAACAAGAAACAGTGAAGATGAAATTCTGCATATGTTTAACTCTAAATCCTGAAGTCCGGATATGACTATCGAATAACATTTGCTGTCACAGGCTAGCATGACCGGTTCATTGTAACTGGTGAATTTAGGGTTTCCGTTGTACCAACAACAGATTGGCTTCAGTTACTTCATCTTCATCAGTGTTAGGAGTGTAACTTGAAGTGAACCGAAAGATGGTGACTGGCAGTGGAATCCCGTACTACCTGCATTTCGCCCTATTTGGGACTCGTCAGTTAGATGTACCTCCACTTCCCAATGAGTTATGGTTCGAGCCACTAGCAGATGACGAGTCTCACAAAGGACAAAATGCACTTCCGGAATTCCACTGATAGTCACCATCCAACGATTGACTTCAAGTTACATGGCCAGACATTGTTGCAGTATCTGCACGAGGAGGCGACATATCAACCTGAGACTGAGCACTGTGGTAGAGTATAATTCCATTATGGGTAAAATTTATTTTGGTAAAGTCTAACAGTGTTATACAGTAAGTAATATTTACTGATGACGTTTAGAGCACAAATTAGTGCTGCTCTTAATCATATCAGTCACCTTGATGTGATATCAGTGCCTGGTGAAACACGAAAAACACTGTCGATGTACACACAACCACAAAGATGGACAAAAGCAAATAACAAAGATCAATATCAGTGTCATATGCAAATGTCAAATTAATAATACACAGTCTAGGTGGGGGGGAAACGTATATTGATTACAAACTTGATTGGTAGATAGTGACTACCAGTGGAATGAAGTATGCGCCTTTCGTCCCATTTCGGACTCGTCATCTGGATGTACCTGCATTCCAAAGTGAGTGATGATGTTCCCACCGAGGCTCGACCCCAGTGCCCATAGTTTCAAACTCCATAGCGTTATCCAATAGACCACTTGGGCCATCTGAGCCACCTCTTGTGCAACGGGTCAAATTAATTATCTAATTCAATTTCAGATTTTCCTGCCGATTGATTGGACCGAAATGCTCGGTCACAGGTTGACATGTCGGCTTCTTGTGCATATGCTTCGACGATGTCTGGGCACTTAATGGATGGAAACATCATCACTGACTCACTGGGGAATGCAGGCACGTCCAGATGATGAGTCCCAGATAGGACGAAACGCGCATTCTGGATTCCACAGCTAGTCACCATCCACCAATTAAATTCTAATCACATGCCTAGACATCGTAGAAGCATCTGCACAAGAGTCCGACATGTCAGCGTGAGACCAAGCACTTAATTCCAATCAATCGAAGGGAAAATCTAAGATTACAAACATAGCTAAAACGTCTAAATATATGTATAAACATTATAAATAGACCGTCCAATAAGGATTTTCCAAACAATTCGTCCATCAAAATAAATTCCTTGAAGACTGTAGATAAGTCTCACCGGCACGAAACCTATGCCTTCGACTTCCTGGTGATTTCCCCCGATGATTTATGATAAGTCGTATTTTCTTTACGAATTTATTGATTGATTGATTTCTTTTTTCCTCTTTTTTTAGTGTATTGAACAATTACACTATGGTGATATTTTGAATTCAGCTCAATCGGATGTCTCATCAGTAGCAATGCCTCAATCTATCCGGTGAGTATAACTTTTATAAAAATGATCGATGGGAATAAAAGCAATAGCAAGGTGTTTTCGCGCACAATAGTATAATCACAGCGCTGCAAAACAGGCATTACATCTGTGCAAAGAACTGATCGATAAAAGTCTTTTAATTTTATGAATTTGACCATGGATTGATATCAGTTAGAGAATCATTGAAATGCAGCACGGAGTATTGGACAGCTGTTTCATCCTAGTTTGGGAATCATCGGCAGTACGCACACACTGCCAGGGTTCGAACCCTTATAAACCAACTAAAGAAAATTAATTTGATGCTCGCCAGTGACTTGCTACAGGATGGAGTTTCCTGGGGTGAGTTCTAGTGAGAAGTCGTGACCACTAGGGTCCATCCAGATGTCACGTGTGAGTATGAATGTCCCACCGACGACATTGGTTGGTGGTCACGCTAAATCACGAGTTGGTAGAAGTTAGGACTCATGAGCTGGCCACTGAGGAGTCAGGTACCAGTTGCTGAATGGTATATGAGCTTCTCTTGTAACCGGAAAGTCCTGGGTGCGAACGCTGATAGATGGGTGCCTACTGCCGATGATTCCCAAACTTGAATGAAACGGCTGTCAAGTACTCCGTGCTGGTTTTCAATGGTTCTCTATGTGATATCAATCCGTGCGTGGTCAAACTCACAAACCAACTCACAAAAACACTTTTAAAACAGCTAATGATAACATCTGATATGAATGCAGCATTCTTTTAAGGAGGTAATACCAAATCACTTAGGAGCGAACTATCAAAGGAAATCGGGATTGTAATTGCTTTCCTCTGTTTTATGTATTCCGACAAGTTGCGAAAGGAACAGAAGTAAACTCGTCAGGTTTTCAACTCAGCACCTTCTGGTTACAAAGGAAGCTCATTAAGGACTCAGCTACTGGGACCCGATTCACTGGTCAACCCGTAAATTCTAACTTCCACCAATTCGTGATTTCAGTAATGACTAGCACCAGCCAGTGTCACCCGTGGCGAGTATTTGTCCCCACTTCCGACCTAGTGGACCCCACTAAGTGGTCACGACTTCCCACTAGAACCCACTCCAGACAATTTCATCTTACCGGCAGTCACTAGTAGGCATAGGATTAAATTTCAAGAATCAGTTTGTAGGGGTTTGATTTATGTAAAGTTAAAGAACCACTGAAATCAGTGGTGTCTGTCACGTTGGGTGGGAGGGCGAATTCACGTCGACGAAATTGTATGGTACCAGTCACGCTAAAATCACAAATCGTTAAAAAATGGGATTCATGGCTTGGCCACTGAGGAATTGGGTCCCATTGGAAGGTATTCTCTAGCTACAGCCGGTGTACCTTGACTTACAAGAGCAAATGAATTGACAACTGCCCATGGAGGTGGTCAGATAAAACAGGTTGATGTTGCATAACGCCATATTCTCCAAATGACCATATAAATTAGATATGGCAGAGAAGATTTGTAGCTCAGGTGGATGATTTTGGTGTGGTTGTGTTCTCTGAGCAGCTGGATAGTTAATTTGCGAAGCTTTCATCACCCTACCTACTAGGTGACATCTTCAGTGCATAGTTCAAATCGAATTGAAGTGAGCTTTTAGATTTCTCCACGAGTTTATTAATCGTCTTGAAGAAAGATATCTCATGGATGTCTTCCATATATATAGGACATCTCAGAAATCACTACAAGAATAGTCAAACCTTTAGGAATTGATGTTGCACACAAACCAACAAAGTCACTTCACTCAATTCTATGTCAACCAAAAGACTCAACAACGAATGAAGATAAAACAGAACATCATCTACAAAATGAATTGTAACAACTGGGAAAAACACTACATGGCCAAAGTGGACATCCTCTTCATCTTCGTATCCACGAACATAAGCTAGCCGTCAAAAGACATGATATCCACTCCCTCATATCACTACATACAGACAACCACGGACATCAATTCGACTGGGACGACCGGCGATCAAATATTAGACAGAGGAAACACCAAGAATGCTAGGGAATTTTTAGAAGCTTGGCATTCCAGTGAATCATCAATCAATAGACACATCGAGATAGAAAAAATTTATCAACCGATAAGAAAGAAACCTCACACACAAAGAGTCAAAGTTCAAGTCAAAGAAACAATCAGTTGCAATACAAGTAGCCTAGAAGGTGTGAAAACACACAAAAACAACCAATCACGTTCAAGGTCACCGGGAGAGATGATTAATAAACTCGTGGAGAAATCTAAAAGCTCACTTCAAATTTAATTATGTGCTGAAGATGTCACCTAGTAAGTAGGGTGATGAAAGCTTCGCAAATTAACTATCCACCTCAGAGAACACAACCACACCAAAAGATCACATAAATTTCATATCCCTTCCCTTGGGAACTTTGAATTCTTTGAAACACTTCACCTTGGCTAGACATAGCGTACTTAAAATCTACTACCATGCGTCTAGCCTTTGTTTGTTTGGTGCAGACTGAATTCTATCAGTCAATTTCTGCAGTTTGGCTTTCATACCACTAGGTGGCTTGATATCACAGTGCACTTTGAATCGTTGTTATTAGATGGTTGGAGGCAATCGTCAGGAAGCCTTGGATCTTGGTGTTTTACTTGTTAGCGTATCTACCACCTTAGAAGAATTCATATCATCTGTCTGCGATTCGAACTCGTGTCACTCACTGCTGCATTCAGAGACTTTATCACAAAACTGACTGTCTGCTGCCTACTGACTGGAGAAAAGTTTACCTCGTGAAACTACCAAAGAAGGGCGACTTAGGACTCTGCAAAAACTGGCGAGGAATCATGCTCCTGTCGACACCAAGTAAAATTCTGAGTCGCATCATCCTGGAGAGAATCAAGGACGCACTGGATACAGAACTCCGACCAGAACAAGCTGGATTCAGGAAAGGCAAATCATGTTCTGACCAAATTGCAACTCTACGCATCATCATCATAGAACAAAGCATGGAATGGCAATCAAATCTCTACCTCAACTTTATAGACTTTGAGAAGGCCTTCGCCAAACAGCGTTGACCGCGAAGTAATTTGGAAACTACTCGAGTACTACGGCGTACCCCAAATATTCATCAACCTTATTCAACAGCTGTACGACAACGGCACATGTCAAGTGATCCACAACAGAAAACTCAGCGAGGCGTTTGGAGTAAACATAGGAGTCCGTCAAGGGTGCCTATTATCACCAATGATATTCCTAATTGTGGTGGACTGGATTATGCGTCAGACGCTGGGAAATGAAGAGACAGGGATATCCTGGACCGACGTGAAGAACCTAGAAGACCTGGATTTCGCGCGTGGATGATTTATGTTTGACGTAACACAAAATCGAAGATTTACAAGCGAAAACCGACAAACTGGTCGAAGAAGCAGCAAAGACAGGACTCCAGGTCAACATGGACAAGAAGGAGGTTATGAAAATAACCAACCAACAATAACAACAACAACAGCTACATCCAGCGCCAATCACCATCAACGGTAGGGATTTGAAAGAGGTTGCTTCATTCACTTATCTAGGGAGCATTGTCTCAACTACAGGAGGAGCGGACGGACGAGGATGTCAAATCAAGAATCGCGAAGGCGAGAGACACATTCACCAACCTGAAACCAATCTGGAAATCTTCGTCACTGCTCAACATCAACAACAAAATTCGGATTTTCAATACAAACGTCAAGTCATTCAATTCTTCCATACTGATCAGAAACTTGGTGGGTCACAAAGAATATTTCCAACAGCCTGTTGCACACCTTTATCAACAACTGTCTTCTTCGCTCTATACTGAAGATCAGATGGCCGTCGGAAAGAATCACCAACAAGAAACTATGGGAACAAACAAAACAAGAATCAATCGCCCAAAAAATAAGCAGGAGAAAGTGGAGATGGATTGGACACTCTCTGAGGAGGCCACTGGGTGACATCACGCGTCAGGCCGTCGAGTGGTACCCGAAAGGGAAGCGGCGAGTGGGACGTCCAAGGGTGACATGGATGAGATCGTGTGAAGAGGAGTTGAAACAGTATGGACTAACATAGATGCAGGTGTAAAGTACAGCAGAAGACAGAAACAAGTGGAGACATGCATTTGAAGCCCTATGTTCCACTAGGAACTCAAGGGAACAACAATAATAATATCACCTGAGACTGAACTATGATTATAATCGTAAATGTTTTATGACATTTCACATTATTATTATTTTTATTATTATTATTATGACGACGAATGTTCCCGCGTATCATGTAAATTTCTTCAACGGATATAAGTGTGTGCATATATAAAAACTTGTGTTTGAATAAAGAAAGAACAATAACAGTTTTTGCAGAACAAAATGCTACCATCATTATTCATTTCGTTGGCTTCTCATCAGCTGCTTGCAGCCCAAAGACATCATTAAGAATATCTACAGAAACAACTTTAACATACTTACCCTCACAGAGTTCATTTTTAAACAAAAATCAATCAATAAATGCATACAGTAATTATATATACATATATAATAACAGTAAACATTTTATTCCTGAACAATAAAGATCATGCCCAATAGAAACTTTCAACGTTACGTAATAAAATGAAAGGGAGGGTGAAAATATCCAGTTACCAGGCACGGCAAGAAAAAAACTAACAACTGCTTCTTTCTGAGCGCATAAATCGAGTTTCAGGCGCTTGATGGATATTGCTTCGGCAAACTTGAGGAGAATTGAACTCTTTCGCCTAATTTTAAACAATCTTGCGACGTTAATTTTATGACTCATGTCAAGGAGAGACTTGGCTATGGCATTGTTTAAAATATTTGTCCCCTTGAGACATAGGCTTTTTGGTACATGTTCAGAAAATCGTAGGTATTCCCTTCTTTCATATATGTGCAAGACTTGGGCACTGTGGTAGTAAGTAATTCCATATTAGTTTGTTTATTAGATATATCATACAGTGAAACAGTATTATTTACTGGATGACATTTCGAACAAAATTTATTGTTCATAATCATACCAATTGTGATCACACGACTTTGAGACTTGAGTTTTATAGTTGTCTTTGTCCTCTCCTATTTGTCGTCATTGGGGTAGTAGAACTTTCCAGATATCTGGCTGGACAGGTGTTGAATCATTCCCAGTACATGTATTTGCAGGTGATTCGATAAACAAAGCTTCTGTTATCAATCTCTCCCTATACCCTGTGACATTAGATTTTAGAACTGTCATCCTATACTATCCCATCATATTGTATGGTTGTGTGTGACTGCATGTAGTGCTATAGCTGAACTATTCTCTAGATTTCTTATTTTATTCAGGTCAACCAATCCAGATTTTACTAGTTTTTATTTTCAGCTAGTCTGACTGCCCTTGTTCTACTAGTTTGACCTATGTATTTCACCTGACAATCATTGCAGGCAGGGTATTAGATAAACTAAATTGTTTTGTTTTAAAGGCTCCACAGGATTGATCCTTTAACCGACAAAGCTTGTTTCTAATTGAGTTTGTGGTTGGTTTGAATGCCAGCCACTTTTATTCCTGCCTTGTTAAGAATTCTGCGTAAGGCTTCCGAGGTTCCTTCCTTGTATGGAATTACTACTGATGATTTAGATTCTTTATTGTTGGTGTTGTCTTGCGCATTTTTGACATGCATATCGTCATCAATATTACTATTATTGCCTTCTTTCTGTTCTTCTAATGTAACTGCTCCCTCAGCTACATGTAAATTTGGGCGTCGGGGGCACAGTGGTTAGGACTCTCGCCGACCATGCACATGGTCCGGGGTTTGATGCCCTGCCGGCGCACACCCGATATCTATGGTCGGCCTGAATTTGGGCTACCGATATCCATGCTGAAAATTCCACACTTGTACTGAAAATACGGTGTGGAATCAAGCTGTAAATCAAAATAAAATTTAAAAAAATAAATTGATCGATTGATTTTTGTTTAAAAGTGAACTCTATGTATGTCAAAATGGTTTCTGTAGATATATTTAATAATGAGTTTGTCCTGTAAGCAGCTGATGAGAAGCCAACGAAATAAATAGTAATGGTAGCATTTTGTTCTTCAAAAAACTGCTGTTGTTCTTTTTTTTCCTTCACGTTCCCAGTGGAACATAGGGCTTCAAGCTTGTGGCTTGAATTTTCTGTAGCAGTGTTTTTTATTTTACAGGATGAGGTTGCTAGCCTCATGCCTAACCTTTCCTTTTCACCAGCATTATTTCTGGCTTAGCGAGGTAAAGGAGTGCATCGGCCGGGGATCGAACCCCGGACCATGTGCATGGTCGGCGAGCGTCTTAACCGCTATGCCACCGACGCTTGCTTTATTCAAATTCATTCAGGGGAATAAATGTATGAAACTTATGTGTTTCATTAATAATGGTTTCCCTTTTTTTCTATTCCATTTTAGATCTGATCCGAAGTTGTTTAAAGATGATGTTGACATTAAATTCAGTCATACATTGAACTCTTGTAAAGTTCCTCAGGTAAGAGGAAAAGACAAGATGTCTAATTTATTTAAATTTATGTTAATTAGTTGAAAATTGATTGGTTTATTGATTGACTGACCAGTTGATAATTTATAATAAATAATTTTATTTCCTTTGACCAGTAATTTAAATGTCTGTCTCCATCTCCCGCATTGTAGATCAGAGAATTGAGATCAAAACGATGAACTACACAATTAAATATATATGAAATGACTTTAAATGTTCAACTAACTAACTAACCAACCAACTAACTAACTAACTAACTAACTGACTAACTAACTAACTAACTAACTAATTAACTAACTAACTAACTAACTAATTAACTAACTAACTAACTAACTAACCAACTAACTAACTAACTAACTTACTTACTTACTTACTTACTTACTTACTTACTAACTACTTAGCTAACTAGCTAGTTGCTGATGAGTTTCAAGCCAGGACGAGATAGCTATTGAGTACTATAAAGTGGTTTTCAGTGTTTATATAACTGATATATATATATAACTGACATTGCTTCGAGAACCATTGGGTCCCTATGGCCTCATGGTCTACAAGCTAGCTCGCCTTGTAACCAGAAGCTCCCGGGTTCGAACCCCAGTGATGGGTGCTTACTGTTGAAGAATCATAAACTAGGATGGGGAAACAGCTGTCCAGTACTCCCAGCTGGTTTTCCAATGGTTCTCTAACCATTGTCAGCTCATGATGAAACCTTGTAACCAATATTGTTCAAATAAATTATAATTCTATTTCAATAGCTTATACACAGTGATAAGTTTTGTTATTGGTAACATTTCTAGCTGAATTACTGCCCGTGTTCACACCAGCTTTTGGAATTGCTTTCTTTTTAATTCATACATTTATGATTAGTACTCATAAATATATAGTTCATTTTGTTTTGTTCATTCATTTTTGTGTATTCAGAATTATATTCCAGGTTGGTGACAGTTGTGCTAGTGAGTCACCCTTGTTACATGTATCCAGTGTGACCTTAATGAATATAGATTCTTAAAACATTTAGTCCATTTGATAAATTTGAATAAGGCATTAAGAAGACAAATTTCGCAAGATGATATCATTTCGTAGTGTCTTTACAACCACTTTACAACTAACATGGTTAACAATAATAAAATAAAGATCATGACAATTACTCAGTTAATTAAAAAACACAAAATTACATACTAATGACCAATCATATTTAGATAGGTCATGTAGTTCAGGGTACCTACGATTAAAGGACGAAATTCTGTGGACTCTACTTCAAACTGCATCTACAAGTTCACCTGCAGCTGCAGTGACACCTATATAGGTAGTACCAACAGAATGTTCCAATGTCGTCGAAAGGAACATGTTCCAAAATGGTTACTAAGTCATATAGAAAATCCCAACGCGACTAATCTTAATAGAAATCCAGCATCATCCATTGCAAAACACTTATTAATTCCAGGTCACAAAATCAATACTAATGACTGTTTCACAATTATTTTATCACATAACTCTAATTCAAGGTTGGTTATTAAAGGTGATGGAAGCACTTTGGATTAATCATATACAGCCTAAACTGTGTGTACAAACATAACAATAGACTTCAATCTTCGCCTACCATGGACTACATGACCTATCTAAATATGATTGGTCATTAGTATGTAATTTTGTGTTTTTTATTTAACTGAGTAATTGTCATGAACTTTATTTTACTATTGTTAACCATGTTATTTGTAAAGTGGTTGTAAAGAAACTACGAAATGATATCATCTTGCGAAATTTGTCTTCTTAATGCCTTATTCGAATATAGATTCTGTTATAAGTCTCTCTTTCCATTTGTTCATATTAGTTTTTAGAATACAAACACTGTTCCAATCGATATTGTGGTTTTTGTCCCCTGCATGTGCAGGTATAGATGAATTTTTTCTAAATTCTTGTAAGCTTGTGTTCCCTCCTGTTGGATGACCTTTAGTCGGTTAGGCGTTTATGTTCATTCACTCTTATTTTGAGTGATCTGAACATTTGACCCACATATTTAGTCGGACACTCGGCACAAGATATCTCTTTGTAAATCACATTATTTTTATCCATCATTTTTATGGGATCTTGCAGTTGATTTATTTTATTTTCGATTAGATCCGTTGGTGTAAACGCAGTGCGAATTCCAATGTTTTTGAGGTTTCTTCGAATTGCCTCTGATGTGCCATTTGTGTATGGTACTGTGACTGTTGTTTTGCATTCTTCCATCTTGTTATTCTCCGGTTTTACTCTCTTTTTTTCTCTTTTTTATATTATCTTTGATAAATTCTTTTCGGGGGTGATTGTTGTCGAGTAACATTTTGAATAGGACATTTATTTCTTTACACTGGTCCTCTGGTGTTGTTGTAAGTCTACGTATTCAATCTGCAAGACCTTGTATTAATCCTCGTTTCACCGTGAGTGGATGAGCTGAGTGGATAACCAAGGAATCTTTCAGAGTGTGTAGTTTCTCTACATAGCGTCATTTTTATGCTACCTACCATCTGTTACTGTTTGTATTTTACAGTCTAACATAAGCAGTTCCCCAAATTGTTTCATTCTCTATTTCCATAGTGAATTTTATTGAGTCGACATGATTGTTTATGTGTGTGAGTAAGAAGAGTTTCTCAACATCGTTTTCGCTTTTCTTTTCACTATTACGAACGTGTCGTCTGCATATATATCTCCACCAACATTTTATTGATTACCTGAATGGTTGAACATTGTTCACTCTGTTTATTATGTTTATCATAAAAATATGTATATATATATATATATATTACATGACTATCAACGCTTAAAAGGGAATATAGGGAAACATGTTCGAGCGAATAAATAACAAGGGATAATACGTAATCACTTTCAGCAGAAAAGACACTCGTTTTTGGTATTGACGTCAGAAAGACTTCTAAGTGTACAGACGACAACTTGTTAACTCTTTTATTGTTCTCAATCAAAACATTGAAAAGGAGGATGTCTAAAGAAAAGTGTTTTTCGACTTTTTGGCTAACACTCTGTAAGATAAAGCTAATAAACACGACAGTTTCACTGTTCACACAATTATTCCCTCCCCCCGCTCCTTTATGAATTTGAGTAAAGCAAAAACAATGTTGGTGTGTACAGAATCACATGGATAGTAGTATACCATGATTACTGGTTTCGTCAGCTGCACGTCAGCTGCTCACAGCCTACAGAAATTATCAAAGTTTTTAATGTACAAAAATAAAACGAACAGAAGAGGGTAAACTGCAGACACACACTCACTAGCATTTATAAAAAGCCAACGCACATCAAGAAGTTAAAATATCCTGGTATAACCCCCCAACCCTTACTCCTACAATTCATTAACTCTCGCATTCTGCCTATTATTCTCTATTGTTCCCCCTTAGTTTTTCTCGGGCTACTGAAGAAAGACTATAACACATTTCGCAGGATGTTAAAGGTTGTCAGCAGGGTAATCAACGTGCCACTTAACCAGCTTGTTAATATTCTGGTTGACAGGTACATGGACTCATGTGAAAAATGGGCCAAATCCATTTTATCCAACTCACACCACCCTCTTCACTCACAACTCTCCCCTTACATCTCATCAGGCAAAACCAGAAGCCCTTATATAGAAAACTATATGCTCGCATCATCAAGTACAAAAACTCAACCATACCCTACTTAGCTCGTGTTCTGTGCGATAAAGAAAGCATTAGGCATGACACCTATAATTCAGTAAATAGTCAGTAGAACAACTGGGTCTCGTCTTTCCAACTCATATCATTTAAAGGTACAACATTTTCTTTCTTTCTTTTCCTTTCCTCTCTCTCTCTTTGATTTTGCGTCATGTGCTGCTTTGTTTCTTTCTCTCGCTTACGCCAGTAAATATGATAGCACCTACTTTTCTAACACCTTCAACACTGTTCAGCTTTACCTTTGCTACCGACATGCCAATATGTTGTTGTAATAATGAACTGTGATTTCCTCAATCTATGTAGAATTCTATTTATTGATAATGTACTAACTGGATGCAATACTGTAGTAAAATTGCTGAGAATTCCATTCTGTATCACAAGTACTGTTTTGGAATAAAGCAAATTATTATTATATTTAGACTTAAATTCATCTTATCCGTCGTTATCTGTAAAGGCTGGCTTAGTTACAAATGTCTAACAAACGGAGCAGTAGCACTAAGTAGTACAAAAAGGGCTAAATGATGAAATAAAACAGAGGGAAGAATAGAGGGTTGGTGTCAAAATAACAATCCTATCAGGATTGTACCAAGATACTATGAGCTCGTCTTTTAATTTTTCGAGGATTCTCCTCAACTGGTTACAACCTGAACGATGAAAAATATGAATTACATTACATTAAAAATTTGTACATACTTTTCCACGATCACAAGGAGTAATTGGTTGGTAGGAAGTAAAACTAACATTAGTCCGGAATGATTTAACTAATTAAGAGTTACAAACACTGACTGTTTATAGAATAATTCAAATGAACTGTGATCAATATTTGACAGTTTATAAAATATTTATAGAATTATTAGACAATTAGGCTTGAAAACAAAATACAGAGTTACGTATATATATGTGTATAGAAACAAGGTTCAGCTAGACAGAGCATAACAAAAAGTAGATTACATAACTAAAGAAAATGTTTTATCTAATAGCCAATAGAAAAGAACAAGGTAGGATGAGTTATGTTTAGATGAGAGAGTAGAGTTTTCTAAAGAAGAAAAAGAGTGACTCATAAAAGTTTTTATATTTTTTGTTATCACCAGGGCAGTGCAAGATTCACCAGTGTCTCTTTCTGCGTACATAGATTTGGTTTAAGTCGTCTGATAGCAATTGCTTTAGCAAAGCGTAGCAAGCTAGGTCTCTTTTGCTTGTCGATTATTTTGAACGACTTCAGGTTGTCAACAATATGATCAGTGTCCAATAGATGACGCGCAATCGCGTGGTTGACAAGAATTAACAATTAAAAATGATGACCTTGACTGTAATTGGTATCGATCAATGATAAATACAAATTATTAGCAGCCAATCACAGCCAAGGTCATCAGTAGAGGCGCTTATATTGATTATGGAGAATTCGAAAAGTTCAGTTTAGAGTGAGATCCACGCTGAAAATGTTAACTAGAAGGAGACTATTCCAGTTTGAAAAAAACTCTCTACCGACAAATAGATAGTGTAGGCTATGCACAGTCCACTCAGTCTTGTTTTAGCAGACATCTCTTCATGTCCAACCTTGATAGAACAAAGTTGAAGCATGCCGTCGATATGTCACAGATGACACATTTGTAGTGTGCAACAATGAAAGTTCTACTTCATGCCTACTCGGAATATTTAGCGAGGTACATACAAATATTGAATTGGCTATGGAACGTGCAAATGATGAAAGGCGTCATTTCACTGACATCGCACTATGCAACGCCTGGAAGATGGTAGGCTCCAGAGGTTAATTTATCGAAAGACTACATGGAATGGACAAGACTTACACTTTAATAGTTCTTTAAAAAGTAACTATTACCAAGCACTGCTCAAAACTCGGTTTTATAGAGTTAGGACAATATGCTGTACAGACAAATTAGAGGAAGAATTGCTGATTCCCGAGAAGATATTGAAAAACAACGGTTACCCTCAGAGGTTTATTTACAAGTACGGAAGCTGTAAAGGCTCAAATGTCAAACAAATCACGGTGAGAAAAAAGACCATCTTCATTCAACTTGGTTCTAAAGGTGAAAATATTGCAGGAATAGTCAACAGAAGATTGGTTCCCGTTTATCACAGAACATGCTAATCTTCGGTGAAATAAAAACTCGACAGATCTCCTTCTTGTGTTAACTCCAACTGTTTATACAAATTTACATGTATCTATGGGAGCAGTTTACTTTGGGAGATCACAGAGAAGGATACACTTCCGATATTCTGGACAGGCACTAAATATTCTACGTCTCAGAGGAATAAACGCTTTCAACAATGCCATTGTTAAGCATCTCATCAATACAGATCATCAGGTGGACATTGGGAAATCCTTCAAATTTATCAATAGGCAAAATTGTTCATTTCTTCTCAAGTTTGTCAAAGCAATCTCCAACAGCTGTACGACAATGCTGCATGCCAAGTAATCCACAACAGGAAATTCACGGAATCCTTCGAAGTGAGGACAGGAGTAAGACAAGGCTGGCTGCCTACTATCGCCAATGATTTTCCTAATTGCAGTAGATTGGATAATGCGACAAACAGCGGGCAATGAGGAAACAGGCATAAAATGGACTCACACAAAATACTTGGAGGATCTGGACTTCGCCGATGATATATGTCTGATTTCCCACAAACTGGAAGATATGCAAGTGATGAAAAGCAACAAGTTGGCAGAAGAAGCATCCAGAGAATATAGGACTTCAGGAGAACATAGAGAAAACAGAGGTGATGAAGATTCCTGGGCAACATCATCAACAGTAACAACGACAACAGACAACAAGAAGCATAAATGGAAGGAACCTGAAAGAAACAACCTCCTCTACCTAACTGGGAAGCATCGTTTCAACTACAGGCCGGTGGAACTGACGAGGAAATCGAAGCAAGAATCGGAAAAGCTGGAAAAGCTTTCACTACTCTCAAGTCTATGTGGAGGTCAACAGCACTCAGCATCAAAAATAAGATCCGGATTTTCAACTTCAATGTGAAGTCAGTCAGTGCTACTATACGGATCAGAGACTTGCACTGCGCGTCATGAAGAGCATCTCAAACAAACTACAGACCTTCATTAACATCTGTCTTCGCTCAATACTCAAGATCAGATGGCCATAAGAGATCAGCAACAGAGATCTCTGGCAATGAGCGAACCAACCCAGTAGGAACCGATTGTGAAAAAAATAGGCAGGAAGAAATGCAGGTGGTTTGGCTGGCCATACTCTGAGGAAACCATCAAGTGACATCACTAGACAAGCCATTGCTCGAGTGGAACCCGAAAGGGAAGAGGCGAGTTGGTCGTCACTACAAGAGTGGGTGACTTGGAGGAGGCGATGTGAAGAGGAGATGAAAGCGTGTGGGCAGACTTGGAGCCAGGTGAAAACTCTAGCAGAGAACCGAACGCAATGGAGACGTGTGGCTGAAGTCCTATGTTCCTCTAGGAATTAAGGGAAACAATAATAATAATAAATCTCCATCAAACGCCTGCAACCTGATTTATGTATTGAGAAAGAATCAGTTATCAGTCTTTCCTTGCTCATCCTGGTAACTGGATACTTTTATTCTCTTTTTTATTTGACTACGTAACGCTGAAAATTTCATTCTGTATGATTGTTATTGTTTGGAATAAAGTGGTCATTATTACTATTATTACCATTGTATGCATACACCGATTTTTGTTTATACTTGAGCACACTTGGTAGGTATGTTGAAACTATTTCTGCACATAAACTTCATGATATCTCTAGGCTGTGGGTAGCTGATGAGAGCCCGACGAAATGAACAATGATGGTATTGACGTTATTTCTGTTTCATTCAAATTCAATTTCACTATTGTTAATTAATCATACAATATTCTGTTTGTTTTTTTTCTTTAACGGTTTTTAGATTCGATATGCAACTGTTAGTCGCCTGTTGGATCGTTTGACAGATGCTAGATTCTTGTCAATCGATTTTTTGAATACATTCCTTCTTACCTATCGTGTATTTACTACTGGTCTCTCGGTGATATGGTCATTGAATCAAGTATTGGCGAATCCAGATGTGGAGAACAGTACTGGTTCGAATAATAGTTCAATGGGTCAAAATCAAAACCAATCCTTTACTTAGTGAGTTAGCCAGTTTTTTGTTGTTGTACCGGTTTGTTGCTGTGCGTCATATTGATTTTACTCTAAAGAATTTGAGCCTCAGATAGAGGAAGAGACACATATCGAAACTACTCGCCACAGATGACACTGGCTGGTGACAGCTGTCAATGACAACAATTAGTGGTCCCACTAAACTCACTAATTAGTACAAGTTGGAATTCATGGGCCTTTGAATCAGACCCTGGTGACTGAATAGCCTGGTAGCTTGACTTGTAACCGGAATGTCCTGGGTTCGAACCTCTGTGAGTGCGTACCGTTGGAGATTCTGGAACCAGGACGAGACGGCTGTTCAGTATTCCGTGGGCTTCCAATGTTTTTCTAACCGATGTCAGTTCCTAATCAACCTTAAAACAAATCACACCCCTACAAACTAACTCTTGTACATCAATTTTGTTTCTTCTTTTGATTGATTGATTGCCTCTGTTAGTTGTCAGACATCATTGAATCCTCGTCAAATTTAGAACCGAGATTTCAACAAATGCCCTGCGCCTTAATTTATCTGGCTGCCTCGATTTATATGGTTATAATCTGTCAGCGAATTACGGAATGTAGTCAACTACCTAATTGAAATGACGTGGAGTTGTGGCTTATTGATTTAATTGATCGATTCTTAACTCTTTGATCACAAGCTCTAACTCCGCCTTGCCTAGAAACTGCATGGAGTCCTAACAACCATTTATTTCACGGAAAAACTCAGCAGAATGTTAGCATGAAAAGACGCACTTGATGTCAGCAACAAATGGCACAGATGAGAATATCAAAACGAGTTAGGATCAGCACAAGAAAGAAAATTCGGATTTTCAGCGATAATTATAGTCAGTCACTTCTTCTGAATGGTTCAGGAGCTTGGATCTTGCGTCACAAAGAGCATTTCCAACAGGCCACCCCAAACTTTTATTGAAAGCTACCCACTTCCCTAGCTCTATAGGGAAGATCTGATGGCCGGATAGGCAGAAGGAATAAGCAAGAATAAATTGTGGGAACGAACCAACCGATATGTAGAAGCGAATGCAGAGGGGTCAGACACATGCTAAGGAAACCGTTGGGTGACATTGGGCATCTGAGTCCATCACTCAAGTGAAAACGACGAGGTTGTCGTCCAAGTATGAAATGTAGGGGATCGTATGAGGAGGAGAGGAAAGGCTTTCAGTAGTCTTGGGTCCTTCTCAAAGACAAATGCAGAGAAGAGGGCAAAGTGGAGGCGTATTGTTGAAGCAGGTGGCTATCTTAAGGGATCGCCCTCCAAGTATGATCTATAAGACAGTAGGACAACGTCAAGAGATGGATTTCCATGACTGTTGGTGACCAGAGCAGGTTCATACGTCATAGGTTTTCGAATCGTGTTGTTTAGCCCCCCTAGGTAGATCCACTATGAATTGAATTCCAGTGGTAAGCGCCTTGCATTCATACCCGCACAAATTCACTTCTCGTTAGAACACCTCTCTAAGCGTGGAAGGACTGAAGATAGCCGACTTGAGAGAGTTTATGAACGCGCGACCTAACCACTCTTGACTTTATTAGGTCACTTAACGAGAAAGATCAACAACAAAATTCGGATTTTCAATACAAACGTCAAGTCAGTTTTGCTATACGGATCAGAAACTTGGCGGGTCACAAAGAATATCTCCAACAGCCTGTTGCAGACCTTTATCAACAACTGTCTTCGCTCTATACTGAAGATCGAATGGCCGCCGGAAAGAATCACCAACAAGAAACTATGGGAACAAACAAAACAAGAACCAATCGCTCAACAAATATGCAGGAGAAAGTGGAGCTGGATTGGACACTCGCTGAGGAGGCCGCTGGGTGACATCGCGCGCCAGACCCTCTAGTGGAATCCGAAAGGGAAGCGGCGAGTGAGACGTCCAAGGGTGATATGGAGGCGATCGTGTGAAGAGGATTAACGTGGACGCAGGTGAAAAGTACAGCAGAAGACAGAAGCAAGTGGAGACGTGTAGTTGGAGACCTATGTTCCACTAGAAACCCAAGGGAACAATAATAAATAATAATAACGAGAAAGGGTTGGGCATTTCGTGAAAATATGCGTGGTTATGGAGTAGCACTCCATACATTTCTCATCCAGATTAAACGACAACTTTGTCTATTTTGAGGATATGGTGATTGGCTTTCCTCTAATGACTCCTTGGTCCAAATAAATTAGCTCTAACTGAACTTAATTATAACAAAGAACTTTCAACAAGGGATCCAATATACGCCTAGCATATGAACACAAATCGACATAAAAACCTTATTTTTGAATATACACGTTAAATAGCTCTAAGAAGTCAACTAGTACTATTCTTTGTTTTAACCCTTTTTCTTTTATTTCTCTCTTCTCAATCGTGAATAGTTCTCATTTTGATAATCCTGAACCACGTGACCCGTTGAGTATGCCAAGGCCGTCAGAAATTTCATTGACAACAACAAATACTACTACGAATCGATTGCCAGTACTGGAAGAAGCTGTAAACAGTCGACTAGATGATACCTCGCCTAGTCCTAATTCAAACTCTCAGACAGACGATAATAGATGTGAATTACATCACAGTAATAATACGGTCGATGGTAATTCAGACGTATTGACAACAACACAACAGTCATCCAGTAGACTGGATCAGACAGCGACAACGACAGCGACTAATACTGAGGTGTCTAACGCCTCCGCCGTCAGTACAATAAAATCTCAAAAGAAGCTACTTCCAAGTCCAATATCTACCTCAGATATGCATCAATCACCTAATGTATCATCAGGTCAAGAATATAATCCCGGTTGTATGAGTCGATCAGAGATTGGAGATAGTCGTAGTTTTTTCTCAGAGAGACAATCCTGTAAAAGTTTCATGAATAGAAGTTTCCACTCGTCATCATCATCATCAGCATCAACGTCATCAACAACAACAACAACAACATCAGCGCCAGCATCAATGGCAGTCAAAAGTCCTATAATTAACACAACACAATCGACAACTGTCCTCATTCCTCGTTCACCTGTATATAGTACACTGGTAGATTTACGAGATGATCCACCGCTGGAGTTACCTATCCTTCCTAATCCTAAGACGGTAAGTTCTCCCTTTTCAATCACTAAGGAGGTTGGGGTATATTTATGCTTTGGAAAGGCTGGAGAAGATATGTCACTCATTTGATTTCTTATTCATAAGTATGATAATATATATTTTGAAACATTTTCTTATTTCGTAGACAAGCTACTTATTTAAATGTCAGTAGATGAGTAACTATTTGTGAAAAAATGAACATTACTGTCTTCTTTGCTGTATCACCCACTGCGTTGTTCAATTCTTAGCACATACGTACTGCTTTATCGAGCGGATTAATACTAGTGGTGAATTGATGTGGAGAATGAATCTTGTTGGAATATATTCGGTATCTGATAAATTTCGGAAAAGAAACATACATTAAAACCGGAATGTTTCATCGTAATGTTTTATGATTTCCCTTCAAAATATTGTCATCATTAGTCCCTTGGTTTCCGAGTGAAACATAGAACTTCAGCGACCCGTCTCCTCGTCGTTTTATTTTCTGCGGTGCTCTTTAGATGGCTAGCTCAGCGGTTGCTCATAAACTCTGATTTCCGCTTCACACGACCTCCTTCATTATAACCTCGGACAAACGTAAAACTCATCGTTCCCTATTCGGATTCTACCCGATCGATGGCCGGGTGCGCGACGTCTTTCAGCGGTCACCTTAGCGTAAACCCATTTCATCTCTATATGTTTCTACATATTTGTTGAACAACAGGCTCCTGATTAGTTTGTTCCCACAAATTTTTTTGCGAATTCTTTCTGACAGGCCATATGGTCATCAGTATCATTGTTGGAAGGCACTTGCTGATAGATGCCTTCAGTAGCATGTTGGAAACGCTTTGCATGATGTGCACGACGACTTTCTCACCCTTACAGAAGAAGTGACTGAATTAACATTGGTGTTTTAAATCTGAATCTTGTTCTTTGTGCTGAGTTAGTGCAGAAGATTTCCAAATTGGTTTCAGACTGATGGAGGTTTATCTTGCTTTTCCTATTCCGGCTTTCATATTTTAACCCGTTCCGCCTTCCCGTAGTTGAAACCATGCTGCCTAGATAGAAGAAGGCAGCGATCTCTTTCAGATTTCTCCAATTGACAATGGTTGATGCTGGTTGTTGTTGCTGTTGGTTGGTTGGTTATCTTCATCACCTGCGTCTTCTCTATATTCACTTGAGGTCGTGTCTTTGATGCCTGCTTCTTCTACCAGTTTGTTGGTTTTTGCCTGTAAGTCTTCGAGTTTGTGCGGCATTAAATATGAATCGTCTACGAAATTTGGGTCTTTTACAGTCTTCTTATCGATTAGTCCAGCGTATTCCTGTCTTCTCACTACCCAAAGTCGAGATGTTTTCATAGCAGTTTGACTGACTTTCCAGAGTAGGGTCACTAGCCTCACACCCAACCCTCCCTCTTTTCCAAAGCTTGCAGCCAGCTGGAAAACTAGCGAGCTAGTAAATTCTACGATGTTCCTTGAGTCTGTAATAGTACTATAATAATACTGTAATTCTAATATAATGGTGACAGCTATGAAAAATAAATCCCACATTCAGTCTTATAACGAGAAGCTCTTGAACAGCCAGTCAGTTCGTTGACCTTCAAGAGTGAATCCATCTATGTTAACTGATTCGATGTATTACTCACAAAATCCATGAGAAACTGAGACATATATTCGCTGTATATATCTGAGTTATGATGCCTCCTGGTTTGAACACAAATTCTGACTGACGATAATAGACGCTAGTCGATTATTCCCTGACTCGAACCAGTAAATTCCAGAAGACTCACAAAGTATGCTAGGAAACGTGCATTTCCAAGACAAGTAAGAGACAAACAGTACAGAAATATATGACATATACCAATCTAGTAAAAAAAGCTTCGCCTTTATGAATTTGAATAAAGTAAGAACAATGTTGGTTTGCGCAGAAATAAGATGGTACCATCTTTATTTATTTCATTGCCTTCTCATCAGCTAAGTACAGACTAATGTGGCTATTAAGTTTATGTAAAGATCAACTTAACATACTTGTAAATTGTACATGTCAGTTCACGATAGGAGACTGAAATCTTGATGCACGGTGCTCAGAGATTACAAATTACATAGTTTATGCCCAGAGAACTCAAGTTTAAGGAGAAATGAATGTTTGCATACAATGACAAGCCAGTTACATTATAAGGATAAGAGGTCTAAAAACGAGGTGAGTAACTTACAAACTAAAGGGCGAAATGGTGCTGAATTCAGCCCAAAAAATAGACGCAAGAGAAAAAAACAGAGTTACACCATACCACAGGGGGAAGATGTTTAATCCAAAGATTGTGTAATCAAGTGAAGAAGACAATAAAGACGTCCAGTTACCTGAACGAGGAAATACTGATAACTGCTTCTTCCTCAAATATAAATCTTGTATAGTCGGTTTGTAAGGATTAGTTTTGTTTTTACGAGTTGATCGCGGATTGAAATCAGTGTTTGAAAGTGTCTAGATCTTAACTCTTATTGGTTATTAGTGCGATAGGATAAGTGAACTCTTTTCGCGTTTTGATTGGTTCGTACATCTGGACCAGCAATAATGGCGAATTATTATCGATTTTCTGAGTAACCAATCACAATCAAGTTAGCCGGAAAATGAAGTTACCTTTCCACCAATAGGTATATTTGAAATAAATAATAAAGTTTCTGTGAGAGTTTATCTTTCTCATATGTAAACATCAAAAATTTTGAACAAATTTATCATTAAAATATTTTTTTTAATGGTTTCAAATATAATTCACATCCTAAATATTGTTTTCTTTAAAAAATATATATATGTTACAATTATATAGTCGGAGAAAAAGCAACAACCTCGTGAAAGTAAAGATACAGGCAAGGAGACATCTTCATCAACTCCCATATCGTCTCACGATGATATTGATGAAGGCACTGGTACAGTGAAAGGACATGCACGTTTAGCACCATTAGCTTCATGTGAAGTAATTCCAGATGAAACAGATCCAACAAGCATTTCAAAACAAGAATCTGTCAAAGATTTCAAAACTTCTTTATCATCTAAAGAGAATATCGCCAGTCATGAGGATAGTTGTCGGCATGAAGCTAGTGAGAACAGTATAACTACTACTACGACTACCACTCATGTTGATAAAATAGATTCTACATGTGTACATAATACAACTACTGGTCATTTAGACATTCATTTGGATAAAACTGATGGTTTAGTAAGTCAAGGCGAAATCCAATCAAATGTTGAACATAGCAAAGAACAGCTAAGCGGTGTAAGACGTGAGAAAAGTGAAGATGAGACACATTCTTCGAAGCAGAGTGAATCGACAAATACATCGAAATCAGATATTGAAATCTCTGTGTCATATGAAAATCAGGTGAGTGAGCAAAACCCTGTCATTTTTCTATTGTCTTAAAAAGCGATTCTTAACGTCTTACCTGACCTTTAATCTAAAGTTCTAAGCGAGATTCTAATTTAAAGTAGAAATGTTTTTGAATGCAGATGTTTGGAGGCAATCGACAGGATGCTTTGGTCCTCCTAGATTTCGTCTTTGTTAGTGCTCATGCTGCTCTTGAGTCCAGTGGTAACTTCTGTGACTGTTGGAAGTCATTGGTGACACCCGTTTGAACCTTAGGACTGAAATGAGTTCCTTGAAGATTGCAAATATGCCTTGTATATACACTGCGTCGGTGGCATAGCGGTTAGGATGATCGCCGACCATGAACATGGTCCGGGGTTCGATCACCATTACCTCGCTAAGCTAGAAATAAAGCTAGTGAAGAGGAAAAGTTGGGCATGAGGCTAGCAACCTCATCCTGTAAAACTAAACACTACTACAGAAACTTCAAGCCACTAGCTTGAAGCCCTATGTTCCACTGGGGAACGTGAAGGAAAAAAATGGATATTTAGACTCTAATTCATCTCATCCGTCAACTGTTAAGGCAGGCGGCTTAGTTAAGTGTCTAACAAACCGAACAGTAGCACTAAGTAGTGCAAGAAAAGACCTAAATGATGAAATGAAACAGATTAAAGAAGAAGCGTTGGTATCAAATAACTACCCTATAAAATTCATTAGGACTATCAGAAAAGGTCAAAAGCAAAATAAAAATAATTGTGAAACTAGTAATGACAACATAAATAAGAAAGAATATAAGTCATCTACTGCTATACCATATAAAGAGGGGACATCTGAGACCCTCCCTAAGTAGGATTCTTAATAAAGCAGGAATTAGAGTGGCATTTAAACCTACAAACTCACTCAGGTAGGACAAGCTCTGTAGGTTAAAGGACTCTGCAGGTTGACCAAATTAGACAAAATTATATAATTTACAAAATTTCTTGCAATGACTGTGAGTTAAGTCAACTGCATAGGTCAAACTAGTAGGTCAGGGGTAGTCAGATTGTCAGAACATAAGAAATTAGTGGCTAAGGTAAGAATGGTTGACCCCGAGAAGATGAGTAATTTAGAAAAAAGCTCAGCAATTGCACTGCATGCTTTAACGCACAACCATACAATAGGATGGAAGACAGTTAAAATTCTAAAATGTAATGCAGGTAGGTGGAAAGCGAGAGAGATTGACCACTGAATCCTTTTTCATCGAATTAACACCCAACACGTTCAATAGGAAAGACTAATCACTCATACCACTATTTTGGAAAGTATTACTACCAATCATCAAATCAAGAAATGAGAAATAGTGAAACCATATTAACGAAGTAGGAAAGTTGTGTGATTAGTGTCTTGATATGACTATGAGCAGCAATGAAATTGTGCTCGAAACGTGGTCATCAGTAAATATTACTGTATACCACACTATGAGATTTTATCAAAATAAATTTTATCCAAAATGGAATTTTTCGAATTGCTACTGTCACTTATAATGTCTATCTATAGCTCGACGTCACTGTGAAAAATTGTGCGTTCAGAAATTTTGTAGCTTAAAACTTGATTCTCTTTAGAATATGTAGGCAACTGAAGAGAATCCACGAAATAAAACCATCTCGTTCTATCAAATTTCTAAATATATATTGATTGTCTCTTTTTATTCGAAGAAGCAGTTATCGGAAAGCGAATCACAATCTCTGTCTTGAAAGCCAACTTTAATCAGTTGAATTTCTTTTCTCTCTGTTTTCTTCCCTTTCTTCTTATATTTTTAGCCAAAGGAATATTTAAATTATGCGCCAATGACTAAAATCAATACACAAAATATTGAAAGTAGACATTTTAAACAAACAACAGATCAATTATCAATTTTAAATAGTCAACAATTTAGTCATAGTTGGACAACAATTAATCGTATTGCATGTAAAAATGATACCGACGACTACAACGACTGTGACGATGATGTTGGTGATGACGATGATGGCGTTGCAGAAGATGATGCTGCTGTTTACGATCATAATGAAAATGTCACACACAGGGGGGATAACACTGACAGTAGAATAAAACATGCGGAAGATTGTCAAAAATTGAAAAAATCTCCTTTATCAGTAACTAATTTAAAGGATAATGATAGATTGTTGGAGAATTATTTAAATCAAACTGTTGGTTCATCATTGTTGGCCACAGAGAACAATTATGATCGACAACCTCAACAGCAACAACAGCAACAGTCATCAGGGAATTGTGAGAAGGCAGTTAGTGATGGTAGGTGCAGTACTTTGTCCATTTCTTTTCTCTTTCTTTTTGCATGACCTTCCGAACTCACCCAAAGTTAACTTCATTAAGTATGCTGATGATCTGACCGTTCCTGTCCCTGTAGTTTCCACATCGGATTGTTCCCATATGAATGGCTTCTTAGCTGAAATTAAGGATTAGTCTGGCTCAAATGGTCTTAAACTAAATCCAACTAAATGTAATACTGTTGATTTCAGCTTGAGAAGTGAAAAAGACATGCATGGATTGATCCAATCTCATGATTGTTGTAATATTTATGGTACCATGATAGAGAGTAAGTCAAGTGTTTCTTATCTTGGCATTAGTTTCTCTTCAAACCTTTGCTGGTCGTCTCATATTCTTATAGTTTCTAAGAAAGTTTTCCATCTGACTTATTACATAAAGAGGTTGAGGCACTCAGGTATAACCCAATCTCTTCTCATACAATTTATTGATTCATGTGTTTTGCCCATCATTCTTTATTGTTCTCCATTATTCTTCCCTGGGCTAATCAAGAAAGACCATATAATATTACGAAGAACATTGAAAGGCTGTAAGTAGGATCAGTGCTATCCCTTTAACTCAACTAACCGACACTGTTGTCAATAGGCATATGAATTCTTGTAAACACTTAGCTAAAGTTATTTTGTCTGATAGTGAACATCCTCTTTATTCACAATTGTTTCCTTGTATCTCTTCGGGTAAGATCAGAAGAAATTTCATAAACATTTATGCTCGTACTACAAAATATAAAAATTCGATGGTACCATATTTGGCACGAGTATTGTGTGAAGAGACAAATATCAGAAAAGAACTCTTACAACTTTTAAATCATTAACTAAACTATAAAGTGTAATGATGCATATTATTACATGTGTGATTTGTTATATTATTTATTTATTATTCACTATGACCTAGAAATGGTGTGATTTTGTTGGGTTTTTTTTATTTTTTCCTATTAATTATCAATATTTTAACATTTTATACATTTATATAATTATAAACAGAGCTAAACCAATGCAATATGTAAAATAAAACGCTGAAAATTCTATGCTGTAAATTTTTGTTGTTGTGGAATAAAGTGATTATTATTATTATTAAAAAATTAGGTTGATTTCTTTGGTTATTTGTGTTCTAAGTAATTACTAAGAAAATCGATCAGAATCGCATTCATGTAAGAAATCTGTTCGGTTAAGCCTAAGGGTGAAGCATTCCCATTTCATGTAACTAAGAGCAGATGATAATAAAGGTTTTTGTATTTCCAAATGAATGAAAAACAAAACTGACGTTTCGCTACTTAATGCTGCTAATAGCTTTATCAAAGTATTATTAAACCTGAATTTACAAAATCTCAGCATATATATAACAAATTTAATCATCGTTCCTCCCTATGGGGTCATTTTTGCGTTTTCAAGTTGGCCAATTGGTAATGATAACAAAACCAGGTGTAGATTGGTGGATTTGATAAGTGTATAAAATTATAAAAGCAGCGTGTCTTTACGTAGTAAAATTGCTTATCGCATCCGTATTGATTTTGTCATTTCATGGGAGAGGAGGGTGTTGTAACCAGGGCAAATTCTATTTAAGTCCATCACTCCTATTCAGACAATTTGGATTACACTTCAGATGAAGTGCTTCTCATTGATATAAAACGTTCTTTGTGATTTCTGAAATGCTTTTTCTGGATTATTTCAATATTGTCAAAATCAATTTCGTGGCCTGATTTTATAGCGTAGCGTGTAGACGACCTATGGCTGATGGTTTTTCAAGCTTTTCTAGTTCACTATCTGGATTTTTATGTGGTCGAACAGATGCTTTACGGTGTTCATTTATTCTGATTTTGATTTCTCTCTGGCGATGTTTGTCCGATGTATATCGCATCACATTCCAAGGAAGTATTTTATTTTATAGACACAATTAAATAGAGAATCTTTAGGGTTTTTTTCCTTTATATGGACAAGGGTGCTTTGCAGTATGTGGGTCTAATGTTTTAAATAAAACTCTGATGTCGCGCTAATTGAGCACTCGTCTCATATCGTCTGACATCTCTGATATATATGGAATGACAACTGTTGAGGTCCATGTTTTCGGAATACTTTTTCGAACATACTTAATTTCAGCGGTGATTTTGTTGATAAAGTTCTTTGGGTAGTTATTTTTTATCTTGGAAATTTCAGTAATGCTTGATATTTCTTCTTTGTTTTCTTTCTCATCCGTTAATATCAAAGAGTGTGCTCGTCTAAGAAGACTTGAAACAACTGAAACCTTTACGTTGATGGGGTGTGATGATCCGAAGTCTTAATATTTGTTGGAGTGTGTTTTCTTCCTGAATAAAGGTATACTAAAATCTCCGTTTTGCCTTTTCTCAACTAGACAGTCGAGAAATGGTAGTTCACCGACGTCTGATTCTGCTTCCGAAGTAAACTGGATTCTGAGAGATGCACAGTTTATTTTCTCCAGGAATGAACTGTGTAGATCTCGTTTTAGCACTACAAAAGTATAATCTACATATCTTAACCATATTTTAGGAGTGAGTATGCTTGAAAAGATGTTATCTTCGAGTCTACTCATAAAAAGATCAGCGACTATTGGGAAACTAATGAAACCATAGTAACACCATTTTATGTCTATATGAATTCCATTAAAATCTAAAATAATTACTTTCTAGACAGAATTTCAAGCTCTTAATTATTTCACTGGTGTCCAGTGGACATCTTTTTGATAGCGTTGTATTTGATTCTAGTGGACTGGAAATGATACTAAGACTTTCGGTAATTGAGATACTGGTATATAATGAGTTAATATCATAGCTTACCATAATGTCTTCTTTATCAATTTCTCGGTGTTATATTTGGGATTTGAAATCATATGAATTCCTTACAATATTTTGGGTGTCCTTTTGTAGTGGTTTTAGTATCGAGAGTAAGTATTTAGAGAGGTTGTATGTCGGTGAGTTGGTGAAATCTACTACTGGTCTTAATGGAACTGTAGGTTTATGTATCTTTGGTCGACCGTAGAATCTTGAAGGTATATAATATTTTGGTTTCAATTTAAACCAGAGAGAATTTCCAATTTCGGGTTGTAATTCCTGAAGCAGTTTGTTGCTATTTAGTTTCATTTTGCTGAATTTGGCAGATTCCTTCGCAAAAATGACCCCATGCTGAAGAACGATGATTAACTTGTTATCTATAAGTTGAGATTTTGTAAATTCTGTTTTAATAATATTACTACTCTGAAAAAGCTATTAGCGTCATTAAATAGGGAAACGTCAGTAAAAGCAACAATAACTCCATTATGGATAAGATTTTATTTTGATAAATCACACAGTGGTGTTATATAGTAATATTAACTGATGACCACTATTCGAGCACAAACTATTGCCACTCATTATCATATCAAGTTACTCACACAACTTTTTCCCTCCATTTATATACATGTTTGGAAGTGACCAGATATTTGAATAAAAATCAATATAGGATAATGTACATTCAGAAATAATAAGACGAGTGTTTTTATAGTCATAATAAGTAACTTGTTAGAATGTTGTGATGTACGTGAATCGAAATAGAATTTTGAGATTATTTATTATCCTCTTCTGATTTGACTGGTGGTAATGCTATCTTCCATATTTCTGGTATTTGCATTGAGTCACTTCTGTTGCATGTGTTGGGTGTAGACTCGATGAACCAGGTTTCAGTAATCACCTACACAGATTACTTCTTAGAATTTTAATCCTCTCCCATCCTACTGTGTGATTGTGCGTTAATGCATGCAGTGCTATTGGTGAGCTTTCTTCTAAATTACTTATCTTCTCGGGGTCAACCATTCTTACTTTAGCTAAATTCTTTTGTCCCGACAATCTGATTACCCCGATCTACTAGTTTGACCTATGTAGTTGACCTTACAGTCACTACAAGGTATTTTGTAAATTACATTATTTTGTCTAATTGGGTCCACCGGGTCTTTTAGCCTACAGAGCTTGTCCCTGAGTGAGTTTGTAGGTTTGAATGCCCCACCCTAATTCCTGCTTTATTGAGAATCCTACGTAGGGTCTCAGATTTCCCTTCCTTATATGGTATAACAGTAGATGCCTTATATTCTCTCTTATTTATGTTATCATTGCTAGTTTCACAATTATTTTTATTTTGCTTTTGACCTTTACTGATATTCCTAATGAATTTTATAGGATAGTTATTTAACAACAACTCCTCTCCTATCTGTTTCATTTCATCATTCGGGTCTTTTCCTGTGCTACTTAGTACTACTGCTCGATTTGTTAGACACTTTAAACTAAGCCTGCCTTCACAGACAGTTAACGGATGAGAGGAATTAAAGTATAAATATCTATTAGAATGCGTTGGTTTTCTATAAACACTAGTGTGTAGTTTACCTTCTACTATTCCTTTTAATTTGTAATCTAACATAGCGAATTCTCCTTGTTCATTTTCCGATTCAAATGTGAATTTTATTCCCATTTACAATTCAGCTTATATGTGTGAAGAAACGATATATATGTTCTGTTTCTAACACTGTGGAAGTTTCAGCCACATTTTTCCACCATATTTTTGGAGTAGAATTAAATATATTAAGAGCGAATATCTAGTCAACTCCACACATGTATATAAACGAAAGAAAAATGTTCTATGAGTAACTTGATATGATAATGAGTGACAATAGTTTGTGCTCGAAACGTGGTCATCAGTTAATATTACTGTATAACACCACTGTGTGATTTATCAAAATAAAATCTTATCCATAGTGAAATTATACTCTACCACCACAGTGCCCAAGTTTTATACTTATATCTTGAATAAATTTCCCTACTCCATTACTGTTCTTTTTCACACAGATAATACACCCCAAGATAAAGACAGATCCGAGTCAATAAACTGTACAAATCCCGTGAAACCTGCAAATTCAACAAAACAACAATCAACAGTGAATTTCAAACCTCATCCCCCCAGTCACCCGTCACAGAAATACTTCCCAGTGGCTGAAAGTTTAGATTTAGCTACCCGGCTGACAGCAATTACAAAATCACCTAAATCATTCTCCGCTTGCCAATCACTCGCCAAGCATACAATGATTGCAGCGTTAAACTGTTCTCGAGCATTTACCGGTTTACAAAAAACAACAGCCAATGAGAATCGTAGTTCTGACGCCGGTGTAAACAGTAGCATACAGTCGAAATATTTAGAGGATAACTATCCAGAATTTAAAGAAATCATCCGCTCGTCGCCGTCTAGTCCGAAGAAGTATTCAGAAGGATCTGTGATGAAGAATAAAGTAAGTAATTTTGATATTCAAGTATTGATTTGTAAGGATTTGATTGATTGGTTACAGGAATTCATCATGAGCTGACATCGATTAGAGAACCATTGGAAGACAAGCCACAGGGAGTACTGGACAGTTGTTTCGCCAGCCTAGTCTGGGACTCTTTATCAGTTCGCACTCACCACAAGGGTTTGAACCCAGGACCTTCTGGTTACAAGGCCAGCGAGCTCTTAGACCATTAGGCCACTGGGACCCGATATAATAGGTAGTCCATGAACCCCAGCTTCTGCCAATTTACGATATACCGCAACCACTAGCCAACGTCTTCGGTGAGTATTTGTCCTCACGCCTGACCTGTTGTACTCTGTACCCTCACTTTGTAACCAGAAGGTCCTGGATTCAAACCGCGGTCGGTGTGTATCAATGAAGAGACCCAAAGTACGACGAAACGGCTGTCCAGTACTCCCGGGTCTTCCAATGGTTCTTCAACTGATATCAGCTCATGATGAAATCCTGTAACTTAGCAGGCGAAGTACAAGAATAGCATCCCAGGAGTGCGAACGCTCAAATGACCTTGAACGCTTGACAGTTGTTAGTTGAGGAAACTTACCATTATTCTAGCGCGAAAATGAACGGTGTACATCTGCTGAGATGCAAATTTTATCCAGATCACGTTTTTCAGTACTGCTTAGATAATGGATTAATAGGACGCACTCGGATATGTAGTTGTGGTGCTTACATGAACCGCCAGGTCATTGACTGATATATATTTAGAAGTACACAGTGTAGGAAGCGAATAAATGTGCGTACTGGTAAGCGACACTCTCAGTTAATTGTCTTCTAGGAACTTTCTTTGAAAAGTCGAAACTGTAGTTGACCAATATCCTGTTTCTGTCCCATTACTGGGTTTTAAAGTCCCGGGTGTGATCAACTGCGGCTCAGGCAGCTAATACGTCGACGTCTACTGTGCATTGGTTTCAATTTTGTCGAGATTTAGCCTCGTAGAAGATAAATAGCATTATTCAGGTGTTGGGAGGAGTCGGTTTCGTCGTCCATATCGATGAAACGGTTCTTATAATGAAGAAGTACAATCGCGGACGAGATAGAGCTAACAACGTTTGGGTTCTGGGAATTTACGACACCCAGATTCGCAAAGAATTCATCGAACTGATTCCAGATAGGAGTGCTGATACACTCCTCCCTGTTATTCAGAGGCTCGTCTTACCAGGCACCACCATTCACACGGATAAATGGGCAGGATATAACCGATTATCACAACTGGGATATATACATCATCGAGTCAACCATTCGGATGACTTCGTCGACCCCAGAACCAGTACTTATACCAATTCAATCAAAGTTTTCTGGGGAAGATTAGAAAATAGAATCGGAGCTATCAACGGATATCAAAACCAAGTTATTTTCAGTCATCTGGATGAATATACATGTATAGAAATTGGTTTAATTTAAAAACTGAAACTCCTCATTATAATTGGGAGACTTTTCTATCTTATAATAGACAGAAATGTTTTCATGCTTTTTTATGTAAATATAGGTAAAATTTTATGCAAAAATCCTCATTTTTGCTGATTGGTCGGCTCAAGGTCACTTGTGTGTTCGCATTCCTTGGAACGCTATTGTAGAACTTTGCCACTAAGTATTTTGGATTACTTATTGATTAAAATAATTGCTCCTGGTATGTTATGTAATACGTCGAGATTGAAATAGATACGTTATTACATAACCTAGATATATGACACTAGTTGATGACTATCCTCCAATCAAAATATCCCTAAATGAACAATCTATCTATAATATTGGTTACTTATGTTTCAAATGATTTTGTTATTAACGCCGTTGATCCTGATCTGTAGATCTTTGTTGTAACGTTTGTTTACCTCCTCTTTACATGATTATAAACTGTTTGTCCTTGTTATCCAGTTGATCCCTAAGTTGAATGCTTCTCTTTTGTGGTTGCGTGATGGTGTTAATAACATAAATAACATGCCATTTTGTTTGAGTGATATCAAGGTTATGCTATAGAGTGACTGCTTAACCTTGTGTTGTCGGAGATGGGGAAAGGTGTTTTGTATAAGTGTGATTCTTCCAGACAGACTCATGATCCAACCTTGTTTGGAATCACACAGTGTTATACAGGTATATTTACTAATGACCACGTTTCGAGTGCAATTTACTAGTGCTCATAATCATATCAAGACACCAGCCACACAACTTTCTTGCTTCGTTTATATACATGAATAAAAACTGGACTGGACATATTAATGAAATCAATATAAGACATGCATGAAACTAAAAGGAAGATAAAGTACATTTGGAAAGTTGTGCGTGTGGTGTCTTGAATATCTGGATTTCTCAAACCATATACGTTTAATATCATACAAACTCGAGGACTTACAGGCAGGCGAAGACAGGACTCCAGGAGAACATCCATAAGACGGAGGCGATGAAGCTAACCAATCAACCAACCAACAGCAACAACAATCAGAACCAGTCACCATCGACGGGAGAGATTTGTTAGAGGTGACCGCTGCACTTATCTGGAAAGTACTATTCCAACTGCAAACAGACGAAACGGACGAAGATGTCAAAACCAGTCAGAATCGGAAAGGCAAGATACGCCTTCAACAACCTGAATCCAGTTTGGAAATTTTATGCTTCACTCAATCAGCCAGCATAAGGAATAAGATTCGGATTCTGTTCAACACAAATGTTCAGTCAGTCAGACCATTGCATCGAGTGTCACGAAAAGGATTTCCAAAAGGTTGCAGACTTTTATCAACAGCTATTCGCTAGCTGGCAGGAGGGCCAGAAAAAATTAACAACAGCAAACTCTCGGGGGCTGATGCACCAACCAAAAGCCGATTGCTCAATAAATAAGTGGGAGAAAATGGAGATCGATTGGGCAAACGTTAAGTAGGCTATCGAATGACATCGCACCCAATGCAGGCCATCGCTCAAGTCGAATCCCAACTGGAAGCGACGAGACGGTGGTCAGTGCTATAGTGACATGCAGGCGTTCGTGCGAGGGGTGGGAAGAGATGAGCGATTATCTTCAATCTTTGAGTTAGCTAGCTGAAGAGGGCAGCAGAAAATAGGACGAAGTGGAGATACGTTGTTGAAGCCCTATATTCCACTCGGAATCCAAGGGAGCAACAACAATAATAATTTGCATTATTCCAAAACAGTACATGTGATACAGAATGGAATTCTCAGTATTTTTAATACAGTATTGCATCCAGTTTGTACATTATCAATCAATAGAATTCTACATAGATTAAGGAAATCTCAGTTCATTATGACAACAACATATTGGCATGTCGGTAGCAAAGCCAAAGTTGAACAGAGTGTTTGAAGGTGTGAGAAAAGTAGGTGCTGTCATATTTACTGGTGTAAGCGAGAGAAAGAAACAAAGCAGCACATAACGAAAAAGAGAGAGAGGGGGAAAAGGAAAAGAAAGAAAGAAAATGTTGTACCTATAAATCATATGATTTGGAAAGACGAGGTCCAGTTGTACTACTGACTATTTAGTGAATTATAGGTGTCACGCCTAATGCTTTCTTTATCGCACAGAACACGAGCTAAGTAGGGTATGGTTGAGCTTTTGTACTTGCTGGTGCGAGCATATAGTTTTCTATATTGGCTTCTGGTTTTGCCTGATGAGATGCAAGGGGAGAGTTGTGAGTGAAGAGGGTGGTGTGAGTTAGATAAAATGGATTTGTCCCATTTTTCACATGAGTCCATGTGCCTGTCAACCAGAATATTAACAAGCTGGTTAAGTGGCACGTTGCTTACCCTGCTGACAACCTTTAACATCCTGCGTAATAAGGTATAGTCTTTCTTCAGTAGCCCGAGAAAAACTAAGGGGGAACAATAGGGAATAATAGGCAGAATGCGAGAGCTAACGAATCGTAGGAGTAAGAGTTGGGTTATACCAGAATATTTTAACTTCTTGATGTAGAAGATAAGACTGAATATTTTCTTAGAAATTGCTAGGATATGAGACGACCAGGAAAGATCAGCAGATAGAATGACGCCTAGGTATTTAATTTCCGACTTGGTTTCTATTTCAGTGCCATCTATGTTGCACACCTCGTGAGAGCTAACCAGTTTGTTTAGGTCGGATTTATGCCTAAAGGTGATATTGACTGTTTGGCATTTGGAGGGGTTTAAGGTAATACCGGTTTCCTTGGACCACTGGCTGATTTCTGATAGAAAGCCATTTAATTCAGAAAAGTCACTTTGACATTTGACAGGCAAAGATACAGTCAGGTTGTCTGCATATTTGACATAATTAATGTCATTTGAAGATAGTAAGTCATGTAGGAAGAAAGAAAAGAGAAGTGGGGAGAGTACAGTACCTTGGGGGACACCAGCTTCAGTGAGTACAGCAAAGGAGGATTTACCTTTGTATATAACATTATTTAAAATAATAATAATGATACTTATAAGAATAAAATTACAACTTTGATTTCTTTTCCTTACTATCCCTTCACTGTTTAGAATACAAAACCAAATGTAAACATTCATGATACTTCACAAACACATGAAAATGAAAATATCAAGATATCTCCAAAGTTTTCCACTGACAGTAGAACAACTCCTGAAATTATTTCAACACGTGAAAGTCAAACAGAGGCTAGACGATCTGTTCCAAGTTTCAAGTCCAGTAGACCTATCAGTTCAGTTGAAGTAATAAGACAAAAGAAAACAGATACTGTTGTAAATGAACAAGTGAGTGACAATAAAGAAAGAAGAAAGAATATTTCTTTGAAAATTTTTATACTACTTATTAATCTTTAAGTACTATTCATATAAGTATAGAACTTGGGCACTGTAGTGGTAGAATGCAATTCCATATAGAAACAAGTGGTAAAGACAATCGGTAAAGACAGGTTGGTTTAGTCAAATGTTTATATAAACTGGTCAGGATAGAGCCTAACTAGTCAGCTAGAAGATTTAAATAACGAAATCAAACAAATAAAAGAAATATTACTAATGAATCACTAACCACCCACCAGAATGTATTCAGAAATATGTGAAGAACCTTAGAAAAATTAGGACTGGCAATAAAAGTAACGAAAACAACGACAATAATTCAGAATTCAAAGCCCCTGTAGTACTACCGTATAAAGAAGGAATGGCAGAGGCCTTACGCTGGATTATATATGAGGCTGGAATTAAGGTGGCATTAGAACAACCAACCAACTCACTCAGAGATAAATTTTGTCGGCTTAAGTATTCCCCAATGTGCGTCGGTGGCATAGCGGTTAGGGCGCTCGCTGACCATGCACATGGTCCGGGGTTCGATCATAGGCCGCCAACTCACTCCTTTACCTCGCTAAGCCAGAAATAAAAGCTGGTAAAGAGGAAAGGTTGGGTATGAGGCTAGCAACCTCATCCTGTAAAAATAAACACCGCTACAGAAACTTTAAGCCTCTAGCTTGAAGCCCTATGTTCCACTGGGAACGTGAAGGAATAAAAAAGAAATGTAGAGATGACTATGAGGTCAATTACACATAGGTCAAACTAGCAGTAGATCCTGGTCAGTTAAATTAATGGAACAAAAAAATTTAGCTTGACACCTAGAATGACTGACCCTTCTATGTTAAATAAGCTAGAAAAAAGCTAACACATTGAATTGCATCATAAGAAAAAGGCACAAACAGCAAGAAAATTTTCTTTTCGACGATTCATTCTCATGAGCTGACGTGCAATCGTAATTATATTCAACGGAAAAATCTTTTGACCAATCAGATACTGGCAAACTTTGTCCTCGAAAAATGTGTTACGCAATGTAAGGTGTAACCCGGAGGGAGTGACTAATAGTAAGTTAGAAAAGAGGCAGAAGTTGGCATGACGTAATAAGTGTGAGATAATAACTAATCAATGACAAAACTTATCATTGTGTATAAACTATTGAAATATAATTATACTTTATTTGAGCTTTATCAAAGTATTATTAAACTGGAATTTACAAAATCTCAGCATATATATAACAAAGAGTTAAGGGGTGAGAAAATAGACTAATTAGGTCAAGTTAAAAGGACATATTGAAAGTCAAAATAACAATGAAGATCACTAAACCAAACAACAAAGGTAATAGTACATCTTTTATGGTACCAAAATAAAGTTTACTAACTTGATCATCGTTCGTCTGTCTGGGGGCATTTTTCGTTGTCAGGCTGGTCAACTGGCAAAGATAACAAAATCAAAATCAAGTGTGGATTGCTGCATTTGATCAGAGTGTAAAATCATAAAAGCAGTGTGTGTTTACATAGTGAACTTGCATATCACATTCGTGTTGATTTTTTCACTTCATGGGGGAGGGGAGGGAGGTGTTGTAACCAGGTCAGATTCTGTTTTAGTCCATCATTCCTATTCAGGCAATTTTGATTCCACTTGATATGAAGTGCTTCTGATATTAGACGTTCTTTAGTGATTTCTGAAGTTTTCTGGATTATTTCAATATTGTCAAAATGAATTTTGTGACCTGATTCTAAAGCATGTAGACCTATGGCTGATACTTTTTCAAGTTTCTCAAGTTCAGGTCACAAAATTGATTTTGACAATATTGAAATAATCCAGAAAAACTTCAGAAATCATAAAGAACGCCTTATATCAATGAGAAGCACTTCATATCAAGTGGAATCCAAATTGCCTGAATAGGAATGATGGACTAAAACAGAATCTGACCTGGTTACACCACCTCCCTCCCCCATGAAGTGACAAAATCTACAAGAATGTGATGTGAACAAACACACACTACTTTTATAATTTTACACACTGATCAAATCCAACAATCTACACGTGGTTTTCTTATCTTTACTAAATAACCAACTTGACAACGAAAAATGCCCCCATACAGACTAACGATAATCAAGTTAGTAAACTTTGTTTTGATACCATAATAGACGTACCTTTGTTATTTGGTTTAGTGATCTTCATTGGTATTTTGACTTTCAATATGACCTTTTAACTTGACCTAAGTAGTCTATTTTCCCACCTCTTAACTCTTTGTTATGTATATGCTGAGATTTTGTAAATTTCGGTTTAATAATACTTTGATAAAGCTATTAGCAGCAGCATTAAATAACGAAACGTCAGTAAAAGCAACAATATCGTTTTGTTTTTCATTCATTGGGAAATACAAAACCCTTAATTATAATAAACATAGTTTAATGTCAAGTGGCAAAATAATTAGTGTCGTATATAGAATAATACATAAGGTGTATAGAATTTTGGAAAGGGGTACATAATTATAAGATTAGTAGACGAATATAAAATGTTACATAACATGGTGTGGAATTTGATAAGATAGAATTCAATATTGTAAAAATAAAAAATAATAATTTTGGATTTAGAATGACAAGTGGGACAAGCGGAAACAATTCAGAGTGAGAATAGTAATAATAATAATAATAATCGTAGTAATAAGGGAAAAATACATAGAATAACAACATAAACAAAATAAATAAATGTCCATCCCTCTATAGCCAAGGCAGAAGTGGGGATTGTACATACTTCTTTTGTACACAAAGGTATGGCTTAAAGTCGTGTAGTGCCAAGGCCTCAGCTGTCTTTAGAAGTCTGTAACGAAGAAAACGCGAGAAGCTAGCATGGATTCTATATATGATCTTAAAATCATGGTCAGGGTTAACAGAGTGACAGGAGTCGATCAGGTGTATTCTAGAATTGAGCTTCGCATACACTTCCTTTCCCCCTTATAAAACCAAGCTGGAATAAGTTCTCGTATCCGTGTGGAAAGCGTCCTCTGACTACGGCCAATGTACCCTGCTCCACAAGAGCAGATGAACTGATGGATGCACATGGAGGCGACCAGAGGGAGGAGCTTATCTTTTACAGAGGTAGAGAACAACTTGCGGCTAGAGAACGTCATATGTAACATATGTGAATATATATGAATAACTTGGATCTTTTTGAACCGAATATTATTACTGTTAATGTATATTACAGTATTGGGTTTGATTATATATAAAAGAAATATCTTATAACCTTCCCAGTGTAAACTTGTACGTAAAACCAACAAAGGACAAGATTCAAATAACTCAGAAGAAGGTAGACACCATCAAGAAACTCTTCAGCCATTATCGTCTTCAACAAATAACAATAACCAGACCGTACCATCTGATATTATGGTAAAAGAACGACAGGATTCATTAATCCCACATCAGTTGGGGATTGGGGATTGTGCCAGGGGATCTGTTGTATCTTGTAAGTATTTGCCCTTTTATATATGCACATATATGGTTTTGAAAATTGTTCATACATATTTGACTGGTTGGGGGATTTCATTATGAGCTGACGTCAGTTAGAGAACCATTGGAAAACCAACTAGGAGTACTGGACAGCTGTCTCATCCTGGTTTGGTACTCTTCAGCGGTACGCAGCTCGAACACAGAACCTTCTGGTTACAAGGCTAGCGAGCTCGTTGACCGTTAAGCCACTGGAACCCGATCCAATGGCCAACCCATGAATTTTAACTTCTGCCAATTGATTACGTAGTGTAACCACATCACAATGTCTTCTTCGATGAGTTACTGCCTCACCTTCAACCTGCTCTACCCTACTGTTCACGCCTTCCCACTAGAACCCCAGGTGACTGCCTGAAGAGTGCCAGTTGCTAGTGAGATTCAGAAAAATTTTCAAGTATTGGTTTTGCAGGGATTTTGTTTGTTTGATTGGTTGGAGGATTTCATACATGTATTTGAGAGGGGAATTATTCTGCAGAATTCTTAGTATAATTTCTTGCAAATTATTTACTCTCTAAAACAAATCTTCGAGTAAAATATCCACCAGTAGCATATTGAATGACGTCACACCAGTCCATCTGTAATAAGACTCAGTCCTCTGTGACCATTCCTCTTCACACACACACACACACTGATAGATTGTAAGTTTATTAAAGATTTACGCGAGTTTATGTGGCGATCCACAGGCGTAATTTGGATATAATTGAGGAGATTTACAGCTCAAGTGGGTGACTTTTGATATAGTTGTGTTCTCTGAACTGGATGCTTTACTTGCAAAGCTTTCATTACCTTATAAGATAACACCCTCAGTGCCACACTTCAATTTGAAGTGAGCTTTCAAAATTCTCCAAAAGATTATTAGTCACTTCTTTTCTTAGCTCTGGAAGTGACTGGTTGTTTGTGTATAGTTCACTTGTATTGCTATTGATTGTTTCCTTGACCTTGAATTTGACCTTTTATTCATGTGATTTCGTTGTTATGCACTGGTAAATCTTGTCTGAGTTAAAATGCGTGTGTTGAATGCCGATTCACTTGAATACTAAGCTTTTAGAAATGCTCTGGCACCATTTCTGTGTTCCCTGAGTTGAAGATTTCAATATTATCCTGATCGAGATGGTGTCTGTGGTTATCTTCTGCATGCGTTGATGTGAGAGAGTGGATATCGTGTCTTTTGATGACCAGTTTATGCTCATGGTCGCGAAGAAGAAGAGGGTGTCCACAGTCGCTGCAATTTATCTTGTAGATGATGTCGATTATCCCAGAGATAGAGAGGAAAGGCTAAAAAAGGTCAATCCGTAAATCAAATCCTCCTTCGGTATGGAAACAGGAGAAGATTTAAATATTTTTTTCTCTTTGCATAAGGTAGCTGTGAGATACCACTAACTAAGTCGATTCCCCCCTCGTGTACTCTTCCAAAGATATAAGCCTGTTTCCTAGAGTATGGATTAGTTGTTCCATATTAGTTTGTTTATTAGATGTATCACACAGTCAAGAAACAGTACTATTTACTGGATGTCGTTTCGAACAAAATTTATTGTTCATAGCCATATCAATTGTAATCACACGACTTTGAAACTTGACTTTTATAGTTTTCTTTGTTCTCTCCTATTTGTCATCGTCGGGGTAGTAGAATTTTCCAGATATCTGGCTGGACAGGTGTTGAATCATTCCTGTTACATGTATTTGCAGTTGATTCGATAAACAAAGCTTCCATTATCAATATCTCCCTCTATCCTGTGACATTAAATTTTAAAACTGCCATCCTATCCCATCCTATTGTATGGTTGTGTGTAACTGCATGCGGTGAGTGGTTTAGCTGAACTATTCTCTAGATTTCTTATCTTATTCGGGTCAACCAATCGAGATTTTGCTAAGTTTTTATGTTTGGCTAGTGTGACTGTCCCTGTTCTACTATTCGACCTATGTATTGGACCTGACAATCATTGCAGGGTGATAATAATAATTACCCGGAAAAATTAGTCAGAAAATATGTAAGGAAATGTAAGAATAAAATTAATAATGATAGCAGCGATAGTGATAATAATAATAATGACGACACCAACAATAAGGAATCTAAATGATCAGTAGTAATTCCATACAAAGAAGGAACCTCGGAAACCTTACACAGAATTCTTAACAAAGCAGGAATAAAAATGGCTGGCATTCAAACCCACAAACTGAATTAGAAACAAGCTTAGTCGGTTGTAGGATCATGTAGAGCCTTTAAAACAAAACAATTTAGTTTATCTAATACCCTGCCTGAAATGATTGTCAGGTCAAATACATAGGTCAAACTAGTAGAACAGGGACAGTCACACTAGCCAAACATAAAAACTTAGCAAAATCTCGATTGGTTGACCCGAATAAGATAAGAAATCTAGAGAATAGTTCAGCTAAACCACTCACCGCATGCAGTTACACACAACCATACAATAGGATGGGATAGGATGGCAGTTTTAAAATTTAATGTCACAGGATAGAGGGAGATATTGATAATGGAAGCTTTGTTTATCGAATCAACTGCAAATACATGTAACAGGAATGATTCAACACCTGTCCAGCCAGATATCTGGAAAATTCTACTACTCCAACGATGACAAATAGGAGAGAACAAAGAAAACTATAAAAGTCAAGTTTCAAAGTCGTGTGATTACAATTGATATGGCTATGAACAATAAATTTTGTTCGAAATGTCATCCAGTAAATAGTACTGTTTCTAGATGTAGTCTAACATAAGTTGCGTAGAGTTCTTTAAACATAGACTCATCTATTCGTCTGAAAGCCTTTAGAAATGCCTATAGCATTCAAAAAGCCTTAGTTGCAGCTGCATTACAATAGCCAGTCGTTCCTAAATCCTGGCTGATATATATAAATTAGTGAGGATTCAAAGAAGTTTACTTCATGCTAAAGCCTGCTCTGAAGATACTGTCGGGGCATGTGCTACTGAGAAGACTTATCAGTAGTATGTAAAGAGATGGCACAAAAATGTCAAATAGTGGAGAGATAGATTTGACGTCAAAGAGTGGGAAATGAACAACCAGTATTGTAGAGAAACATGAGAGAAACCAATAGAAGACGAAGAAACACGACACGAAGGAACGGCAGAAGTAGTACAGCATGGAAGCTCTGTGAAAATGACGATTTTCACATAAGCTGTAAATAATTTCCCTATATAAAGATATCAGGCTACATAATAAACATTCATTTATTAAGTGCATTGTCTTCTACCGTTGCTGCTGTCTCCAGGCAGTGAAGATCCCGAGGTCTGCGGCTTTCGAAGAAGGCGACATCAGCATCATCTTGAGGTGCTGAGTTGGAGGGCATCAAGGATCCGATGGCGAAGGGAGTGGTGCTTGGGACGTTGCTGAGAGGTTGGTCAGAGTCGGCGTACGAAACTTTGTAGTGGTCACATGATAAAGAGATCCCGGAAGTGCTGGTTGAACGATTGGTGGCGGATGTCTACAGACTGATAGATAGGCAGCTGACGATGCAGCAGTTCAGTGCTGGTAGGTGACGCAGAACCGCTAGTTTTGACTGTAAAGCTGGCTAACCTACTATGTCGCACACTACCCACATTGGACGGAGAGTCAGTTTATTGAGAGTGTGTTCCAGACCACATTCATCAGCAACTACAACTGGTTAACCCATGGACATTGGTGAGCTATAAAAGGCGACCAGGCAGCTGTTAAGCATAATGGTAGCTACAACAGAGCCACTGAAATCGAACCAGTGGAAATACAAAATTAGAGATTTCCAGAGTGAAGTAGCGGCGCTACGAATGAGTACCAAGAAAGACTGATGCTTTGAGTGTGTCAAGTCGAGACGCTGGAGGAAGTACTGCCCAAAAAGATAGACAAGAGAAAATTTCACACAGTGTAAGTTGGGTTCTTTCTCTCCTATAAGATTAGAAGTAGCAGGGGCTATAGAAAGGGGGCAGGTATGTATTCTAATTTGTAAGTGAATGGTCAAGAAGTAATATGTTTTTTGATGAATTTGTGTTCTCTGAGCTGAATGGTTTATTTGCGAAGGTTTCATCCGGCCTACCAGGCAACATCTTCAGCGCATACTTCAATTTGAAGTAGTATGTTTAACAGATAGAAAAGAGGGGTAGTTTCAATAATAGATAAACGAGACAGTGACAGCGTCACCATTATGAACTAATCTGCTCAGAGAACACAATGACACTAATTTAATCGAGCAGTTAATTGGTGGATGGTGACTTGAAGTACAGGAATCCACGATGAGCATTTCGTCTTATTTCGGACTTGTCCTCCTGCTTGATGTGCCTGCATTCCCCAGTGAGTGATGATGTTCCCACCGAGGCTCGAATCCAGTGTCCATAGATTCAAACGCCAAGGCGTTATTCATTAGACCGCTTGAGTCACGACAGCCACCTCTTGCGTAAAGGGTCTTATTAATTATTTAATTCAATACAGGTACATGCAAATGACGAGTCCTAAATAGGACGAAATGCACATTCTGAATTCCACTGCTAGTCACCATCCACCAGCTGACTTCAAGTCACAAAACCAGACATCGTCGAAGCATCTGTATAAGGAACCAACATGTCAACCTGAGACCGAGCACTTCGGTTCAATCAGTCGATGGGAAAAATCTCAGACTGCACAAAACTGATCTACTGTCTTTTGATACAATAAAATTAACATTCAAGGACCTACTAAGCGTTCACTAAGATCCTGAAAGAATTAATTCTGAATTCATTTTTTTTTCTTTCTTCTTTTTCAGGGTCTGGTGTATCACATATTTCCAAGCCTAAACGTCCTTCAGTTTTCTCTTGTCCTGAAGCAGAATTTGAATCCCCAAGATCAAGTGTTATTCATCCATCGTTAAGTGAACTAGCATCGAACAAGAGAACTCGACCAGGTGCAGTGGTCACTTCTTCAAGAAGATCGAAACGACGGTAATTATTCGACGTATACATATATACATATGTTACTTTTTGTTACTATAACTAAGTGAAACTGTCAAGGCATAGATTTATTAATTGAAATTTTCTGTTCACATATTGAGTAGCGACCAGTGTTGAGTATATCTGTTCAATTCTAGCACTCCTTATTGATCCACTGTTACCCTTTCATTAGCCAAAAGGGATAATGTTAAAATAATATAGAGAAGATTTGTAGCTCAGTTGGATGATTTGCAATTAATAGTGTTCTCTAAGGAGCTGGTTGGTTTAGTTGCGGAGCTTTCGTCGTCCCCCTGCTGGACAACATCCCCCTTCAGCGCAATATTTAGCATAAAGTGAAATGATTTAAATTTCTTCATGAGCGATAGATAGAATTGCGTCTCCCGGTAACCATCTTTACATATGTGTATTGACCATTTTCTATTGACTTGGATTTTAAACTTTCTGGTCACCTGATTTACTTTTTATTATTAGTTGGTATATTTCGTCTATATTAACGTGTTTGTTAATTGCATTTTCGTTTGAGTACCAGGAGGCTTCTAGGAATTCCCTGACTGCACATTTGGCGTTTCCTCTGTCTAAGATTTTGACATTATCCCAATCACCTAATTGATGTCCATAATTGTCTATATGCATTGATACTAAAGAATATATATATCGTGTCTTTTCACGGCTGATTTGTGTTCCTGGATTCTAATTCGAAGGGGACACCCACTTCGACCACCGATGTAATGCTTGTTGCAGTTCATACAACTTATTTTGTAAATGGTATTAATTTTATCCCCTTTTTCTGTTGGATCTTTCGGTTTGCATAATATCGAATTAAGCGATTTGACTGGCTTGTGTACTATATCTAAATCAGACGATTTCAGTATTCTAGCTGTTATTTCAGAGATATCCTTTTTATGTATGGTAGGATGAATTTTCTTGTGGTCTTTGATGATGGTTCTTTGTTGGTGTTTTGATTAGACTTTAAATACTCTTTTTGATGAAGTTTTGCGGATATCCATTCTTTTTGAAGACCGTTTGTGGGTACTTTTCTTCCATTCTTTTCAACTCTGGAGTGCTACAATATGTTTGAACTCTTTTAAACAATGTCTGCATACAGTTTCGTTTGTGAGTAACTGAATTATTGCTAGTATAGTTGAGTATTTGATCTGTGTGCGTTGATTGCAAAAGGGATAATGTTATTCAACCACTTTAGGTAAAACACGTTTCGAACGACCTCTATGTCTGCCTCGCTCACTATATATGAGCAAGTAAACTGGTAGATACACACATAAGTGGTCAAATCGTTGGTTTATTGATTTCAGAAGAGATATCATCACAGACTGGTATTAGCTAAAGAACTATTGAGATTAATATCAGTAAAAAGTTTGAGCATTGTGGATTAGATCAAATAAAGTATAATTATATTTCAATAGTTTACACACACAATGATAAGTTTTGTTACTGGTAATATTTCGAGCAAAATTACTGCCCGTGTTCACACCACTGTTGGAATTGTTTTGTTCACACATTTATGATTTGTACTCACATATATAGTTCATTATTTTTGCTCATTTATGTTTTTTTGGTATTTGAGTTATATTCCACGTTAGTCCATGTTTTTGTATTCAGAATTATATTCCAGGTTGTTGACAGTTGTACTGAGTCACCCTTGTTACATGTATCCGGTGTGTGATCTTAATGAATATAGATTCTGTTATAAGTCTTTCTTTCCATCTGTTCATGTTAGTTTTTAGAATACAAACATTGTTCCAATCGATATTGTGGTTTTTGTCCCATGCATGTAAGCTTGTGTTCCTGTTGGTTGACCTTTGGTTAGGCGTTTATGTTCATTCACTCTTATTTTGAGTGATCTGGACGTTTGCCCCACATATTAAGTCGGACAGTCAGCACAAGATATTTTGTAAATCAAGTTGTTTTTATCCATCATTTTTATGGGATCTTTCAGTTGATTTATTTTATTTTTGATTAGATTTGTCGGTTTAAAAGTTGTGTGAATGCCGATATTTTTGAGGTTTCTTTGAATTGCCTCTGATGTATCATTTTTATACGGTATTGTGACTGTCTTTTTGCATTCTTCCATCTTGTTATTCTCTGGTTTTACCCTCTTTTTTCTGTTTTTTATATTATCTTTTATAAGTTGTTTTGGGTAGTTGTTTTCGAGTAGCATTTTGAATAGGACGTTTATTTCTTTACACTGGTCCTCTGGTGTTGTTGTAAGTCTACGTATTCTATCTGCAAGACATTGTATTAATTATCCTCCTCGTTTCACTGTGAGTGGATGAGCTGAGTGATAATCAAGGAATCTTACAGAGTGTGCGGTTTTTCTATATAGCGTCGTTTTAATGCTACCATCTGTTATTCTTTGTATTTTGCAGTCTAACATAGGTAGTTCCCCAATTTCATTCTCTACTTCCATAGTGAATTTTATTGAGTCGACATGTCTGTTTATGTGTGAGAAGAGTTTCTCAATATCGTTTTTTTTCACTATTACCAGTGTGTCGTCTACATGTCTCCACCAACATTTTAATGATGACCATTGAGATGTTATTCATATGAACTGTGATCAAAATATTTCACCGAATAGTTGCAAAATAACTAGGTGCCGAGTGAGAAGTAGATATTTGTAAAATCTCAGCGAAATTGAAATGATTAATTCCAACGTTTCCTGTGTTCGACAATCTGGTCCGAACTTATTCAGGGAAATTAATCGAAATTAACGTAACAGAGGTTTACATATATAAAAGGAACATCTCTTGTTTTTTTTAAAAACTTCGTCCAATCATGAGTCGTGTAACAGGTATCAACATGTAATATGAACAAAATTGTATGATCTGTGATCAAAATTTGTCCTCAGACTTTCAGAAATCAGTCTACTTTTGTTAAAATATATGTGATGACGAATTGTTTTTGATGAACGCGTAAAGGTGGCTTAAACTTTCTAATTGCTAAGGCTTCCACAAACTTTAGGATACGCCCCAAACACGTTTTATAGATAGGTTTAAAAGATCTGTTAACGTCAATTTTATGTCCTGTCTCTATAATATGTTTCGCGATAGAAGAGCTAGGTCTCCTGTTCTCACCGTTAATAGGTTCTGAAGATTCCATTTGTTTCTGGAGCCATTTAGGAATATATGCTTTGAAGCCAGCACTTACTTGCAGAGATCGATGAGTCCTCCTTCCTACGTATGTGTGTCCACACGTACATTCAAATTGTTAAATACAGTGGGATATGACGTCATTTTTCGCATGTTCGAAGGGCTTAGATGGATGGATATATTGGCTTTACATTCTCTATTATTATGATATTGGCTGCATAAAAAGTCTTTTTAACAGCAGCGTTCAATCTTTGTCTAGTTATCAAGCTGCTTTGATGCCCCATATAGGGTAGGTAGCTCGATGTACACGTCTTTCTTGGGGGCAAGTTGTAGAGTGAGTCTTGGTGTTCTGACTACCTTATATCTCCTGATGAACTTATCTAGATAATTGTTATCAACCAGAGTTTGTACCAACTTTCTTTCTTCCTCATCAAGTGTGTCTTCAGTGCATAATCGTTGGATTCTACTGAAGAGGCACCTTACTCACTGAGGCTCTTTTGTACCGAACCTATCTATAAAACGTGTTTGGGGCGTATCCTAAAGTTTGTGAAAGCCCTGGCAATTAGAAAGTTTAAGCCACCTTTATGCGTTAACATATATGTGTATATGCAGTATACAGTGGTGTGTGTGTGCATATGTGTGTGGGTGAACAGTCATAAAACATTTGTTAGCCTCTCCATAAGAAGACGTAGACAAACGGGAAATTTGACCAAATATGACTAAATGTTGATACATATCCAATTCTTATTTATCAGTCAGGATTTGCCATGCATCAGTTAACAAGATCACACATTCACATCTGTTCAAACTGATGGGATTCACGCATGTATATGCAGGGCTTCAGCAGTCAGTCTTTCTTTATACGAACCGAAACCTTTCTGTAGCACCTTAGTCTTATCAAAGTCGATCCTGTGTCCCATTTCTATCGAATGCAGTGCAGTGCAATCGCTGATCTGTTTTCTAGCTTCTTTAAGTCTGCAGAGGTCTTTGAAACCACTTTTAGACATTCTTTATGCTCTTTCACTCTTACATTTACCTGTCTGGAAGTTTCTCCTACATATACGGCGTTACATTCCCCACAACTGATACAAAAAGAACTTTTATAGTTATGAATATCATATACCCTATGTGAACTTTGTTTTGGACATACATATTCGTAAACTGTAGCTCTTGTACACTCTATCTGAAAAACATTCATATATATATCTTCACTTTTAGGTCAAGCAATACTGCAGCTGCTCAAGCCTTTGCTGTCGCCACAGCCGGCAGTGCAAATCCCCTAGCTGCTGTCGGTATCATGGGTTTAGGCCCGAATCTATTTCGTCCGGGTGGATATCGTTTCTCTGCAGGTACGGCAACAGCTGCAGCTGCACAAGTTGGTCTCCGATCAGGATCAAGTTCTCTTTCAGGCAGTAGTACGAGTATTGCTGTCTCATCGGCGGGGGTAACAAGTCGTTCCTCTGGTCAAAGTACTTCTATTTCAACTGGTGCCAATAATCCAGTGTCACAATCAGCAATGGGAACGATGACGACAACGACGCCGCCGCCGCCACCGGGAGGACCAACATTAACCAGCACAGTAAATTCATCGTCACTGGTTCAAACAACACCACCGACAGTCAACACAGCTTTGCGTTATAATATTGGCAGGAATGGTTTGAATACAACAACAAGTAATCCGTCAGTATCAGCAAGCAATACATTCAGCTTTCATTCATACAATCTAACAAGTCCAACATTAATCCAACATTCATCTGGTGGTGTTGGTGTTCCCTCGGGGACAACATCTCATCATTGTACAAATCAGGCTAAAAGGAATACAATGTTGGCTACAGCATCATGTCTCCGTGTGTTGAATGTTGTAAGACACTGGATAACTAAATTTCCTGATGTAAGTTTAGAAAATTGTTTAAAATGTGATTTATTTATTTTCATATTTATATTGTCGAATTAAAATATGCCTATGATATAGTCTTTATGCGTAAATGAGCCGGTAAAATGCAGAGTCATCTGACCTCACTTTGAGCAGAAGGCATGGTATGTTTGGCATACATTTTTCCCAGGTCGAATTTACCATTAATCCACACAGACGCCTAGTTTGAAGACAGGGATTGAAGTGTACGTGTAGAAATTTGCCACTGTAGCAGGATGTATATCCATATTGTTTTATATCCCTTGGGTTCCTAGTGGGATATAGGGCTTCATCAGCACATCTCCACTTTGTTCCATTCTCAACTGTCCTCTTCAGCTGGCTAGCTCCAACATTGTCCATAATCTCTCATCTCCTTCTTCCAAAACGACCTCCTCCACTTCACCTTCGTACTGACGACCCACTCGTCGCTTCCCATTGGGATTCCACTCGAGCGGTGACCTGCAATTACCGCGATGTCATTTGACGGCCTCCACGACGAATACCCCATCCATCTCCATTTTCTCCCACATATCTGTTGAGAAATCGCCTCTTGGTTGGTTTGTCACATCCCAGAGTTTCTTGTTGCTAATTGTTTCTGACCTGCCAGTCAGCCAGCTAAGGGGGCTGCTGTTGATGAAAGTCTGTAACAAGCTGTGCTTGAAATCCCTTTCGTGACACATGCACAGTGCAAGTTTCTGAATCGTATAGAAGAACTGACTGACTGACTGACTCACTTCACATTTTGTTAAAAACCACAATTTTGTCCCCTTTACTGATTCCCATACTTGTTTCAGGTTGATGAAGGCGCATCTCACCTTTCCGATCCTCTCTGGCTGCCTGGCTTTGACATCTTCATCCGTTCCGACTGCCTGTGGTTGAAACTGTGCTTCCTGATGAGATAATTTAAGCAAGTCACCTCTGTGAAATCTCTCCCGTTGATAGTGACAGATGTTGGTTGTTTGTGTAACACATGAATCAGAAATAATCCATGCGCGAAATCCAGATCATGTAGAGTCTTATTTTCTGTAGTCCAGCCTGTCACTGTCTCCTCACTCCCTACAGTCTGACGCATAATCCAGTTCAAAACAGTTAGGAATATCATCGGTGATAAAAGGCAGCCCTGTCTTACTCCTGTTTTCACGTTGAACGCCTCTCTGACTTTTCCATTGTGGATCACCTAAAAAGTGATGGTATTGTTAGATAGCCAGCTCTTGATTGAGGTTGATGAAGATTTGGGACACTGTACGCCATAGTGCTGAAGCAGTTTCCAAGTCACTTCTTTGTCAAAGCTGTCGAAGGCCTTTCCAGAGCAGATGAAGCTAAGGTACAGGTTGGATTGCCATTATGTGCTTTGTTTGATGGCGATGCGTAGAGTTGCAATTTGATCAGCAAATGACTTGCCTTTTCTGACTCCGGCTTGTTCCAGCGGGCGGAGTTCTGCATCGAGTGTAATTCCATGTTAGAAAAGTTTATTTCATATAACACACAAAATTCTCTCTTTCTCGCCTCCCTCTCTCTTCCCTTTACCGTTTGTTGCCACTTTCCATATCTCCGCGATATAGGCGTTGCGTTATTTCGATTGCACGTGTGTGGTGTTAAACTGATTAACAAAGATCCAGTGATTAATCTCTCCCTCTCTCCACGTAACTACATTAATTTTTATTATTCTCACCCTGTCTCACTCACCCTACTGTGTGATGATTACATGCAAGTGAATGCAGTACAATGCAATGGCTGAACGTTTTTCTAGGTTATTTAACTTAGAAGGGTCAGACATTCTAGGTGTCTAGCTAAATTTGTATGTTCCAATAATCTGCTTGATCCCGATCTACAACTAACGTGACCTATGTGTAATCGGCCTCATAGTCAGCATTATGTGGTATTTGGTAAACGATATTATCTTCTGCATTATTGGCTCTATCGGATCTCTATGTCGATAAAGTTTACCTCTGAGTGAGTCAGTTGGTTAGCCGATTTAAATGCCACCTTAATTAGTATGAGACTCCCCAGCACTACGCACCGAGCACAGGGCTTTAAACCCAGGGCCTCTGGGTTAATAGGTGACTCCGTAGACCATTCAACCACTGGAACCCGATCTAATGTTCTACGAATTCCAACTTCTTTCAGTTCTTGATATATAGGTATGTTTTTATAGCGCAGCCGCCTACCAGGTTTGCTGGCGGGTAACTGTCCTCTTACCAGACTTTGTAGAGGCCGCTGGTTAGGACTTCTCACTAGAATTCCGCTCAGTCAGATATGAGGTCGAGCACTCACCACAGGTGACATTGGCTGGTGCCAGTAGCAATAAAACCGCTAACGCCATTGGGTAGGGTTCTCGGTCCTAGTGGTTGAATGGTGTATGCACTTCACTTCTGACCGGAAGGTCCGGGGTTCAAAACATCAGTGGGTACGCGCTGCCGACGAGTCCCAAACTAGGACCACATTGCTGATACTGGATGCTTCCTCTTTATCTTCTTCGAGAAATACACGACATTTGGTTGAAAGCCAATTCAAAAGGTGCAAAAGTACATTTCAGAACCCAAGAAAATATGACGGAGACGGTTATTTCATTCATGTATTGAGATACACGTTGCCACACACACAAGGTTGCTTTCTCTCAACTTTAGTAGATTGAAATTTGAGAATCAACAGGTCGTAGACATTTTAAGTACCCGCCAGAGTAAGCAAAATCGCCATTAGAAGTCATATTACAATAAATTAAAACAAACTAAACTAAGGCAAATTATACGGAATATAATGATGGAGGGTTTCTAGTAGCACAAGTTTTAAAAAGACCGCCGAATAACACCATACTACCACTACCAATAGTATTACTAAAGGTGAAGTGGACAGATAGTCAGAGTTTAAACAAATATCATAAAATAACGAAGGAAATGAAAAATAAGAAAGGGTGGGAGGGTTTTGATTAGAATTCACCTGGGCCAAGGGAGAGACAAAGGTAGAACAAACTTCTTATGTTGTATGCCAAGACTAGGATTGTTCTCTCGAATTCCCATAGCTTTGGCTATGTGTAAAAGGCGGGTGGGAATTCCGTTCGAAAGGCTCGATGGAATGTGTGAAACATAACCTTGAAGGCGCTATTTTTATCCACTTGGTGAAGGCTATCAGTCAAGATTTTATTTGGCCTTTTCCGAACCATGAAGGAAGATGCTCATTAATGCGTTTGTTGAGCTGTCTAGTTGGTCGCCCTATATAGCCAGCTTTCTCCACAGGAGCAACTAAATTTATAGATACACATCGAAGTGGCACAGCTACGTAGCTTGTCTTTTGCTTGAGCAATCATAAATGGTTGGTGGCTGGTAAATGACAAACAAAGGGTGGCGGCAGTATAAGTCCGTTTTATCGCTCTCGATAATCTCTGATGTAAGACTTCACTAGCCACGTCCCCATTAAACTGAAGTTTCATGAACAGTTCTTTCTTTTTAACTGTTGTCAGTTGTTCTTTATTGTACCTTGTATTCATGTGTCTCCTGACAAATTTACTAGGATAACCCATTTGGACCAGCGTATTTTCGTTGTATCCTAACTCATTTTCTAGGGAGTCACCTGTACAGACCCGTCTTGCTCTATTCGTGAAGCATCTGACCAACTTGATTTTGAATCAGATTGGTACAAAACTGAGGAAATGTGTATATTATCCTACAGATGTAGGTTTTCTATAGACATCCCTCTTGAATGAACCATCCTCTCTTTTGCTCAACTGGACGTCAAGGAAATGTAGTCTACCATCATGTTTTTCTTCACAAGTGAACATGAGCAATGGACCATTTTCAACCTTAGCAAGAGAGAAATCTGCCAAAATTGGACCCAATGGAGAACCCACGGCAATACCGTTGATTTGTCTGTAATAAATATTGTTGAATGTGAAGTGTACATCTTAAAAGCAACTCTTTCAGACAAATAACTGAAATTCCGATGTCGAACTGTTTTTCTAGTATCTGTCGGCATATAAATTTCACAGTCTCTATAAGTGGTACATTGGTTAATAGTGATGCGACATCTAAGGATAGCATTTGCTTCCCATTTACATTGATATAGTAGTATAAATTGACTTTCTTGAAGAATTAAAATTCCTCTTCTCTTATTTTTTTAAAACAAAAAACCCAGGATTTTCAAAGTGATTCAGTTTTAAAACGTGAAATGCAAACCCTTTTGGATGCTCTGGTCACCTGTCCACATTTAATGCCAAACGACCAAAAAGTGGCTGGTCAATTATTACTTCAAATGATCTCTGATCAACTGGTACATGATAGAATTGATCTCGATAGTATATTAACTCCAACACAGGTAAGTTAGTTAGCTGGTTAGTTAGTCGACTTGTTTTTATTTTTGTATTTTTGAGTGACTGCCAGCGACTGAATCTAAGATTCATGGCTTTTTCTATCTGGGACTTATCCGTTGAATGTGTACCTCTATCTGTAAAGATTGCCGATATTCCCATCTATGGTTTCCAGAACCATAGGTGTAAGCGCAATATCGCTTGAAATTAAACCACTCGTAGATAAAGGCTATCCCGGTCCAGAACAAACAAGAAGCCGGTCACTGTTTCTACGGTACTATTAATAAACAAATCAATAATTCTATATATACAAGAAACCTTAACGGTTTCAAGAGTAAAAAGCACAACGCTTAACAGAAAGCAAGGTACCGCTATCAGAGCGGAATAACGTTAAAGCCAAAATTGCGAACTAGTCGGAATCAGACACGACCGTTCAGTTAAGCAGTCAGTAGAAGAATGAACCCAAGTAAGAGGTAGACAGAGCATAGGTACAAAGATAGAATTTAATTGGCTACTTAACCAATCAATAAATAAGATAAACTCAACAGAATAATACAAAGTAAGACATGGGTCAGCAAAATAACAGTTCACAAAAATACTCTGATTGGGTCATGAGTTCAACTGTCTAACTAAACGGATCGAAGTAAAAACACACACTCACAATTCATTGAACAAAGGGGGATAGACACGTTAGGCATGGATAAATGTGTTGCAACAACGCTAGGCTGATCCGGGACAGGTTGACTTGATTCAAGGATGGGAATTGAATTGATCTTACAATAGGGTTGGTTATCTGTTGGACTTTCTAGCCATAAAAGCTACCTCTTGTACAGCAGGTGTGATGAGAACTGGCTGCTAGCCAGGCTGGTAGACAATAATTTACGTCAATGTTTACGTCCCCAATATTTGTCGTGAGAAAAATATGAACAAACACCGATCCAGCAACCAACCACACCAGACTTTGCGTAGGCGGATACAGTTAACATATAGATGATCTGACATTCAAGAAACAGTCACAAAGAGATGAAAGATTAACTAACGTTCAGTGGGGAAAAACCACCAATCAGAAGACTGTGTTTGTCTGCTAACAATAATCTATAATAATGTACATTAAAATCTATAAATACGTGTTGATTTCCTTAATAAACGATCTGTTGTCTGGCCCTAGTCTTCTGCTGTTCCATGGGTATCCGATGGTATTTGTATTTTCCTTTAAATAATTTTTTATTGGAGCGAACTTCACTATCTGTTAACATGTCGACTGCTTATACTCATTGTTATTACTATTTTGTTGGGTTTCCAGTGAGGTGTAGGACCTCAGAAGTACATCTCCAATTTATCCCGTTGTCTGTAGGTCCTCTTCATCTTACGCTACTATTATCCATAAGCTTTCATCTCCCCAATATCAATCACTTTCGGACGTCTAGCGCGTCATTTCCCATCCGGGTTCCACTCCAGCAATGACCTGGCGTGTGACGTCACTGTACGACGGTCTGCTCAGCGTGTGTCCGGTCCATCTCCAATCTCTTAGGAATATTTGTTGAACAATGGGAGGTTCTGGATTGGTTTGTTCTCAGAGATTCTTGTTGCTTATCCTCTCTGACTGGACACTGGATCTTCAGTGAGGTAGGCACTTGGCGGCAGAAGTCAGTGAAGCGAACTCTGAGTTTCTGAAGAAGAAATGACTGACTTACTGACTTAACATTGGTGTCGGAAGCCAGAGTATTGTTGTTTATGCTGAGGTCAGCAGTAGAATTCCACATTGATTTCAGGGTGGTGAAAGTGTCACTTGACTTCCAATCCTAGTATACATATTCTCATATCTGCCGTACCTGGATAAATGAAGAAATTTATTCCATTAATAGAGGTTGGTTACAGGATTTTCATCATGAGCTGACACTAGTTAGAGAACCATTGGAAAACCTAGGAGTACTAGACAGCTGTTTCGTCCTGGTTTGGGACTATTCATCAGTACACACCCACCACACTGGGGTTCGAACCCAGGACATTCTAGTTACAAGGTGAGCTAACCCGTAGACCTTTAAGCAACTGACGCCCTAACCAATGGTCCATGAATTCTAACTTCTGCCAATTCACGACATAGTGCGACCACTAGCCAATGTCTTCGGCGAGTATTTGTCCTGACACCCAGCCTGCTGCACCCTACTGGCCACGACTTCTCACTAGAACCCCAGGTAACAACCTACCTGAATAGAGCAAGTCGCTAGTGAGCATCTCATTTATATTCAAGTGTCCTGGGTTCGAATCCCGGCGGGCGCGTACTGCTGAAGAGTCCCAAACCAGGACGAAACAGCTGTCCAGTACTCCCAGCTGGTTTTCCAATGGTTATCTAACTATGTCAGCTCATGATGAAAATCCTGCAACCAATCAAATCCCCACAAACCAACACTTGAATAGTCATTGGTGCTTGTTGTGGTTGTTGTTAGTTGGTCGGTTATCTTCACCACTTTTCTCCCCTCCATGTTCATTTGAAGTCCTGTCTTTGCTGCCAGCCTCTTCTGCCAAATTGTTAATTTTCGCCTATAAGACATGTGAAGTCCAAGTCTCCCAGAGAGTTTTCTTATAGGTCCAGCGTATTTCTGTCGGCTCCCTATTCTTATTATTATTGTTATTAGTCCTCTGGAACATAAGCAATCAGCAGCACGCCCACTCCACTCTCTGAAGTATCTTTTTAGGTGACTCCGTGATTACCTGTAAGGTTTGATTTCCTTCTCATAACGCGGTTTTCTCTGTGTCACCCTTAGACCCACGTCCACCTCATCGTTTCCCATTAGGGTTTTTACTTGACTGATAGTCTGCTGCATGGTGTCAGCCAACGGTCTCCAATCCATCTCTATTTGTTGAGCAGTAGGTCCGTGACTGGCTCATTCCTAGAGTTTCTCACTGCTAATTCTTCCTGACTTGCCAGCCCTCTAATCTTCAGTATGAGGCCAGAGAATTAGCTAGCTGTTGATAAAATTCTTTTCATGAAGCGTACTTTGAGTTTCTGACCCATGTGGAAACACTGACAGACTTAACAGTGGTGTGCGATATTTGTTTGTAATGAGCTCAGCAGCTTTCGAGAGAGATTTCAGAGTGATGAAGGTCTGGCTTGCCTTCCCGATCCTGGCTAGTTTTGATATTCTAATCCGTGCTGTACCGCCTGAAGTTGAAACGATACTGGCAAGCCAGATTAGTCAAGGAGGATTACTGCTGAATGCTGTTGTTGGTTGGTTCTTTCTGTCTGTCTGTTTTCGACATAGAACTTTGCACATATGTGTGGTAGTTCAAGTCGCCACACTCCATGTAGCACACAACGCAAGAGAAGAAAGTAAGAGAAATGCATAATATAGACAGTAAACAGAGGTGTCAGACAAAGGAATAGTAATAACGAAGAACAAAACAGTTTAATTGGAAATCATAAGTCACAAGGAGTGGATGCATCTGCGCCAACCATTGAGAACGATTTTGAGCCATGTCACCAATTGTTTCCAACCATTGGTTTTTACCGTCTCGTGGCCCCCAACCAGTCAGGAAGTCTACACCTTCCTACGTGGCCTAGACTAACTGTTGTAGATTTCATTGACTGGTGCCATGTTTTGGTTTGACCGCCGCTAGCTCTTTTCCAGCCTGACCCTATTCAGCTTTTGGTTGGTTGATTATCGTTATCACCTTTGTCTGTGTGTGTGTGTGTACTTGAATTCATGTCTTCAGTGTTTGCCCATCCACCCAGTCTGTTGGTTTCCACCGGTAAGCTATGGAGTTTTTGTGACATCAGACATTAAATCCTACACTAAATCCAGATCTTCTAAAGTCTTCTCATCGGTCCAACAACGTATTTCTTCAATGAACGAAATATTCCCATATTTTGATGTGGTTGTGTTCTCTGAGCTGGATAGTTAATTTGAGAAGCTTTCATCGCCCTACTATGTGACATCTTCAGCACGCATACTTCAATCTGTTGGAGTGAGCTTTTAGATTTCTCCACGAGTTTATTGATCACCTCTCCCGGTGACCTTGAACGTCGTGATTGGTTGTTTTTGTGTGTTTTCACATCCCCTCTAGGCTACTTGTATTGGAACTGATTGTTTACTTGACTTGAACTTTGACCCTTTGTGTAAGAGGTTTCTTTCTTTTTGGTTGATAAATTTTGTCAATCTCGATGTGTCTATTGATTGATGATTCACTGGAATGTGAGGCTTCTAAAAATTCTCTAGTATTCTTGTTGTTTCCTCTGTCTAATATTTGAACGTTGTCCCAGTCGAATTGATGTCCGTGGTTATCTGTATGTCGTGATATGAGGAAGTGGATGTCATGTCTTTTGATGGCTAGATTATGTTCATGGAGACGAAGACGAAGGGGAAGTCCACATTGACCAATGTGCGTTTTTCGCAGTTGTTACAATTTATTTTATGATCAATAAACTCGTGGAGAAATCTAAAGGCTCACTTCAACACATTGAAGTCTACGCTGAAGATGTCACCTACTAGGGTGATGAAAGCTTCGCAAATTAACTATCCAGCTCAGAGAATACAACCACATCAAAATCATCCCCCTGAGCTATAAATCTTCTCCATCATATTCCCATATTAAGTCACAAGAAAAAGGCGTAAACGGCGAAGGAAATTTGCTTTTCGACGATTCATTTTTATGAGCTGTACAATCGTAATTATATTTAGACCAATCAGATACCGGTAAAATTTGTCCTCGAAAAACGTATTACTCAATGTAAGGTGTAACCTGGAAGGGATGACTAATTGTAAGTTAGAAAAGAGGCAGAAGTTGGCATGACGTAATAAGTGTGAGATAGTGAATAATCAATAAGCTCGTGTAGAATGGACAGGAACTAGTGGAAAGGTGATAAAGTGTTTTTATATAAAATCTGTATGAAAAAGCAATGTTATTAATAAATAGTAATAGAGTGGTAATAAAATATGGATGATGGGAATAATAATGATAATAAAATAATAGTAGTAATAACAGTAATAATAGTGAACTTACATAAGAAAAAGAAAAAGAAAAATAATAGTAAGTACTTTACTCTGGCCACGGTAGGGCGATTGAATGTATCTATCGCTTTTGAATGCAGAGGTCCGGTTTCAGATCCCGAATAGCTAGTGTTTCATCAATGTACATATAGCGTATTCGAAGTCCCTTTGTACGATATTGAGGGACTCTGTGTAGCACTGTGAAGCATTCATGTAAGTGGGGGTGCTCAATGTCCCGAGATGACAAGGTGTTCAAGGATAGAGCTAATGCTATTCTTCTTTTCTCCTCCGACTAACCAAGCTGGACAGTGTTCCAGAATACGATTGTGGACTTGACGTTGCGTACGGCCGACATACTTTGTTCCACACGAGCGAGTAAATTGATAAATACACATTGAAGTGGCGAAAGGCGGTATCTTATCCCTTAACGTTAAGCAGGATTAACTGTTTGCTGGAGAATGTGTGATACGTAAGGTGGCTCTGTTGGAAGTGTCTTCTTCAGACATTCAGAAAGGCGGTTTCTTCGCTGTTTATGCCTTTTTCTTACAACGTATTTCTGTTGGCTCCTTATTCTTACTGTTATTATTCCTCTGGAACATAAGAATTCAGGAGCACATCTCTATTTCACTTTGCTCTCTGTATTCTTTTTGTGGCTGTCTCCATGATCACCCATGAACTGTCATCTCCTCCTTGCACGATCTTCTCCATGTTACTCCTGTGTCGACGCCGAGCCTATCATTTTCCATTTCATCTCCACTGAGGGGTCCACCTAGCTTGTGATATCCCCCAACTGTCTTCTTATACAAACACATAATTCGCAACGTTTGTAGAGTCCTGACATCACACAGGATGAACAGAATGCTTTAAAAAGCACCTCTGACTCAAAAGGATTATCGTAAACACTTTATCACATAATCAATAAAGCCTACACCACTAAATGAATCCCACATAATCCTACAGTATAACTTTGGTTTTTTTTCAATTTTTTCTTTTGGTATTTTTCAAATAAATATTAGATCCCATCAGAGAAGAACTTCGATCAGTTGTCTGCGCTGGATATCTCTGAACAGTTGACATTCTTGGATTTTCAAATATTTCGATCGATAAGAAGCGAGTAAGTTATGCTTCTCATTTTTTTCTGAATTGTATTCATAGTACATCCCTTTTTGATCAATATAAGTTGGACAGCTGTGAAATTGTTGCTCTCAATACAACATTTAATCCTACTCCAAAAATATGGTGGAGATATGTGCATGGCACTTTCACTCACAGTGTTAAAAACAGAACATATCTCTCTCTAGCTTCTTCACTCATATAAACTCACTGGTAGAGGGAATAAAATTCGTATTTGAAGCCGAAAATGAGCAAAGAGAATTAGCTATGACGTTAGATTGTAAAATAAAACGAATAGAAGAGGTTAAACTGCACACTAGCGTTTATAAAAAGCCAACACATTCTACTAATAGGTATTTAAACTTAATTTCATCTCATCTGTTATCTATCTGTGAAGGCAGGCTTAGCTAAGTGTCTCACAAACTGAGCATTAGCGCTAAGTCGTACAAGAAAAGACCTAAATGATGAAATAAAACAGATAGAAGAGGCGTTGGTGTTAAATAACTATCCTATAAAATTCATTAGGAAGATCAAAAAAGGCCAAAAGCAAAATAAAAATAATTGTGAAACTAGTAATGATAAAATAAATAAGAGAGAATATAAGTCATCTACTGTTATACCATATAAGGAGGGGACATCTGAGACCCTACGCAGGATTCTGAATAAAGCAGGAATTAGAGTGGCATCTAAACCTACAAACTCTTTCAGGTAGGACAAGCTCTGCAGGCTAAAAGACCCGGTGGACCCAATTAGACAAAATAATATAATTTACAAAATACCCTGAAATGACTGTGAGGTCAACTGCATAGGTCAAACTAGAAACGTTGTGGGTAGTCAGATTGTCGGAACATAAGAATTTAGCCAAGGTAAGAATGGTTAACCCCGAGAAGATGAATAATTTAGAAAGAAGCTCAGCGCTGCATGCATTAACACACAACCACACAATAGGATGGGAGAGGGTTAAGATCCTAAGAAGTAATCTACGTAGGTGGAGAGAGAGATTGATTACTGAATCCTTGTTTATCGAGTCTACACCCAACACATGCAACAGAAATGACTAAATGCAAATACCAGAGGTATGGAAGATATTATTGCCGCCAGTCTGTCAAATCAGAGGAGGATAATAAATAATTTCAAAATTCTATTTCAATTCAAGCACATCATAACATTCTAACAATGTTACTTATTATGACTACAAAAACACTCGTCTTATTTCCCATCTGATTGTAATTGATCAATAACACTCGTATTATTATCTCTGAATGTACATTATCCCATATTGTTTTTTATTCAAATGTCTAATCATCAATTCCATACATGTATATAAATGAAGGAAAGAAGTTGTGTGAGTACCTTGATATGATTATGAGTGGCAATAGTTTGTGCTCGAAAGGTGGTCATCAGTTAATGTTACTGTATAACAACACTGTGTGACTTATCAAAATAAAATCTTATCCATAATGGAGATTAATCCTCTTAATGACGAAGTCGTGAACTAGACTGTCCATTCGTGTATTTATCTATTTATAATAAAGCGGGTGAGAATGTTACAGGACTATTCCCGGTCAAGGGTCAAATTAATAAATCTACAAATAGAGATTAAAAAATGTAAAATTAACAGAAATAAACAGGAACTTTAGATATGAAAGGTAACAGGACAATTATTATTGAGAGAATTGACTTTCTATAATGAACATGGTGAAGACAAAGCTAGCTGCATGTGCCTCTTTTAAATGCATAATGTTGGCTTGAATTTCTGGATCTCTAGGACCTCAGTTATGCCCATATGCTTTGATCTCACTCCCTTTGAAAGACGTTTGACTGGGCCTTTTATATGACTTCGTAGGGGTTTTCATCCTGCAGAGCTGAATGTCATGAATTCATCAGATGTCCTGTTATCGAACTATGCGCACACTTGTATTCTCTCTCTGTTAACACGGCTGGATAGTTTCCCCGAGCGCGCTTTGCAAGTGGAGGCATAGTGCGTCCAGTATATACTCAGCTCCACAGGAATGAAGCCAGCGAAGTTTTACATTCATGTTGAAGTCGCCCAATGTGACAGTTCGTCTTTCACGTGTGTCTTGAATATCTTCTTGCAGGAAAATGCTAATTGTAGGCTGACGGAGAAGCATGTTTTTGCTGAGAGATTTCGAAAGTAGTTTTATGAAAAGCTTCTGGTTTCGCTTCACTTTTAAGTTCGAGATTAAGCAGAACTAAAATCTTTTTGTGGGCGAATTGGATCTGTTCTGAAGTTTTCTTTGGCTCTAGAGTTTTTGTCTATGAATCTGGGTGGGAAAACATTTTTCCATCAAGATTCCGCGGAGATTCTTTAGTTCTTAGTCAACAGATTCTTCTTTAAGGAATTATATCCGGTGAGGGAATTCAATCAAAGGTGTGAAGTCGGTGATACTTCCTATATGGATCAGAGACTTGGCGCCGTACCACGTCACGAAGGCCACTTAGAACAAACTACGGACTTTCGTCAACAGCTTTCTTCGCTCAATACTTCGCTCAAGATCAGATGGCCGGCGAGAAAAGATCAGCAACAGGGATCTCTGGCAATGAAAGAACCAACTCAGCAGGAACCGACTGTGCAAAAAGCATGCAGGAAGAAATGGAGATGGATTGGCCATACTCTGAGAAAACAAACCATCAAGTGAGTGACATCACACACCAGGCCATCGCTCGAGTGGAACCCGGCCGAACAAGAAGCGGCGAGTTAGTAGTCATTCCGATGGTGACATTGAGGAGGTCGTGTGAAGAGAAAATGAAAGCATGTGAACAGACGTGTGGAGACAGACGAAAACGTTGGCAGAGAACCAAAGGTAATGGAGACGTGTGGCTGAAGCGCTATGTTCCTCTAGGAACTAAAGGAAACAATGATAACAATCATAGTTAAATGTCAAGTGGCAAAACATTTAATGTCATATGTAGAACAATTCATAGGATGTGTAGAACTTGAAAGGTGTGTGCAATTATAACATTAGTAGTCCAATAACACAAAAGCGTTACGTAATATTGTGTGAAATTTGATAACATAGAATTTAATGTTGCAAGACAGAATTGATTTAGAATGACAAGTGGAACAAGTGAAATAATACCGGGGACATTTCAGATTGAGAATAGTAATAGTAGTAACAATTGACGTAATAAAGGAAGAGTATACAAACTGAATAGACAAAATGAAAAAACTTGGTAGAACCAAAATATGATTAGGGATTACTATACTTTAGCACAGAAACATTAAGACTATGAAAGCTGAAAGGATTGGACGAACTGTTCCTGCAAACACAGATCTGCCTGTTCTATTTCGATGGTCAAAGATGACTTCAGCAATACAGATGAGTCGGATACGTAGTGTTTCGGGCAAATTACTTTTCGCCTTGTAGACGACATTAAAGGCGGAGGCTGCGGAAATAGGTTGATCGTTATCGACCAGATATTCAATGATCGCGCTCCTGACTGCTCCACTCCCACCTCTTCGTAACCACTCATGATAGTGTACTTGCACCTTCTTGGACAAAACCTGAGTTGAACAACAGGATTTAATTTCTTAAGTACAGATTGATGATAAGTTGGTTGAAAAGAGTCTTGTTTTGATTTTCCATATATCCGAAAGGGAATTTTCCACGAATAGATTCTTCAGCACATATTTGTTGGATCTTCTTGTACAGTTGGGTGTGTCTCTTTCCACTAAGAGGAACACAACTTTAAAAATTGATAAACTGCCCCAATCTATGTGGACCTTTTTGTATATAGATATCCTCAGCGAGTTATCAGCACTTCTTCACAATTAAACATCGAGGAAATGGAAGATTGATTCAGATCCAACTTCTGTGGTGTAGTCAATGTTTGGATGGGCATTTTTGAAGGTTTGGAGTAGGTTTCCAGGATCCATATACCTACCAAAAATAATGAAATTATCATTAATGTGTATCTCTTGTAAAGATTGAACCCTACTGATAGTTGATTGTAAGGGACTGTTTTCTAGGTTAGCCATAAGACAATCGTCCGAAAAGGGTCCTATAGGAGAATCCATGTGACAAACAGCGGGCAATGAGGAAACAGGCATAAAATGGACTCACAGAAAAAACTTGGGGGATCTGGAGGACTTCGCCGATGATATATGCCTGATTTCCCACAAACTGGAAGATATGCAAGCGAAAAGTAACAAGTTGGCAGAAGAAGCATCAAAGATAGGACTTCAGGTGAACATAGAGAAGACAGAGGTGATGAAGATTCCTGGACAACAACAACAACAGACAACAATCAGCATAAATGGGAGGAACCTGAAAGAAACAACCTCCTTTACCTACTTTGGAAGCATCGTTTCTACTACAGGCGGAACTGACGAGGATATCAAAGCAAGAATCGGAAAAGCAAGACAAGCTGTCACTACTCTCAAGTCTGTGTGGACGTCAACAGCACTACTCATCACGAGAAATAAGATCCGGATTTTCAACTGCAATGTGAAGTCAGTGCTACTTGCTATACGGATCAGAGACTTGGAGCATCATAAAGAGCATCTCAAACAAACTACAGACCTTCATTAACAGTTGTCTTCTCTCAATACTCAAGATCAGATGGTCTGCCAGAACAGATCAGTAACAGGGATCTCTGGCAATGAACGAACCAAGCCAGCAGGAACCAACTGTGAAACAGATAGGCAGGAAGAAATGGTTGGGGATTGGCCATCAAGTGACATCACTAGGCAAGCCATTGCTCGAGTGGAACCCGTCGAAAGGGAAGCGGCGAGTTGTTCGTCAGTGCAAGGGTGACTTGGAGGAGGTCATGTGAAGAGGAGATGAAAACGTGTGGACAGACTTGGAGCCAGGTGAAGACTCTAGCAGAGAACCGAACGCAATGGAGATGCATGGCTGAAGCCCTATGTTCCTCTAGGAATTAAAGGAAACAATTATATAATAATAATAATAATAAGAGAATCCACTGCCGCGCCATGTATTTGCGTTTATATCTCATTGGTGAATCTGAAGAAGACGTTGAAAGTGCATCGTAGTAACAACTCATTTAAATAATGGATTGGTACGCTGATATCGACGCTATTTGAATGAATGAGGTCACAAAGAAAACATTTAGTTCCCGTCAGTGGAACATTGGTGAAGAGATAGAAGGGGAGACAATCTTTTGTCATCTATTTGTGGATAGATTGGTTGCCTGTCAATTAAAAGGTCTCAAACTCGAATTATGTTTCTCACAATTTATACCAGGACAACTAGCTAATATCACACGCGCACATACACACACACGTTGACCGTCTCCAGTTCCCCTCCCTCTTTCCATGACTCAAAATCTATACCGGCTAACTGAGATATTATTGTCTCTAATGGTGCTCCTGTTATTCCACTAATGTTGATCAAGTTACATAAGTGGACTTTAGATAACACCCATTACTTATATTTAATAATGAAATTGATTGACTCACTGAGACGACTATGTCAATCAATAAATTAAATTCACAGTTTGCAAATTCCTTTGCACTTTGCAAAGTTTCAGTGGTGAGATTTCCTATACCACAAGTGCTAATGTTGGTATTAGATGGTTGGAGGCAATCGGCCAAAGGAAGCCTTGGACCTAGGTTTCGTGCTAGTTGACACTCATCAGCAAGGCGTATCTGCAACCTTGAAGGAACTGATGTCCCTTCTGAGATTCGAACCCGTGGACATCAGGGACATCAGTTCCTTCAAGGTTGCAGATACGCCTTGCTGATGAGTGCCAACTAACACGAAACCTAGGTCCAAGGCTTCCTTTGGCCGATTGCCTCCAACCATCTAATACCAACAATTCACAGTGCACCGTAATGGCGAGCCACCTAGCATGGTGGCCACATTGCAAACATGACTGATAGAATTCAGTCTGCACCGAAGATAGGACTAGACGCATTACACTAGTGACTGACTAGTGTGCAATCAAAAATATACAAGTACTAATCAAGAAAGAAAGCAAATTTGCACAAAACTATCTATATACTACTTACTGGTTGAGGTAAGTAGTAGATGTATACCCCCACCTTTCAACCAGAAGTCCTTGCCAGATAGCCAGACCACGTGACGGCCATTTCACTCGTCTGGAGCCGAGGTCCTCATCAGTGGTGTTCCAAGTTTGATAATTCAGCTCATAGAGCTGAATCTCTCCAAACCACCCAATTTCTGGCCCCAAAGTCCAGATATTTTCCATGATTTCATTTAAAAATTACATCCTCTCGTCTTTTTTCTCTTTGTCTTGCTACTCTGAAGAGAATTACTCAATCAGTCTTGGATGAAATTGGACAAAGAAGAGAAAGCGAAGCATGTCCTGTTGGTTTGTAAACGTTTTAATGAGGTAAGTAGCCCTATCCAAATGGAAGTATACCTCCTTTTATTGTCTTTGTATTTTTGTCTGTTTTTCTGTTCTGGTTGTAGCATGCATTTTGTTTGATTCTGTTAGCTCTAATGTGATTGTGCGTGTCTGTACCTTTATGTTCGTTATTTAGTAGTCTGATTGCAGAGTGATATCAGTTACAGAACCACTGAAAACCACCATGAAGCCCTAGACAGGTGTTTCGTCCAGGTTTAGAACTCTCCAGCAGTACTAACCCATCACCTTACCCACGTCGCTTACGGCAAGTTGTCATCTAAAGTGGTGAAAACCGTCGGTGTCCGTCAGGGATCACCACTGTCCCCATTTCTTCCCAATTTTATGGTAGGTGTACTAATGGAATTAACCCTAACCATCTTCAACGACTCAGGGAATGACTTGTTACCAGGGGATGATCTCGTTGACTTGGAATATGCAGATGATATAGTCCTACTACGTGCAGATGCTGACAAAAGGCAGAGTCCTCTGAACACCTTGAGCTGCTATCTGAGAATGTTTGGCATGCAATTCGCTCTTGCTGTCAAATGTAAGATGATATTACAGGACCGGACTACATTGACTCCTGGCTTAGAGATACAGAGTGAAGTGGTTGATGAAGCGTGTTGACCACTTCGCATATAATAGTTTACTCCGTCTCTGGCGGAGACGTAATATCTGGTTAGCTGTCAGCCAAAGGACGTGTGCACTGCTCAGCAGCAGTTCACCCCATCCTCCTTCATGGTCACTGGAAGTAGAAGACATGAAAAGGCCGCCAAGCTGTCTTTGATCATAGGTGGCTGCGTTCCATCTCACGTATGAAGTGGTATAATAGGGTGAGTAATATTGAGGTTAGGCGTCCAGTGCTATGTACACAGGGGAAATCAGTGGACGAAGCTGTGAAGTTACATCGACTGAGATGGTTAGGACATGTGTTACGCATGCCCAGCCATTGATCGCCTTCCTCGACGACGGGCAGTGTTAGCTGACATAGGGTCAGGTTTTAAAAGAGCTAGCTAGTGGTGGTCAAACCAAAACATGCCTTCATTAGTCAATGAAATCCACAACAGTTAGTTTAATCCGGCCACGCGAGTAGGCGTAGACTTCCTGGTTGGGGTCCTCAGGTTGGTAAAAATCAATGAAAGCTACAGACAATCGGTGATGTGGCTCAAAATCTTTGTCAATAGCTGGCGCAGATACATCCACTCCTTATGACTTATAATTTCCGATAAAACTATGAAGTTCTTCGATGTTACTATTCTTTTAACCTCATATCTCTGTTTACTGCCTCTGTTTTGCATTTCTTTAACTTTTTTCTCTTGCTTTGTATGGTAAGTGAAGTGTGGTGGCTTGAACTGCTGCACATCTGTGCAAAGTTCTATGTTGAAACCAGTCAGTCCGTTACCCACATCGGGGATCAAACCCAGGACGTTCAGGTTACGGTGTAAGCTCGTTAACCATTAACGCAAAAAGATGGAATACACTCGCCCATGAATTCTGACTTCTGCCACTTAGTGACACTCAGCGGTAAATGGCCTACGAGCCCGCCTTGTGACCTGCAGGTTCTGGGTGCATGGTGCTAAAGAGATTAGACCATGACGAAGACAAATAATAAGGATCAAGTCAATATATGATATGCAAATATCAGAACAGTAATATACAGTCTAGGAGAAAAATGAATAGTAATAAGAAGGGTAGTTGAAATATCCAAAGAAAACTTCCAAATCTGTCTTCAAACCAAAAGTATTTCACTGATAATAAGTATACTACTTAATGATTTTATCAGTAGCTTCACATCATTTTTGAAATTTTCTACTTCTTATTGTTATTATTGAAATCCCTCTTACGTAATTCTTTTCATCTCCTTCTATAACCTTCAGGTCAGTCGTCTAGTCGTCTCCGAAATTATATCCCGTACAGATTTAAACGACAGAGTTATGTGTATTGACAAATGGGTAGCTATAGCCGATATCTGTCGATGTATGCAAAATTACAATGGTGTACTACAAATCTGTGCAGCTCTGGTGAATAGTTCTGTCTACAGGTTGAAAAGAACATGGGAAAGAGTTAGCAAGCAGACGAAACAGTCAATTGATCGACTGCAAATGCTTGTGGCTTCAGATGGACGATTCAAGTCAATGCGTGAAGCATTGCACAGGTATGTTTTGACTAATTTATTTTTGGGAGGGACTGATCACTAACTGACATCAGTTAGAGAACCTTCGGAAGATCAAAACACGGAGTACTGGACAGCTGGCTGTTTCGTCCTGGTTCGGGACTCTTCAACAGTACTCTCCCGCCGGTTCCTAAGTTCAAACTCTTGTGGTGGGTGCGTACTACTGAAGAGTCCTAAATCAGGATGAAACAACTCTCCAGTACTCCTGGATTTTCCAGTAATTCTCCAACTGATCTAAGCTCATGATCCTTTCTGTAACCAATCAAGCACCTGGAAACCAACACTACTTGATATTTATTTTCCGTCATCAGAGGCTTTAATAATACTGTTATATGATGAATTATAAAGTTTTGTTTTCATCCGTGTACTTGTGTTCTGTGAGCTGGATGGTTCATTTGTGAAGCCTTCATTATCATTGAATAAAGCAAGAACTATGTTGATTTGTACAGAATAAGTAACATGGTACCATCATTGTTTATTTCTTTGGCTTCTCATCAGTTGCATGTACAGTCTAAAGAAGACATTATTAAATTTATGCACAGAGTAACTTTGTGTCGGTAGCTTAGCAGTATAATGCCCACCAAGCACGCACTTGGTTCGGGGATCGATCCCCAGCCGAGGCACTCCTTTATCCCGGTAAAGAAGAAACTTCAAGCCTCTAGCCTGAAGCACTTTGTTCCCTACTTGAAACGTGAATGAATAAAATATAAAACAGAGCAACTTTGTAACATACTTGCAAATGTTCTGTAATGTCCGTTAATGACAGAAGACTCCAAACTTAGTGAATAGTGCTCAGAAATCACATGTATATGGTTTATACCCACAGAGTTCAAGTTTAAATAAAAATAAATGTCGTCAAAGTTGAGTAGAGATGAGCTCTTTTGTCTATTGATAATTTAAAAGGATTTTGTAATGTCCACCTTATTGATAAGATATCTGGCTGTGGCGCTATTGTTAACGTTTGTTCCTTTGAAATGTGGGCTGTTTGTTGCATGTTTAGAAAGGCGGAGTTGTCCCCCTACTTTTTCTTTCTGTTCTCCCGATGTAACTGCTACCGCAGATACGTGTAAATTTGTATACATAGTTAGAGTTCACATGAGAAGTGTATCTTTTGACTCTTGGTTGTACCGTCAAGGGTATGTTGTCCGATTAACGGAAACGAATTTAGATACAGGATAGATTGTGGCTAGTGAGGTATGCAATCTTCTATTGACTGTTCCTCTAGTTTTATCATCCTTAGAATCAAGTTGAATGAAGATAGGCTTTTCCCCCCAATTTTTTCGATTCGATTGCAGCTTGATTCCACACTGTATCTTCAGTACAAGTATGGAATTTTCAGCATGGATATTGGTAGCCCAAATTTTGCAGGCCGACCATAGATATCGGGTGTGCGTCGGCAGGGGGTCGAACCCCGGACCATGTGCATGGTGGGCGAGAGTCCTAACCACTGTGCCACCGACGCACAATGTGATTTGTTTGGAATTCTAGCCTTCACTTATAAATGTGTTTCTGAGGGTGGTGATTGTTTTTCAATATCTTTTCGAGAACGAGAAATTAAGGGAAGTAATACACAGAATTCATGAACGTATAATAATCAACAACAGGCCAAGGTGGCAATAGTGACTGGACCTGTTGCTTTTTTACACACAGCTACAGTTAACTTAAGTGAATTGCAGTGATCTCTGCTGTTTGGAGAGTATTCTGAACCTACTGTCTTCTGGCAGTTTAATAGGTACCAGGTAAGTGAGAGAGAGAGAGAAAGACTTCAATGATAGCTCTGTGGCATGTTCGGATGACGTGATCCAATATAGTATACTATTGATGGCTTTAACAACACCTTTATTTAACCACAATCTTAGGTGTTCCCAGAGCACGAAAAATTGGGGTTTCTACAGTAATGCCCAATGTAAAACTGTCTTCACATGAAAAGCAGTTGAATCGATAGATACAATCGGGGGTGGCTAGTTGGCCTAGGTACTTCATCTTTCACTTTTGGCATCACTACCCATTGTCTGGAAATTATAAACTACAGACAGCTTTTTGACACTAAAAGTTCTTTGAATTGATTTTCTCAGCTTGTTGATTAATTATTTCACTAAGTGCAACACTGTTTGAACTGTAGTCATCCATGCAGAGGCTTCTCTTCAACAGATACAGAAGAATCCTTTTCTACACTCTTGGTCATCTGTATAAAGATGACCTTTTCAGGGTAACTGTTTTCAAATAACATGTCTTGTATACAACCTTAAGTTTGTGGTGAGAGCTGTCTACTAGCCAACTGGTTGACAGTAATTGAGGTCAAGGTCAAGATGGACAGGTGGATACAGAACTGACACAGCCACAAGAGATGAAAGGTTAACTTTGTGTGAGAAACAACCAATCAACAGACTGTATTTTCTACTAATATTAACCTACAATAATGTACATCAAAATCTATAAATATGTGTTGATTTTCCGTAATAAGCGTTCTATTGCCTGGCCCTTGTCTTCTGTTGTTACAAGTTCACCTTAAATTAACTCTTCTGAACAAATGCCTCTGACCCTGTGGCTGAGGGTGTTTACCGGAGAGGAAGGAAACTGTGGAAAAGTGTGCAAATTGACCGATCCAGGTACTTTTATTATACAATTTCCTTTCTGTACTAATGTTTGGTCTTCTTGTCAGTAAGCTATCTAAAAAGGTAATTTTAATTTAGGATTCTACTTCTCCACACGTGAAAATGTTTCCTGAATGTACTTCATTGGATTCAGTTATTATTGCGTCTTAGCTGAATCGTCATCGTCCACATCTCTTGTTTCTCTTCTCTTTTCTCACTAGATGTGATCCTCCATGTATCCCATATTTAGGAATGTATTTAACCGATCTATCGTTTATTGAAGAGGGTGCTTTAAATATAACTGAGAACAATTTGGTCAATTTTTGTAAAATGCGTATGGTAAGTGTAATTGAGAATTTGATTTGGTTTTTTCATTAACATTATAATAATATTTTCTATAGTTTGGTTTGTAAGGATTAGTTTTGTTTGTTACGAGTTGATCATGGAGTGATATCACTTAGAGAAAGAACCATTGAAAACCAGCCACAGGGAGTACTGGACAGCTGTTTCATCAGCCTAGTTTGGGAATCATTTGCAGTACGCACCCGCTGCCAGGGTTCGAACTCAGGACCTTCTCGTCACAAGGCAAGCTCGTAGACCATTAAGCCACTGTGACTTGATTCAGTGGCTCATGAATACGAGCTTGCCTTGTAACGAGAAGGTCCTGGGTTCAAAACCCAGTGGGTGAGTGAGTACTGCCGATGATTCCCAAACTAGGCTGATGAAACAGCTGTCCAGTACTCCCTGCTGGTTTTCAATGGTTCTCTAACTGATATTATAATAATAATTATTATTATTACTGTTCTTTGGTTGGTCTCGTCTGTCAGTGGAATTAAAATGGCGCGTCTCATCCTGTCTGATGCACTCATCATCTATATGTGCCTGCATCCTGAGAGATTTATCAAGTAAGCTATTGATTAAAGACAACCAATTCTTGCACAAAGCGGGTGCCTCAACTTGATAGGAAGTCTGTATCATCACCCGACTCTACAAATTGTTCACTATGGCCAATTACTGGTTGATGTGTTATGCAGACGGATAAAGCGAAGCCACGAGCTTGGATCGTTTTTACTTTTCAGCTCTTATCGGTGTTATTAATCTTACGGGTGATTAATATTGATGTTAGGCTTCAGTCGATCGACGAGGTTGTAAAGTTACATCGATTGAGGTGGCTAGGACAAGTGTTACGCATGCTTAGTGACGGTCAAACCAAAATACGGCACTAGTCAATTAAATCCATGATAGTTCATTTAAGCTTTCATTATCTGTTAATATTCCTTCGAGTTCCTAGTGGAACATAGAGCTTCAGCTGCACATCTGCATATCTTTAGCTTTTGTTTCCTCATAATATAATGTTCTCCTCTATGTCATGCTTGGTTCTGCGCCCAACTTGCGGCTTTTGATTTATTTTCACTCTACCGGAAATAAACCAATCAGAATTGACGTACGCAAATGATCGATATCCGGTCGGCAAATGAACCAATCAAAAAGAGACCTGTGTAAAATAACGCCCACCATTTTTATTGGTCGTGACCATGGACTACTTGACATAACCATGGTGATTTTTTGAATGATACGTTATCGTGTAAATACACCATTACTTTCGGTCTCAGTTTCGGTTTGTTGTCGCTGAGAGATAGGTTAGCCGTTGCATACCTTATTGTTGGCGTAAACAAGCGATACTCGTGATTACCACATACGTCATCAACTCGACGTCCGTATTTCACCTCAACGTTTTGCAATATATAATATATCCAGAAGACATACGTTATCCTTCCCGAAAATTCTTACCTGGATACAATGAAATCTCAATGAAAGATGATGTCCATATTGAGATGCTGCAAATGTCTAACATCTATTTCACTTGAATACAGAATGAAGCGTTCTAACTACAGATAGGTTCTATGATTAACCAATTCCAAGTATGCTACACCGGTTAGCCCTGAATGTCAGAAATTTCAGGCTGCATAAACCTATCCTTTCTTCCTTCTAGTGAAACATGTAGATGCATGAGATATTTATCACTAGTTTCAATGCTCCTTTTTGTTATTCTCCTTCTAGATTGCCCATGTGATACGGGAAGTTCAACAATATCACCAGACTCCATATCTTATAACTCATAGACGAGAGGTGAGTTTACAAGTCTATTATATGTATATGTATACTATTCCCTTGGGTTCCAAGTGGAACACTGAGCTTCACCAACACACCTCCATTTTCTTCTATTTTCTGATGTAGTCTTCAGCTGGCTAGCTCCACCACTGACCATAATCTGTCATCTCCAACTCACACGATCTCCTCCATGTTACCCTTGGACGACCCATTCATCACTTCCCATTTGGATTCAACCTGAGGGCCAGGAGCGCGATGTCATTTGACCGCCTCCTCAACGTGTGCTCGATCGATCGATCCATCTCCATTTTCTCCTACATATTTGTTGAGCAATCAGCTCTTGGTTGGTTTGTTGTCAGAGTTTCTTGCGGTTAATTCCTTCTTTCTGGCTTGCCATTCGATCTTCAGTATGGAAACAGCCAGCCAGCCAGAGAAGTGGGCAGCTGTTGATAAATGTCTGTTGTAGCCTTTTGAAAATCATTTTCGTGACAGGCACGCATTGCAAGTTTCTGACCCGTATAAAAAATAACTAACTTTACATGGTGTTAAATATCCGAATCTACACATGGCGCCGGGTTCAGGGTGAACAAGAATGCTGTGACTCCGGATAGAGGCTCACCATTGCACTTCGGTGGATTAAAACTCCCGACGGACCCTAATCGGGTGCTCTCGGGTGTGTAGTTTTTGTCAGTGGAGAGGCCTCACGGTCCTCCTTTTATTTTGTATGAGTTGGTGGTACATCAGTTAGGACACTCGCCGACCATGCAGATGGTCCGGCCGACGCACATCCGATATCAATAGTCGGTCTGCTAAATTTGGGCTACCGATATCACATGCTAAAAATTCCATACTTGTATCAAAAGTAGTGTGTGGAGTCAAGCTACAATGAAAAAATATAAAAAAATGTTGAGTGAGTGAAGCAGTAGATTTCCGAACTGGTTTCAAGTTGATAAAGGCATGTCACGTCTTTCCGATTCTGGTTTGATGACTTCGCCTTCTTCATTTGTACTGTCCGACTCCCTGCCTGTGGTTGAAACCATGCTTCCTGGTGAGAAAAGTTAGGGAAGTAACCTCTGTCAAATCTCTCCCGTTGATGGCGATTGGTGCTTGTTGTTGTTGCTGCTGTTGTTTGGTTGGTGGGTTATCTTCATCACCTCCATCTTCCGTATGTTCATCTAGAATCCTGTCTTCACTACCTGCTTGTTCAGCCAGTTTTTTGGTTTTCACCTGCAAATCTTCGAGGTTGTGTGGTATTAAACATAAATCGTCCACGCATGAAATCTAGATCTTCTAGAATATTCTCATCAGTCACTCCAACGTATTCCTGTCTCCTCACTCCCACTGCACAGTCTGTCGCACAATTCAGTCCACAATTAAGAATATCAGCGGTGGTAATAGTCTGGGAGACTTGTCTTTTACTGCTGTATTCACTTCGAACACCTCACTGAGTTTTCCGTTTTGGATCACCTGACAAGTGATGGGGTTGTCATATAGGCAGCTGTTGAATGAGGTTGGTGATGATTGGGGCACTGCCCACTGTAGTGTTGAAGTACTTTCCAAATTACTTCTCAATATAATTAGATCAGTTTCTTGCTAACAAAGAATATCTCAAATTAATGCAAAGTTGATCCTTAATTTTATTTTATTTTTTTGAAATATATAATTTTTTGCGTAACAGAATTATTCGATTTGGCATAACATACAATGTGTATCACAGTACTTTTCCCAAGCGTTAGTTCATAGGAATTTGATTCGTCTCAAGTTTGAGCACGGATTGACGTCAGTTAGAGAACCACACTAGAAAACCAGTAGAAAGTACTGGAAAGATGTTTCACCCTATTTTGGGAATCGTCAGCAGTAAGTATCCACCGCAAACCAACTGATCTCGAGGGAGGATGATGACATTGGTGGCCGGCGCCAGTCGCGCCAAAACCAAGAATTGGTCGAAGTTGGAATTCATTTGTTGGTCTTCTAACAGTCACATCCCAGTAGCTGGGTGGTCTACGAGCTCGCCTTGTAACCGGAAGGTCCTGAATTCGAACCCCAACTGGTTTGTACTCCCAATGAGTCTCAAACTAAGATGAAGCAGCTGGCTATGCCGTAATCCACACTGGTTTCCTACGCTTCTCTAACTAATATTTACCTATGACGTTTCCAGTACAGTAAATATTACTGTATAACGTTGTGTGAATTTATCAAAATAAAATTTTATCCATAATCGATTTATGCTCTACCACAGTGACCAGATTTCATACTTATAAGGTTAAATATTGTCATTAGATCGTTTACAGGAGGGATTTTCAAAACAATTACCCCCCCCCCCACTCCAACTCACTAAGAAGTAGATAAATTCTCATCCAGCTGATGAATCACTAGTAGGACGAAACCCACCTACTGGATTCATTCCTTTTTCTAGACACTATTTAAACAAAATTAACCCACTTATGCGTTTATTGATTTATTGTTATTAATTAGGTAACGGATTATTTACTTGATCCAACACGGTTGCTAGATGAAGAACAAACCTATCAAGCATCATTGATTATCGAACCAAGACAATCAATTAATCGACAACCACCAACTAGCCTGTCATAGTCAATTTCATTAACAAAACTCTCCAACCAACTAGCTATATGAACAGTTCTCATCGCAGATTGATTTTCTGTATACATTTATGTAAAAATTTAATTTATAAAATAGCATGTATGAACTTAAAGATGAACTGTTTTTTCGTTATTTTGTTTCTTATTTTCTGATGTCTATCAAACACAAACACACACACGCGCGCGCCATTTGGGATTCCAGCAAACTTTGTAATCTCTTTCTCTTTATTCTTTCTGTGTACTCCCCCCTACCCCTCCTCACAAGCTGTGCGTACATAATATATTTATTGAGATGAAAGATGAGAAATTAAAACATAAAAACCAAGCTACCCTTTGAGCACTCTTATCATCAATATTATTGTAAAAAATTAAATACATATATACATATTCGTATTTAGGTGTTGTTGTCGCTGTTTTTTTATCTATGTCCCTCTTTTTTGTATTCTACTTTATTTCCGTTGATTTTGTTTTACTGTATCAAAGAGCAAAATTATCGATCGTTTATTTTTGAGCGCCATCTTTGAATTCTCATTTCGTTCCAATTATTATTTGTTGTCGTCGATGTTGCTATGGTTTCCTCTGTTTATTTGCGATTGGATGATATAAATAATGTTAGTGTCTCAATTACTCACTTATTCACCTACTTACTCAATTAAAAATTAATCATTACTGTCTCGTGTGTGCGTGTCTTTGAGTTGGAATCATCTTTACTCATGTTCTTTCTTAGTCTTTCTTTCAAAATATGATGTCCCTCATTGTGCTTTCTTGATTTATGTATTTTTGTATTGTTATAAGCATTCCTGTTTGTTCCCCCTCTCATCAGTTCATTAGGGGGTGGAGGGGTGGAAGGCTGAACAGAAGAGAATGAAATACCATTAACAGCTAATCATTCATTGAACTATCGATCACATCACATGATACATGTTTGTATGTGTATTGAATAGCTTTCATGTAATTGATACTATAACCAAACCCCCTATATATACACACCTTTTGTTTTGAGCCATTTGTGATAGAGTAGATAGATACTACAAAAGAATAAGTTATATTTTTTTCACATTACTACCCATTACTACTAATACAACTATTGTCGATACTACTTAATTTTCTTCTGATCCACTCTTCCTATACATTCCTGTATTGTTTGTTCTCTTTTCGTCACTGTTGTTGTTGTAATTGTCGTTGGTGATGTTTATTTTTATTATTTTTGTGTTTAACTAGAATAATACTTATGCTTAGATAATATATATAGGACAGATTATTTTTTAACCTGTTTTTATGTACACTGTTAGTCTATTGTATGTGTGTGTGTGCGTTTGAGTATATTTCGAAGTGTTCCAAATCTCCTAAACAACTGGATTTCTTTCCGATTTGTCTTCATCAACAGATTATTCATTATGTAATATTTGTTGATCACATATGACATCATTCTCCTTCTTCGTCTGTGACTGTAAAGACCAAAATCTATTGAATCATTGATCCATTGAACAATGAACGAGGACGAGAAAAATGGCGCGAAATTTAAAAACTCGCGAAGCGCCATATTTGTTCCCTTTTTTGTAATATTTGTTAGTGTGACCTCTTTCTTTTTTTCTCTTTTCTCTTCACTATGTCTTTTTTTCTTTGTGCATTTATTTGTGTTTGTTAACTTGAGTGTATTGTGATCCTATTCCCTGTCTTTTTTGGCATTTATATTGACACAAAAAAATATGGAAGAGGGGAGAAAGAATTAAGGTTCTCAGACAGAGATGAAAGGACGGGAAATGAGAAAGCAAAGCAGATTTCAATTCTACAATAACAACTACTATTGTTGATGTCGTCTTTTGTTAGTTTTTTCTTTAGGGATAGAAACAGAAATGGAAGACACTTTTTCTCCCCCTTGTTCCATTTCGTCACATTTCAACAAATTTTTTCTATCTGTTAGTTCTGATTGTTCGCGTTGAGTAAACCCCATGAAAAAAATAACAGAAAATAATAGAAAAAATAAATGATATTTCAAAAAAATATTTCTTCTATCCTTATTCTTGCTCCTCATCATCTTCGTATTGAAAGAAGTTAGTTTTCTTTTATGAATTTGGACAAAACAGTGAAAAGACGTAGTTTATCTGAAACGTGTAAGATGTAATGTGGATTTGAGGAACACATTTTGGAACACATTCTCGTCGCACATGTATTTGTCATTCATGCCTATACAGAAGGCAAGAGTTTATAGCCGCAAAAATATGAGGCTGGAAGATTTTCTTAAATTCCTTTACGTTCCCAGTGGAACATTCGGTTTCAAGCTAAAGGGCTTGAAGTTTCGATAGCAGTGGTGTTTATTTTAACGGCATGGGGTTGTTAGCCTCATTCCCAACCTTCTTTTTTTACCAGTCTTATTACTCCCTTAGTGAAATAAAGGAGGTTGGAAGATGATGCAAGAAAAAAAAGGGTGAAGTGGACCTTGGTTCAAATTAATTGTTTTTACGAGTTGATCACGGATTGATATCAGTTAGAGAACCATTGAAAACCAGCCAGAGGGAGTACTGGACAGCTGCTGTTTCATCCTAGTTTGAGAATCATCGGCAGAACGCGCCCACTGGGATTCGAACCCAGGACCTTCTCGTTACAAGGCAAGCTCGTAGACCATTCAGCCACTGGGACTGACCCGATTCAATGGCTCATGAATTCTAACTTTTACCTATTCGTGATTTAGAGTGACCCCAACCATTGTCGTTGGTGGGACATCCATCCACTTACGTGACGTCTAATTGGACCTCACTGGTCACGATTTCTCACTAGAACTCCAGGAAAATCCATCCTGTAACCGGAAGGTCCCGGGTTCGAATCCCAGTGGGCGCGTACTGCCGGTAATTCCCAAACTAGGATGAAACAGCAGCTGTCCAGTACTCCGTGGCTGGTTTTCAATGGTTCTCTAACTGATATCAATCCGTGATCAACTCGTAAAAACATAAGTAACCCTTACAAACCAAACTATAGAAAATCAAATTAATTGATTTACCAAGGTAGGTTAAGAGTTACAACAAATAATTTTCGAACATATGTGACAAGTTTAAACGATTTCAGACGTCCAATCAGCTCTCAAAAACGATATTTGTTTATCTTTGGCGTTCAAGAGTGATCAACGAAGTCTTATCACTAAACGTAGACTCAATGTGTCAATTAATTTGGACTTACTATGCAGCTAAACTTATCTTCATAGAGAAAACGAGATCTACGCCATCCTGTACACCCTAACAACATCCGAAGGATAGCGTCACATTTCATTGTTTTTGCTAGTTTACATGCATGTGTCGTCACACGCACACAGGGGGGACCCATTAGTCTCTGCAGGTCAGGGCTACAGTACAAATTTCAAAGTAGCTGCAACAATAAATAAAATCACTAGATAAAACTGACCCTGGAAATGGATGTACAACATTATCTATTGCAAAGCACATTATAGGGATGGGACACAAGGCTGATTTCATTATTGCCTTTAAACGCATATATAAAACAAGTTCAGGTATGATGGAGAAGATTTGTAGCTCAGGTGGATGATTTTGATGTGGTTGTGTTCTCTGAGCTGGATAGTTAATTTGCGAAGCTCTCATCTTCAGCGCAGACTTCAATCTGTTGAAGTGAGCTTTTAGATTTCTCCACGAGTTTATTAATCATCTGTCCTGGCGGGTGACCTTGGGCGTAATTGGTTGTTTTTGTGTGTTTTCACACCTTCTGGGCTATTTGTATTGGAATTGATTGTTTCCTTGACTTGAACTTTGACCCTTTGTGTGTAAGGTTTTCTTCTTTTCAGTTGATAAATCTTGTCAATGTCGATGTGTCTATTGACTGATGATACACTGGAATGCCAAGCTTCTAAAAATTCTCTAGCATTCTTGTTGTTTCCTCTGTCTAATATTTGAACATTGTCCCAATCGAATTGATGCCCATTGTTGTCTGCATGTAGTGATATGAGGGAGTGGATCAAAGTTCAAGTCAAAGAAACAATCAATTCCAATACAAGTAGCCCAGAAGGTGTGAAAACACACAAAAACAACCAATTACGCCCAAGGTCACCCGCCAGGAGAGATGATTAATTAACTCGTGGAGAAATCTAAAAGCTCACTTCGTCAAATTGAAGTATGCGCTGAAGATGTCAGCTAGTAGGTAGGGTGATGAAAGCTTCGCAAATTAACTATCCAGCTCAGAGAACGCAACCACATCAAAAATAAAACAAGTTTAGACTACATACTTAAATTCGTTGAAGCCTTGGTCATTAGAATGCTTAAGTCTGTCTTATGTGTCCACAATTTATTTGTGATTACTCTCAACCTGCTTCGGTAAGCCAATATTTTTGAACCAAGGTTCATTTCACTCAGTAATACTTTCATCCTCTTCCTGTTTTTCTTATCCTACATCCCTAAGTCACCTTTTTAATCCGACCTTGACCTGTACTGTAACAATAATTCATGCTGTCTTACCATCTCTGTGAATGTGTATGACAAGCCCGCGTGTATGTGATCAGAATGTCCGAAATGTGTTGCGCAAATACATTACATAACACGTGTATCTTTAATTTTAGAGAAATAAAACGAGGTGAACTGGAATTCGGGTGGGTGGATGTGTTTCAACTCTCTGGACTAAGTAAGCAAAAATGACCAGCTACAATGCTGATGTTATCTGATAAATGAATGAGAGAAACGGTTATCCTATGTTTAGATCCCGTTGTTTTGGTTACAGAAAGTACTAATCAACTAATTAATGTGAATAGTTTTCAACTATCCTGTTATCATGTAGCCAATATTTTACTTCACAATAGAACGCTGAGATTGAAATAGGGACACCAAGTTGGACACAGACGCGTTGATCACGACAACAACATTATACGACAGCTACTTGTTCTTAACCACACACACACACACAGCCTAGTATACCTAACCGAGAATACAGAACTACGTGAACAGTAGGGTTTGTTTCAGTATCAGCCACAGCAATTTGTTTTACATAACAATGCATGATTCAACAATCACCAAAATAGCATATGTCAATCAGTCTATGATAATGACCAATAAAAATAGTGGGCGTCATTTTACACAGGCTAAACTTCCTCCGATTGGTTTATTTCCAGACCAGCTATCGATCAGTTGCACAAGTCAATCCTGATTGGCTTATTTACATAATGACCTTGGTCACCATACCACCCACAAAAGATATCTGTCTACGTACCAATGAGGCAGGTTGAAATGATTGCCCGAAGCAGAGTAATAAATAAAGATGTAATAAAACTTGGAGATTACAAAAGGTGAACACTTCTGGGCTTTTGAGAACGATTTCGTGCCAAATTACCAACATTTGGTATTTGCTTTCTCGAGAACCTTAACCAGGCAGTCTATACCTCAGTATGTGGCTCAAACCAACTCTTGAACATACCATAGACTTCTGTCAAGAATTGATCTAATCCTTTTTTACAATGTAATCGTATATCAGCCGACACTATTCGCTGATTAAGGCGAAAATAACTCAGCCTTCTGTTTTCTTTCTAACAAACGCTTACACACTTCTCATGTGTTGACTTACAGGGATCTGACTTCATTTGGAGAATCAGATTTCGACCCCTTGTGGGCGGTGGGATAGTTAATGGGTGCCTATTATCACCGACTATTCAACAGCTGTACGACCACGGAACATGTCAAGTGATCCACAACGGAAAACTCAGCGAGGCGTTTGGAGTAAACACAGGAGTCAGACAAGGGTGCTTATTATCACCAATGATATTTTTCTAATTGTGGTGGACTGGATTATGCGTCAGACAGTGGGAAACGAGAAGACAGGGATATCCTGGACTGACGTGAACAACCTAGAAGACCTGGATTTCGCGCGTGGATGATTTATGTTTGATGTCACACAAATCGAAGACCTACAAGCAAAAACCGACAAACTGGTCGAAGAAGCAGGCAGTGAAGACAGGACTCCAGGTGAACATAAACAAGACGGAGGTTATGAAAATAACCAACCAACAACAACAACAGCAACATCCAGCGCGAATCACAATCAACGGGAGGGATTTGAAAGAGGTTACTTCATTCACTTATCTAGGGACCTTTGTCTCAACTACACGAGGAACGGAACGGACGAGGATGTCAAATCGAAAATCAGGAAGGCGAGAAACACATTCATCAACCTGAAACCAATCTGGAAATCCTCGTCACTCAGCATCAACAACAAAATTCGAATTTCCAATACAAACCTCAAGTCAGTTCTTCCATACGGATCAGAAACTTGGCGGGTCACAAAGAATATTTCCAACAGCCTGTTGCAGATCTTTATCAAAAACAGCTGTCTTCGCTCTATACTGAAGATCAGATGGCCGTCGGAAAGAATCACAAACAAGAAACTATGGGAACAAACAAAACAAGAACCAATCGCTCAACAAATATGCAGGAGAAAGTGGAGATGGATTGGACACTCGCTGAGGAGGCCGTTGGGTGACATCGCGCGTCAGGCCATTGCTTGAGTGGAACCTGAAATGGAAGTGGCGAGTGGGGCGTCCAAGGGTGACATGGAGGAGATCGTGTGTAGGGGAATTGAAACAGTATGGACTAACATGGATGCAGGTGAAAAGTACAGCAGAAGACAGAAACAAGTTAAGACGTGCAGTTGAAGCCCTGTGTTCCACTAGGAATCCATGGGAACAATAATAAAAAATAAATAAATATTATCACCGACGATATTCCTAATTGTACCGGACTGCATTATGCATCAGATTGGGGTGCGGGGGGGGGTAGTGAGAAGACAGGAATACACTGGACGGATAAAAAGACGCTAGAAGATCTGGATTTCGCGCGTGGATGATTTATGCCTCATGTCACAAAAACTCGAAGAGATACAGGTAAAAACTAATAAGCTGCCTGAAGAGACGGCAAAGACAGGACTCCAGGTAAATATAGAGAAGATGGAGGTGATGAAGATAGACAACCAACAACAACAACAACAAGTACCAGTCATCATCAGTGGGAGAAATTTCAAAGAGACTACCTCCCTCATTTATCTAGGCAGCATCATTTCAACTACAGATGAACGACACAGATGAGGACATCATAACCAGCAAGGATAGGGAAGGCAAGGTACGACTTCATCACTCTGAATTTAGTTTGGAAATCTTCCACACTCCACAGAATAAACAGTAAGATTCGGATTTCCATCACCAATGTTAATTCAATCAGTCAGTCAGTCCTCCTATGTGGGTCGTAAACTTGGCCAGTGCGTCACGAAAAGCATTACGAACAGGTTGCAGACTTTTATCAACAGCTGCCCCCGCCTTTCTCTGGGTTAATTGTGAAGATCAGATGACCAGCCGTCCAGAAGTAATTAGCAACAAGAAACTGCGAGAGCGAACCATACAAGAGCCTCCTATTAGTCAACAAGTATGTAGAAGAAAATGGATATGGATTGAACACATGCTAAGGAGAACATCGAATGACATTCCACTCAGTGCAGGTCATCTATCGAGTGGTAGCCAAATGGAAAACGACGAGTTGGGTGTCAATTCGAGGGTAAAATGTAGGAGATCGTGTGATGGAGAGGAGATGAGAGACTATGAGCAATCAAGGACCCAGCTAGAGGGAACATCAGAAAATAGAACAAAGTGGAGATGTGCTGCTGAAACCATATGTTCCACTCGGAACTAAATGGAATAATAATAGTGCTGTTGAAGAGTTTCAAATGCGGACGAAACAGTTATCTCTTAATTAGTACTTTCAATGATTCTCTCTTCTACTGAAGTCAGACAATTTGTGATCCATATTGAGAAAGAAGAATAGTAAAGCAAAGCTATACATATTCAACATTCATTTCTATGGGGGGGGGGAGAAAAAAGAACCGATAACTTCACCGAGTATTTATTTATATCAAGACTGTACATACAAAAAAACACGCAATACTGTTTGAGAAATAAGGTGACGGGGGAAGGGGGAGAAAACAAATGCGTTTCTCACCCGCCCCCCCATACCCCCCAAGTATTCGCAAGAACAGAAATTGAAATTTGATTTACAAAACGGAAGAAAGAACCGACAAAATAAAACAGATACAGCATCACTTCATAAATTAGTTCATCCTTATCAATTTCATCAGTGTATTCATTGTTCTGCCTTGTGGGCCAAGACCACCGTGTAACCAGGCTGTACCATCGCTACGGCATACATCACAAACAGCATATGCTCTTGACTCATTGATTGTACCGATTCTAGAGGAGAAAGACAGGCGAAAAATGTGAATATTTTGTAAGCAAATATACATGACGAAACAATGATAATAATCTTAACCTTACCAAAGTTTCTAACCCTTTCTTCCTTTGTGCTCTTGAGTACTAAGTAATTTACAACTTTTAGTTTTGAAACGATAGAAGACAAGGGCCAGGCAACAGATCGTTTATTGAGAAAATCAACAGATTAATATATGTGTAAAACTTGAGAATTGTGGTAGTGAGTAATTCCATATTAGTTTGTTTATTAGATGTATCACACACAGTGTGAAACAGTATTATTTACTGGATGACAAGGTTTCGAACAAAATTTATTGTTCATAATCATTTCATCAATTATAATCACATGACTTCGACACTTGAGTTTTATAGTTTTCTTTTCTTTTCCAGATACCTGGAAAATTCTACTAACCCTACGACAAATAGGAGAAGACAAAGAAAACTATAAAACTCAAGTTTCAAAGTCGTGTGATTACAATTGATATGATTATGAACAATAAATTTTGTTCGAAACCTTGTCATCCAGTGAATAATACTGTTTCACTGTGTGATACATCTAATAAACAAACTAATGTGAAAAATCAACAGATATTTATCGATTTTTATGTACATTATTATTAGCGTTATTGTTAGCAGGGAAGCAACGTCTTCTGATTGGTTGTTTTCTCGCTGAAGGTTATTCTGTCATCCCTTTGTTACCGTTTCTTTGAAGGTCATACCATATATCTGCGAATCGTATTTGCACACGTTAAGTCTACTGTGATTGGTTGGTGAGTTCCTCAAGGTTAAGCTTTGTTATTGTTTTTTCTCATGATCCCGATTCGGGACGTAAACATTGACGTAAATTGTTGTCTACAATTTGGGCTAGTAGACAGCTCTCAACACAGCTTCACTTCTAAAGCCACTTCTGAGTAATTATATCATTTATATCAATCGCCTGCCTATTACTTAATAATAGACTACTACACATTTTTGGTAAATATAAATACGACTGTACAGCCTTCGTAGGAAGATGATTTCGTCGATAAAGAAGACCTCACTTCGCTAAATTGTCTTTTATGATGAAAATCGCAAACAATAACGATGTGATCGAAGAGGTTAGACGTTAGACAAACTCAAAAAGAGTGACCCAACCAATGAATGATGACAGGATTTTATCATGAGGTGACATAAGTTAGAGAACCATTGGAAAACTTGGGAGTACTGGACAGCTGTTTCGTCAGCCTAGTTTGGGACTCTTCACAGTACGCACCCACCAGGATTCGAACCCAGGACCTTCTGGCTACAAGGCGGAATCGTATACTGCTGAAGAGTCCAAACTAGGACGAAACAGCTCTCCAGTACTACCAGCTGGTTTTTCAATGGTTCTCTAACTAATGTCAGCTCATGATGAAATCCTGTAACCAATCAATCAAATCCCTACAAACCAACGCTTGAATATCACCTTGGAACGGTTATGCATACCAAGGCTACGAAGCCAGGTGAAAAAACAACACTATATATTCATGAGAAAATACTTGTTGAATGCATTCCAAATTAATTTGTTTACTAGATGTATCACATACAGTGGGAAACAGTATTATTACTTTTCCAACCACATCCTATGTTAGCTAATATTTCCCTTCGGTTGAGGAAGGCGATGGCTCATTTTGCATGCTTAACACATATCCTAACCATATCAATCGCTGTAACTTCACACAACCTCGTCAATTGATTTCCCCTACCACCTACCTAGCTAGCATTCGACCGATGCCTAACCTCAATATTTCTAGCCTTATTATACCACCACTTAACACAGGAGATACAACGCAGACGCCTATGATCAAAGACAGCTAGCCGGCCTTTTCATGTCTGCCACACTTCCAATGGCCATGTCTTACAGCCACAAAGGAGGAAGGAGCGGACCAATGAGCAGTACACACGTCCTTTGGTCGACAGCCAGCCGGATATCACGTTTACGCCAGAGATGGCGTAAGTTGGTGTATTCGCCAAACGAACCCTCTATTTCCGTGCTGAGATTTCATCAGCGACCAACCCGTTGAGGCTGATATGAAGTCACTAGCAATCAGTTTGATAAAAGCAGGAAGGTATGGATTACCTGACATGAGACCACTAATTTGTAAGAATCAATAGTCGGAAACACTTGGTGATATGGCTGATGAATGGAAATTAGAAAGAAGAGAACACGAAGTTCAGCAAAGATGACGATCTTCTCGGCGATTTCATTTTCAAAAGCAGCTGTACAATCGCAATTGCCGTTTCTTTGAAGGTCATACCATATAACTGCGAATCGTATTCGCACACACTGCGTCTACTGTGATTGGTGGTTGAGTTCCTCAAGGTTAGGCTTTGTTAGTGTTTTTTCTCATGAACCTGATTCAGGACGTAAACATCGACGTCAATTGTTGTCTAGCCAATGTCTTCGGCGAGTGTTTGTCCCCACACCCGATCTGCTGCACCCTACTCACTAGCAACTTGCCCTATTCAGGTAGGTAGTAGTTACCTGGGAAGTCGTGACCAGTAGGGTGCAGCAGGTCGGGTGTGAGGACAAATACTCGCCACGGAAGACATTGGATAGCGGTTGCGCTAGAAGTTAGAATTCATGGGCCATTGGATCGGGTCCCAGTGGCTTAATGGTATACGAGCTCGCCTTGTAACCAGAAGGTTCGAACCCCGGTGGGTGCGTACTGATGAAGAGTCCCAAACTAGGACGAAGCAGCTGTTCAGTACTCCCAGCTGGTCTTCCAATGGTTCTCTAACTAATGTCAGCTCATGATGAAATCCTGTAGCCAATCAAATCCCTACAAACCAACACTCGAGTAACCCTCTATATCCGTGCTGAGATTTCATCAGAGATTAATCCGTTGGGGCTGATATAAAGCCACTAGCAATCCGTACGAGAGAATTAGGAAGGCATGGATTACCTGACATGAGACCACTAATTTGTACGAATCAACCAATTGGAAAAACTTGGTGATATGGCTGATGAATGGAAATTAGAAAGAAGAGAACACGAAGTTCAGCAAAGATGATGATCTTTTCGGTGATTTCATTTTCAAAAGCAACTGTACAATCGCATTCAAATACATAGTTTTACTTGGATACATAATTACAACGGCGAATAAAAGGTGACAATTATTTTCAACTAGATATGATTTACGAGGAGAGGCTTAGAAACAAAATTAACACAGGATTAGAACGGATAACAAGTGTGTAAAAAATGAGCATGGAAACAAAATTGAAATAATAATTCTAACTTGAAACGTGCAATGAGGAAACAAGCATAAAATGGACTCACACAAAAAACTTGGAGGATCTAGACTTCGCCGACGATGATATATGTCTGATTTCCCACAAACTGGAAGATATGCAAGCGAAAAGCAACAAGTTGGCAGAAGAAGCATCCAGAGAAGATAGGACTTCAGGTGAACATAGATAAAACAGAGGTGATGAAGATTCCTGGGCAACACCACCAACAGCAACAACAACAACTGACAACAATCAGAATAAATGGGAGGAACCTGAAAGAAACAACCTCTTTTACCTACCTGCGAGGCATCGTTTCAACTACAGGCCGGCGGAACTGACGAGGATATCAAAGCAAGAATCGGAAAAGCAAGACAAGCTTTCACTACTCTCAAGTCTGTGTGGAGGTCAACAGAACTCAGCATCAAAAATAAGATACGGATTTTCAACTGCAATGTGAAGTCAGTGCTACTTGCTAAACGGATCAGAGACTTGGCGCGTCATAAAGAGCATCTCAAACAAACTACAAACCTTCATCGACAACAGCTACCTTCACTCAGTACAAAAGATCAGATGGCCGGCCAGAAAAGATTAGCAACAGGGATCTCTGGCAATGAGCGAACCAACCAGGAGCCGATTGTGAAACAAATCTGCAGGAAGAAATGGAGATGGATTGGCCATACTCTGAGGAAACCATCAAGTGAGTGACATCACTAGCCAAGCCATTGCTCGAGTGGAACCCGGCTGAAAGGGAAGCGGCGGTGAGTTGGTCGTCAGTGCAAGGGTGACTTGGAGGAGGTCATGTGAAGAGGAGATGAAAACGTGTTGGCAGACATGGAGCCAGGTGAAGACTCTAGCAGAGAACCGAACGCAATGGAGACGCATGGCTGAAGCCCTATGTTCCTCTAGGAATTAAAGGATACAATAATAATATAATAATAATAATTCTAACTTGAAATGGAAGTTAGGAGATGTGAATATAGATTACGAGAGCCTTAGAAACAATCAGAAGTGCCATTATTGAACATCTAATCAACACCTCCCACAACATCTCAACTGTAACTTTCAAAGTAATTTACAAAGTCAACAGAAACCTACCAAAAGTAGTATGTTTCCGACTTCTCTGTACTGCAGAAGCCCTCGCAATATGCATCGAGAAGCCGGAGCTGTGTGTTCAGAAGAAATTAGTCCAACCTCTACAAGTACCATGGACCTATTTCGGTATGTTCCCTTAGCTTCTGATTTTTTTTTTGGATCTTTTTTCGTTCGCTATGTGTGTGATTCTTACTTCCTCTTTCTTCATTCGCTTCACCCCATTTTTTCAGTTATAAAAACAGTTATTTCAAGTTTGTTTCCAAGCTTTTCCTGCTCACATTTTAATTGACATAAAAATTAACTATTTTACAATCATATCTTAATCCTGTGCAATTTTTGTGTTTCTAAGGCTCTCGTAATCTATATTCACACCTCCTAACTTCCATTTCAAGTTAGAATTATTATTTCAATTTTGTTTCCATGCTCATTTTTTACACACTTGTTATCCGTTCTAATCCTATGCAATTTTGTTTCTAAGCCTCTCGTAAACCAGATCTAGTTGAAAATAATTGTCACCTTTTATTCGCCGTTGTCATTATGTATCCAAGTAAAACTATGTATTTGAATGCGATTGTACAGTTGCTTTTGAAAATGAAATCGCCAAAAAGATCACCATCTTTGCTGAACTTCGTGTTCTCTTCTTTCTAATGTCCTTATGGGTGTTTGTTTCAGGAATGGAAATTAGTTGGAATGTTTAGAGCTTTAAAGATGATGACCAAGAATGAAGAGACGTCTGCATCACTCGAAAACAATTCAGAACTGTGAGCCTCTAGGATTCCGAGAATCAAAAGCTCGGATAATTCCAACCTTCCTTACAGTGGATGCATAATATTCTTCCCACCCCCCACACTCCGCCAGCCAACAACTTCATCGATTAACTTACCCTATTTACCTAATTGTGGTGGACTGGATTATGCGTCAGACAGTGGTTGAAAACGAGAAGACAGGGATATCCTGGACCGACGTGAAGAACCTAGAAGACCTGGATCACGTTCGTGGATGATTTATGTTTGATGTCACACAAAATCAAAGACTTACAAGCGAAAACCGACAAACTGGTCGAAGAGGCCGGCAGCAAAGACAGGACTCCAGGTGAACATTGAAAAGACGGAGGTTATGAAAATCCAGTGCCAATCACCATCAACTGCAGGGATTCGAAAGAGCTCACTTCATTCACCTATCTAGGGAGCATTGTCTCAACTACAGGAGGAACGGATGTGGATGTCAAATCGAGAATCGGGAAGGCGAGAAACACATTCATCAACCTGAAACCAATCTGGAAATCTTCGTCACTCAGCAACACTCAACTACAAAATTCGGATTTTCAATACAAACCTCAAGTCAGTCAGTTCTTCTATACGAACGGATTAGAAAATTGGCGGGTCACAAAGAATATTTCAAACAGCCTGTTGCACACCTTTATCAACAACCGTCTTCGCTCTATACTGAAGATCAGATGGCCGCTGGAAAGAATCACAAACAAGAAACTATGGGAACAAACAAAACAAGAACCAATCACCCAACAAATATGCAGGAGAAAGTAGAGATGAATCAGACACTCGCTGAGGAGGCCGTTGGGTGACATCGCGCGTCAGGCCATCGCTCGAGTGGAACCCGAAAGGGAAGCGGCGAGTGTGACGTCCAAGGTTGACATGGAGGAGATCGTGTGAAGAAGAGTTGAAACAGTATGGACTAACATGGATGCAGGTGAAAAGTACAGCAGAAGACAGAAACAAGTGGAGGTGTGCAGTCGAAGCCCTATGTTCCACTAGGAACCCAAAGGAACAATAATAATAATAGTTTACCTAACGCCCCCTCACCGAAATGTAATAAATTATAAATTTACGGAGAATGAAAGACACTTAAAGATCTAAAAAAATTATGATTTAGCAATGATTACAACTCACTCATAAATGATCGGTTTACTACCATTTTCGCCATATTTTAATAGGTAGGCTGAATTTAACGGTTCATTTTTCAAAGCATTATAACCCTCGCCTGTACCGATGAACAGACCACCGACACCCGGGACTATACAATGACCACGCCATCCACTGTATTAGATGTCAAAAAAAGATGCGGGGACAAAAATTAAAACATTGAAAGAAACATTCAATACTGTGATTCTTGATGGCTAGATGACAGTCTAAAATAAATTTAATTCAATTTTAGATTTCCCAGTCGATTGATCAGAAAGAACTGCTCGGTCTCAGGTTGACATGTCAACTCACCTAGTGGATGCTTCAACAATGTCTGAGGCTGATTACCTTGAAATAATTTGGTGATTTGAACTAATTCGGCCGCCTGATCTGAGTTAAACTGGGTACATCGCTGCTGCTGACGAGGGGCTTGGCCTCAAATGAGTGAAACGGCCGTCATGTGATGTTTAGATTACATGAATATGGTTGGTTGGCAAGCATTACTGGCTGATATGGGCGGTATACAACTACTACTGATCTCAGCCAATCAATCAGTAGTATATAGATGGTTTTATGCAAATTTGCTTGCTTTCTTGATTACCATTTATGACAGTATCAAGCAGATCACATATCTTGGTAATTTGATATAAATTTGGCTTCCAAACGTAACTGCGATGAACATTTCACCTCCATGAACTGTGTACACTGCAAATTGCTGATCAATTTTGGCCATTGAATCGAGTCCCTATGGCTTAATGGCCTACCAGCTGGCTTGCCTTGTAACCAGAAGGTCGTGGATCCGAACTCCTATGGTGGTGGGTACGTACTGATGAAGAATCCCCAAAAAGGAGGACGAAACAGTTGTGTGTGTGTGTGTGTGTGCAGGACTACTCTCAGCTGGTGTTTCCCTAGTATTTCGCTAACTGATATCCAACTCGTCATCAAACCTATAACCACCAATCAAATTCCCCCGAGCAAACTAATATTTAAATTGTTAATCTGAGTTAGGAATTGTCAGCTATGAAATTTTGTCGGCGGTTCATAGGCCGGTGGTAAGATCTTAGTCGGGATACAATTCAAAGAAAAAATCACTTCACACATAAATCTGTACACTAAATAATCCAAAGTTTTTTTCAGATTGGCTGATGGTGACTTGCAGTAGTGGAATGCACGAGGATACACATTTCGTCCTATTTAAAACTCATCAGCCAGTGGATGTACCGCCATTCCGCAGTGTGTAGTGAGTGGTGGTGTTTCCCTCAATAAGGCTCAAACCCCAAGTAGCCATTCTTTTAAACGTCAAAGCCTTATCCAGTGAACCACTTGGACCACGACAGCCACCTCTTGTGCAACGGGTCTTATTAATTATTTAAATGAATTTTAGATTTTCCCGTCTATTGATTGGACCGAAGTGCTTGGTCTCAGGTGGTCTAGTGGATAACGCTTAGGCGTCTGAAACGATGGCTTCTCGGGGTTTGAACCTCAGTGAGGGAAACACCACTGGGGAATGTAGGCACATCCACTGGCTGACGAGTTTCAAGTGGGACGAAATGCGTATCCTCGTGCATTCCACTACTGCTAGTCACCATCAGCCAATCTGAAAAAAACTTTGGATTATTTAGTGTACAGATTTATTTTTGAAGTGATTTTCTTTTTAGTTGTATCCCGACTAAGATCTTACCATCGGCCTATGAACCGCGTACAAAATTTCAGAGTTGACAGTTCCTAACTCAGATTAACAATTTAAATATTAGTTTGCACGGAGGAATTCGATTGGTGGTTACAGGTTTGATGACGAGTCGGAAATCAGTTAGAGAACTATTGGGGAACCACCAGCCAGGGAGTAGTACTGCACACACACACACACACAACTGTCTCGTCCTCGTTTTTGGGACTCTTCATCAGTAGGTACCCACCACCACAAGAGTTCGGACCCACGACCTTCTGGTTACAAGGCGAGCTAGCTGGTAGGTCATTTAGCCACTGGGACTCGGCCCAATGCCCAAAATTGATTAGCAATTTACATATCTCGACAAGTGAAATTATAGTAGCGAAGAAGAGATCACAGTCTGCTCTGACCCAACTCAAGCCGACCAAACCTCACGGTAAATTTTCTGCTGACCCTACCAAATTTGTCTTCAACTTCCCCTCAGTAACTTTATCTGACTTGCAGCTAGAAACATTGTCTCTGGATCCGAAACTCTACGATACTAATTTCAACGTCGATACAATCCATACTCATGAACAGTTTGAAAATTTAATTAGCCGAAAGAACGATCTGGTTCCAACATCTAACGATGATTATAGGATCTCATCATGAGCTGACATCGGTTAGAGAACCACTGGAAAACCAACTGGGACTACTGGACAGCTGTTTCATCAGCCTAGTTTGGGACTCTTCATCAGTACGTAGCCACCGGGGTTCGAACCCAGGAACTTCTGATATTAGATGGTTGGAGGCAATCGGCCAAAGGAAGCCTTGGACCTAGTGCTAGTTGGCACTCTTCAGCAAGGTGTATCCGCAACCTTGAAGGAACTCATGTCCCTTCTGAGATTCGAACCCGCGTCACCCAGTGCTGCAGTCAGAGACGTTACCACTGAGCTATTCGGGCTCGCGATTGACCTCCTGTAGGACTGTAGTGGATATTTTGATTTGACACTAGTAACTAGTGTCAAATCAAAATATCAGGAACTTCTGTTAACAAGGCGAGCTTGTAGATCTGTAACCGATCAGTCAAATCTCTACAAACCAATACTTGAATATCGATGAGATGCTCACTAGCTACTGGTCCTATTTAGTTACCTGAGAAGTCGAGACAAGTAGGGTTCAGCAGGTCGGGCGTGAGGACAAATACTCGCCGAAGACATTGGCTAATGGTCACGCTATGTGATGTATTGGCAGAAATTGGAATGGGCTAGCCATGGAATCGGGTCCCAGTGGCTTAATGGTCTACGATCTCGTTAGTCTTGTAACCAGAAGGTCCTGGTTTCGAACCCCACTGGGTGGGTGCGTACTGATGAAGAGTCCCAAACTAGGCTGACAAAACAGCTGTCCAGTACTCCCAGCTGGCTTTCCAATGGTTCTCTAACCTATATCAGCTCATGATGAAATCCTGTAACCAGTCAGTTAAATCCCTACAGATCAATACTTGATTATCTAACGATGAGTTACAACGATTCGAATCAACAATCATCGATTGCTGTCACCAGTACCTCAGTACAAAAACAAGAGTCCGTAATCACCTAACAAAGCAGCAACCAAAAGGAATATGTAACAAGAAACTGAGGGAAAGAAAGAAGACAATCAGTAACACCTACTGCTTAAGAAATATACCGACGAAAATGGAGATGGATCGGAAATATTCTAAGGAGACTGTCGGATGATGTTGTACACTAGGCACTCGACTGAAACTCGAATGGATGACGAAGAGTTGGACGTGAATCCGAGGGTGAGATGTAGGAGATCGTGTGATAGGGAGGAGATGGATGAAAGCTCTATAGGCAATCGGGGGGTAAGGGCAGCTAAAGAGGACTGTGAATAGAACAGGACAAAGCAGAGATATGCTGTTGAAGCCCCATAGATTCCACTCGGAACCCAAGGGAACAATAATAATAATAAAGTCTTCACATCACTACACTTGGTTTATTTTCATTCATCGCTGGATGGCGATTAAACATGAACTTCTGTCTGTCTGTCTGTTTTCGACATAGAAATTTGCACATATGTGCGGCAGTTTAAGTCACCACAATCCCCATATGTAGCACACAAAGCAAGAGAAGAAAGTAGGAGAAATGCATATTAGAGACACTAAACAGAAGTGTGAGACAAAGGAATAGTTATAACGAAGAACAAAACAGTTTCATTGGAAATTATAAGACACAAGGAGTGGATGCATCTGCGCCAGCCATTGAGAACGATTTTGAGCCATGTCACCAATTGTTTCCAACCATTGGTTTTTACCGTCCCGAGGACACCAACTAGGAAGTCTACATCTTCCTATGTGGCTAGGTTAACTAACTGTTGTGGTTTTCATCGACTGGTGCCATGTTTTGGTTTGACCGCCGCTAGCTAGCTCTTTTCCAGCCTGACCCTATATCAGCTAACATTGCCCGTCGGCGGGGAAGGCGATGACTAGGCATACGTAACACATGTCCTAACCATCTCAGTCGATGTAATTTCACAACCTCTTCGATTGATTTCCCCTCCCACCTACCTAGCAGTCGACCGGTGCCTAACCTCAATATTGCTCAACTTATTATACCACTTCACACGGGAGATAGAACGCAGGCACCTATGATCAAAGACAGCTAATCTTTTCATGTCTTCCACTCTCAATGGCCAGGTCTCTCACAGCCATGAACTTACTTTTGATTAGATGGCGCAAGTGGAGTTAGTTTAACGTTTTGCTTTTCAATATCTTGAATAAATTCTGTCACAATTGTACACAAGGTTAAAGGATAATCAAGCGAACCAGGCCAATTTAAGGAGAAGAGGTGGTCCTTTTTTCGGCCTTTTTCCACTTTCCATTTTAATATATCGATTGAATTTGATTTACAACCACCAATAGTCACAAGGGTAGTCGGTGAGATAGCTGTAGATGTATGATAACTTCTTGATGAGGCAGTTAAACTTGAATCTGCTTCGCAGTAGACAAATTTCATTCGTCTTGTAGGCAGGTCTTCATCTAACAGGTAACCTATTGAAAACAAAAAAACAAACAGAAAAAGGGATTCATATGAAATGAAAAGGAAAGTGAATGATATTCAATTAAAGAATATAGGAGGGAGGGGGAAATGGCTAGTTTTCCCCTTAGGTGTCTTTTACCTGCGGCCTGCCTGTTCTACTTCAGTTGCCAGTGTGTTGTAGAATTGTCGTTTGCATCTTTTTTAGCACTCTTCTTTACTGTTCTATTCAGTGCAGTGTAATTAGGTCAGTCAGTATATTCGTGTAAAGACTACTCTCATGCATTATTGAGGTATTCTATAGATATAACGAAAACAGGTGAGTGAGGAATAGAGAGGTTTCGCGTGCTCTTCGGGTTGTGAGGGCGATTGTTAGTTCCCGGCTGCCCACACCGTGGAAGTTGGTTGCGTGACCACAGAGCCCAGGGGACAACTGCTTGAGGCCGGTCACACACGGCCTGTTTTTGTTTGTTCTTTTTTATTTGGTGTGTCTCAGTAGCGTATTTATCACTTCTGCCCTGTGACACGGCAGCAGAAAGCGCGGTCGTTGTTAATCCGGGCCCCGACCGATCCGGCATGATATTTTGTGATTTATTTGAGGTCATAGGATTCGATTGGGTAACTGCTTTTAGTCTAACCGCTATCCAAACAACCTTCCTGGCATGGTAGGGCCTGCAGGAACATAAGTTCCAGCCAGTATAGCTTGTTGGGTTATTGCAGTGTTCAAGCCCGACCACCACGTCAAGGTAGCAGCTTTCGGTCGGGAAAATCACTCGAAGAGGCTATGAAGTTACATAGATTGAGATGGTTAGGTCACGTGCTGCGCATGCCTAACCATCGTCTCCCCCTCCCGATGGGCATTACTAGCTGATATAGGTGCAGGTTGGAAAAGAGTAAGTGGTGCCATGCCAAACAATAACATGGCATCAATCAATCCATGAAATCTTTGACAGTTAAACTGAGTCAGATAGGGAGGGAGATGCAGACTTCCGGGTTGGGGCCCGCCCTCGGGACTCTAAGAGTCAATGGCTGGAGACAATAGGTGACATGGCTCAAAATCGTTGTCAATGGCTTACGCAGATGTATTCAGTCTCTTTAACCTTCATATTCCTTTCTACCATTACTCATTCTGTTTCACTCTTATACTTGTCAAAACTCTATTGATTCTCTTCTCTCATTTTCCTGTCTACCTTTGTGTGCTATTCGGAACGTGGCAACTCGAACTGCTGCACCTCGGTGCCAAGTTCTATGTTGAATCCAGCAGCAGCAGCAGCATAACGAAAACTAACTCTCTATAAAACTAATCTAACTGCCTCTAGTGACTGGCTACAAGACGAAGTTGACTCGAGTTCTAAGTGTCAGACGTCGTGACCAATTAATGGGGTCCACCCTGTCGACAGTGAGAACAAATATTCAGCACGGATGACTCTGGCTGGTGCCAGTCCCGATAAGTCACGAATTGGTAGAACCTGGCCATTCAGTTGGGTTCCGGTAGTTCAATAATCTACGAGCTTGTCCTGTAACCGGAAGGTCCTGGCTTCCATCCATGGTGGGTAGGTGCGTGCTTCTGATGAGCTCCAAACCAAGGTGAAACAGCTATCCAGTACTAGTGTAACAACAGAAGGCAAGGGCCAGGCAACAGATCGTTTATTAAGGAAATCAACACATGTTTATAGATTTTCATGTACATTATTATAGATTATTGTTAGCAAACAAACACAGTCTTCTGATTGGTGGTTTTACTTTGAACGTTAATCTTTCATCTCTTTGTGGCCGTTTATTGAAGTTCAGATTATCTATCTGTAAGTTGTATCCGCCTACGCAAAGTCTGCTGTGGTTCGTTGTTGAATCAGTCTTTGTTCATATTTTTCTCAACCACCAATACACTGCCGTAAACATTGACGTAAATTACTGTCTACCAATTTGGATAGCAGCCAGCTCTCACCACATAACTAGTCTTTACACGAATATATCAATCAATATTGGCAGCCTTAGAAACAATTAAAACAGAACTAACTGCAGATCTTGAACTTACTCATAGGATAAAGCTGTCCATTGGGGAAATTATTTTAGGGGTTCAGCTATGCCTCACATCTACTATCTTTAGATTCCAAGGCAAAATATATAGGCAAACTGAAGGTGTAGCAATGGGATGGATCACCAATATCCCCTATCGTAGCAAATATATTTATGGACAACCAGTAGGGAAAATATTGCTCTTAATACATTTAATCCTACTCCAAAAATATGGTGGAGATATGTGGGTGACACTTTCACAGTATTAAAAACAGAACATATGTCTCTAGCTTCTTGACACATGCATTAACTCACTAGTAGAGGGAATAAAATTCACATTTGAATCAGAATATGAACAAGGAGAATTATCTATGGTGTTAGATTGTAAAATAAAACGAATTGAAGAAGGTAAACTGCACACGCATTATAACAGATATTTAGACTTTAATTCATCTCATCCGTGATCTAAACTCCACATGACGGCTGTTTCACTCCTTTAGGGTCGAGTTCCCCATCATCGGTGTACTTGGCCAGTTTAAATCAGCTCAGGTGACCGAATCAGTTCAAACAACAACCGATTTCCAGTTGAACTGGTCATGGCCATGAACCGAGTATACCGCTAATGAGGAGTTCGTCCTCAAAGGAGCGAGACGACCATGCTGTGGTGCTTAGATCACCTCGACCTGGCTAGTTAGCAGACACTACTGGTTGATATGAGTGATGCGGTATACACCTACTACTTATATCAACCAATCAGTAGTACATAGTTTTATTCAACCTTAAAAGTCTCAGTAGTGCTTATGGTGTTGTTACTGGGTGGAGTTGTTAGTCTGACGCCTAACCTTCCATTTCTCCTAGGCTCACTACAGACTAGGTGAGGTTTAGGAGTGTACCGACCGGGAATCGAACCTCGAATCTCGTGAGGATTGGCTGACGAACATTTTCCCCCTGAACCACCGATGCACTCCCCTAATATCATACTGTAACGGAATGTTTACTTGGGGATTTAATATCTCTATATTGGGGTAATTCCAATCACCATCAACGGGAGAGATTTAATAGAGGTTACCTCCTTCACTTATCTAGGAAGCATCGTATCAATCACAGACCGGCGGAACGGATGAAATTGTCGAAGTCAGAATCGGAAAGGCAAGACGCGCATTCATCAACCTAAAACCAATTTGGAAATGTTCCGCACTCAGCACACACAACAAGATTCGCATTTTCAACACAAATATCAAGACGGTTCTTCTATAAGGGTCAGAAACTTGGCGTGTAAAGAAAAGGATTTCCAACAGTCTGTCACAGACTTCCCATCAACAACTGCCTTCGTTGGCTCTAAACTGAAAATCAAATGGCCAGAAAGAATTAGCAACATAACGACTGAAACGTTCACCCTCACCCACCCGAAAAGTATGGTGGAGGTATGTAGATGACACATTCACTGTACTTAGAACACAGGATATAGATAGATTTTTCGAACACATTAACTCAAAGGTGGAGGCAATTCAATTCACTTATGAATTGGAAAGTCAGGAAGGGGAGCTTCCAATGTTAGATTGCAGTGTAAAAAGGAAAGAAGATGGAAAGTTAAACACACTAGTGTTTACAGGAAACCCACACATTCAAACAGATATTTGGACTTCCGATCATCCCATCCTATGTCAGTAAAAATAGGATTGGTGAAATGTTTAAGTGACAGAGCACAAAAACTAAGGAAAATCTAAGACAGGAAGTGAAACATATAAGAGAAGCCTTGAAACTTAATAATTACCCTGATAAATTAGTCAGGAAATATGTAGGGAAATGTAAAAATAAAATAAATAATGATAGTAGTGATAGTGATAATAATAATAATAGTAATATTAATGATGACATGCATGTCAAACATGTGCAGGATAATGACAACACCAACAATAAGGAATCTAAATCATCAGTAGTAATTCCATACAAGGAAGGAACCTCGGAAACCACCTTACGCAGAATTCTTAACAAGGCAGGAATAAAAGTGGCATTCAAACCCACAAACTCAATTAGAAACAAGCTTTGTCGGTTAAAGGATCAGTCCTGTGGAGCCTTTAAAACAAAACAATTTAGTTTATCTAATACCCTGCCTGCAATGATTGTCAGGTCAAATATATAGGTCAAAGTAGTAGAACAGGGGCAGTCAGACTGGCCGAGCATAAAATCCTAGCAAAATCTAGATTGGTTGACCCGAATAAGATAAGAAATCTAGAGAATATTTCAGCTATACCACTCACTACATGCAAATACACACTACCATACAATAAGATGGGATGGGATAGGATGACAGTTTTAAAATCTAATGTAACAGCATGGTGGAGGGAGAGATTGACAACAGAAGCTTTGTTTATCGAACCAACTGCAGATACATGTAACAGGAATGATTCAACACCTGTTCCATATACATGGAAAACTCTACTACCCCTACGACAAATAGGAGAGAACAAAGAAAACTATAAAAGTCAAGTTTCGATGTCGTGTGATTGTAATTGATAGCATGATTATGAACAATAAATTGTGTTCGAAACGTCATCCAGTAAATAATACTGTTTCACAAACTGTGTGATACATCTAATAAACAAACTAATATGAAAGGATTAGCAACAATAAACTATAGGGACAAATCAACCAAGAACCGATCACTCAACGAATATGTAGGAGGAAATGGAGACGGATCGCGCAAACACCACTGAGGAGACCGTCAAATGACATCACGCGCAATACAGGCCACCGCTAGAGTGGAATCCAAATAGGAAGCGACGAGTGGGTCGTCAGTATGAGGTTGACATGGAGGAGAACGTGAGAGAAAGAGATGAGAGATTATGGGCGACCGTGGACCCAGCTGAAGAGGACGGCAGAGAATAGAACAAAGTGGAGATGTGCAGTTAAAGCCTTATGTTTCACTCGGAACCCAAGGGAACAATAATAATAGTAATAATATAGGGCAATTATGTACACTTTATAAGAAAACCATCATTTGCACAAATCGTCCGTGTTATGCTTGCTACTTCTTCCCTTCCTTCATATTGTATTTCGTTGTCTTCATTTTGTGTCTCCCATGTTTTGCCGCAACACACTGGTTACTGATTTCCTCTCTCCCTCTTTGAAGTCAAATCTATCCTGTGCCAATGAACATCTCTTTGCATATACTACTGATAAATCTTCTCAGTAGTACAAGCCACAATACTTCTAAGCATTAGGATAGTAAGAGTAAAAGTAAAACAGTATATCCACTTACCATAAAGTAAATAAATATTACCAGCTTTCCTTTGTATTCTTAATGAACCTTCTCGGCCAATAATAATTGCTGAAAATTCATTTTTATCCACTGATGAACGGATCACTTGTGCTGAGTGGGCGGATAAACCAGCCCCTTGAGGAAATCCAGTCAGTAAAGGTTCATTCAGAGCAGGTGGTAACCAACTGTTCGACAGTGTGTCAAATGTATGTACACCAGGGATTCGGATACGTCCATTCCATCCACCTATTTTTTATTAAACAATATTGAATAAAACGAGATGAGATATAAATATGAAACTTGGGCACTGTGGTAGAGTGTAACTCCATAATGGATAAGATTTTATTTTGATAAATCACACAGTGTTGTACAGTAATATTAACTGATGACCACGTTTCGAGCACAAACTATTGCTCATAATCATATCAAGTTACTCACACAACTTCTTTCCTTCATTTATATACATGTGTGTAATTGACTAGATATTTGAATAAAAATTAATATGAGATAATGTACATTCAGAAATGATAGTACGAGTGTTATTAATCCACTACAATTAGATGGGAAATAAGACGACTGTTTTTATTGTCAAAATAAGTAACTCGTTAGAATGTTGTGATGTACGTGAATTGAAATAGAATTTTGAGATTATTTATTATCCTCCTCTGATTTGACCGGCGGTAATAATATCTTCCATATTTCTGGTATTTGCATTGAGTCATTTCTGTTGCATGTGTCAAGATGAGAATGGATACTTGTTATTTAGGATTGATTTAGAGTAATTATGACTTACTTAAGGTAGTCAAACGCTCAGTCATCTGTTTCATACGTCCCTCCATTTGAAGCTCACCTGTTGCCAATTATGGTCTCGTCGGTCGTCCAAACCAGGGATGCAGTCGGTCGGTTTTCGACATAGAACTTTGCACATATGTGCGGCAGTTCAAGTCGCCACACTCCCTCCTTGTAGCACACAAAGCAAGAGAAGAAATTAGGAGAAATGCATATTAGAGACAGTAAACTGAGGTGTGAGACAAAGGAATAGTAATAACGAAGAACAATATAGTTTCATTGGAAATCATGAGTCACAAGGAGTGGATGCATCTGCGTTAGCCATTGAGAACTATTTTGAGCCATATCACCAATTGTTTCCAACCATTGGTTTTTACCGTCCCAAGGACCCCAACCAGGATGTCTACACCTTCCTACGTGGCTTACACTAACTGTTGTAGATTTCATTGACTGGTGGTATGTTTTCGTTTGACCGCCGCTAGCTCTTTTCCAGCCGGGCCCTATATCAGCTAACATTGCCCATTGTCGAGGAAGGCGATGACTAGGCATACGTAACACATGTCCTAACCATCTCAGTCGATGTAATTTCACAGTCTCATCGACTGATTTGCCCGCCTGTATGCAGTGACCCTCTGTGACCATTGTTTACGTTTTTAATAATGGCATCCCTATGTATATAAGCCAAATGCCTTGGTTTAACTACCTTGCCATCCAGTGCTTTGAGTATCAACGTGAAAAAACTCACCTGGGCATGAGTAGTGACGGAAATCAAGAGATGAGTAACGTGAGTCAGACGCCTCCACATGGTGATCGCCGGCGAGGGCTATCAGGAATCTGGCCTCAAGCTAAGATCTGTCTCAAGCATGAACAACATTCGCGCCTAGCTACTCAGCTTGAACGAATGAGCAGAAAAATCCTGTTAACCTTTATGTGAGTTACGGGGCCTCAGGGGACTGGGATCGGTTAACTTGTGACTCACGGTTAACGGATGGCAATGGATGGCTTGGTAACCTTATCATGGATAGGTGGAAGGCCATTCGGCATGACGACCAATTAGAGGCGGTGTTTCATGCAGTGGTAAGTGGATTAGCGGTTAGGATTTCGTTTTCATGATGCAGGATGGGCTGTTTCCAGTGCTCAAGAGTCTCCGGTTAGATATTCTCGATCTATGTTTGCCGAAGGGGGATGCTCATAGATTGTTTCAGGACGTGAGAAGCAACATCTTGGTCAGTTGTTCTAAGACTGTATCAGTCACTGGAGCACCTTACATACTAACACACACTAAAAAGAAATAGAATATAAATAGATGCACAATCTACCCCGTATCTGGTTTTGTTGGAATTGGCAGTAAACCTTCAGGAGCCGCAGTTAAACACATAAAGAGATAAGAATTGGTACGTGTTAATATTTAGAATTTATTTGGATATCAGATCAGTTACGCAATTCCTTTGGGGCTTTGTAATGATTCAAGGTCGAAATGCTGCTTTTTGTTTCCGACTTGACCTACAGAATTGATGCATAGCGCATCTACAAATTCAGTCTTTAACGAACTTTGGTCATCTATCGAGGTAGGAACTATAGGACTAGATTGATCATACAAAATTTTAAAACTGGGAATCAGTTGCTAAGTTTGAGATAATTTTATTTAATAGGATAGAAAAATTAAAACCGAGTGACGACAGTGCCTCCTTCTCATGTCCTGAAAGTTCAACTGACAACAAATTTGTCACATACTTAACAGGACTTAACGGAGATAACTTTAATTGATAGTCTTACTTAGAAAACAATGGTTATCCAGATAAATTCATTGAGAAAAATATGAATTCAACACCTAGGAGAGTCAGTATAGCAACAGTTCCGAAACAACCAATGTTCATAACACTGCAGTTCCTCGGTGACAACATCAGCGAAATAATAACACAGCGAACACCTGAAGAATGCAGTTAAAAGAGCTTATTATGCAGCAGAGGTACGTTGTCCCTTCACAACCACCCCTATTCTACCTTCGAGAAATAAGGATAAACTACCTAAATTTGCCTCCTCCTGTATGTATATCTACCAGTTTGACTGCAGTTACAGAGCCAGCTACATCGGGCGTACAATTAGGCAGGTTCATCATCGTATTTCCGAAGATCATCCAACATGGTTAAGCGAAGGACAAACAAGATCTATTCGTAGTTCTATTTTAGCACACCTTGTGGACAGCATTTAAAATTATCTGTCGCATTCCTACTAATCTTAATTTTGCTGTACGAGTTCGTCTTCTTCAGATAGCAGAAGCAATAGGAATCCACCTGAAGAAGACAAACCTTTGTGTTCAGAAGAAATTTGTACAGCCACTTTCCTTACTTTGGCCATCGTTACATGAATGTATAAACCGGACTACGTCGCCCACCTCCCCCTAAACATTTAAAAATTGTAAAAATTATAATTGTCCAAATTATTTTATTTTTATTTATTTTAACCACTTCATCTTTAATTACGTGTTATCCTTGTAAAATTAATTTATTCTATCCTTTCAAATGTGTATTGATTTTCTTCGTTAATTATCACCTCCCGCTTTGACATTTTGACACTGACTAATTATTGTTAACAAACATATCAGTGCCACTTGATTGGTAAACTGTTGTGTATTGTAATAAAAATGCTATACGCGTATATTAGATTAGAGCTAGGGTGAGATGATCTAATTGAAAAGTAAATATTTCTTCCCGCTCAATCTTTCTGTTTTCTAAATGTCTAAATGGGGATTTTTTCTATAATTGATAGTCATTGGTACAAGAACCAAGTAATTTCAATCTGGTATCCTTTTTCGTTTTTAATTAACTCCAGAGCTAAAAAAATTAATTAATTTGATTTTTGGCAAATTATAGAAACATCAGACAATAATTATATTTGAAGATAATAATAAGTAGAGTTCAATTAATCCACATAACTTCTCATCGGAATTGTCAATGTGACATTTCGGAAGATGAATCCGATTTGAAAATTAATTTGGGTGCAGTTTAGAAGATCGAAGAGATTTGTAAAATTCATGAATAATCCCCATCCAGACATTAATGAAAACAAGACACGTAGTTCAGCGAAGAGTCTCTTTTCGGCGGGGGCGGCGAATTCATTCTCTTCTGCAGCTGTACAATCCCAATTATACATATACTTATTTTGCTTTCTATGTGTGCGTGTGTGTACATTAGGTTTGTCCGACAAGATATTTCAAAAATGTGATGAGTAAGCGAATTGCAGCTAGCGGGAGGGGGGGTGAAGATTGGTAAGAAGGTAGTGCTAATGTGTTGTCAAAGAAACCATTTAGTTACAGGATTTCATCATGAGCTGACATCGGTTAAAGAACCACTGGAAAACCAGCTGAGAGCACTGTACAGCTGTTTCGTCCTAGTCTGGGACTCTTCGGCAGCTACGTCGTGAATTGGAAGAAGTTAGAATTCATAGGCCATTGGATCGGGTCCTAGTGGCTGATGAATGGTCTACGAGCTCCCTCGCCTTGTAATCAGAAGATCCTGGGCTCGAACCCCTGTGGTGGGTGCCTACGACTGAAAAACCCCAAACTAAGCTGACGAAACAGCCGTCCAGTACTCCCAGCTGGTTTTCCAATGGTTCTCTAACCGATGTCAGCTCATAATGAAATCCTGTAACAAATCAATCAAATCCCTACAAACCAATACTTGAAAAAACCATTTATTGACACATAAAAGAAGTTGAATAAGCGTAATACAGTTACGTAATAAGGCGAATAGTTTAATGAGTGAGTTGTGATTAGGATGCACATAGAAACAAAAGAAAATATTGAATCATGTAAGAGTTCTAAAAATTACAAATGTTATAAGGAGTTAGAAAAAACAAGCTCAGAAACAACAAGTCAGTAGAAGTCAACACAGTTGTTACCATGATAGTAGAAATGGTTGGGTGATTTTCTTTTGTATACATAACTCTGGCTTTTCCAAGTGAATGCCTAAGGCTTCAGAAATGCACAAAGGAGACGAAAGAGCTCATCTTTGATAGATTATTATCCACTCTGCAGACTGCTTTAAAGAAGGTATTTGTTGAGATGGAATGATCAGTGTTGACAAGGTGCTTGATTATCGCACACCTTATAGAACCATTACTGTGTGGTAGTGTGATACAGACAATGGGTCCCAATGGCATATTATTCTCACAATAAGAATCATTGTATTTGTTGCTGATAACGTCTGAAAACTATTCTCACAGTTCAGTAGTGTATTAGCAACAGAATATTATATTTCTGATTGGACACTAATCAGTAACTAGTGTAATGTGTCTAGTCCTATTGTCGGTGCAGACTGAATTCTATTAATCGAGCTTGCAATGTGGCCATCATGCTAGGTGGCTCACCACCACGGTGCACTGTGAATTGTTGGTATCAGGTGGTTGAAGGCAATCTATGTCTGTCTGTCTGGATTCAACATAGAACTTGGCACCGAAGTGCAGCAGTTCGAGTTGCCACGTTCCAAATACCACACAAAGGTAGATAGGAAAATGAGTGAAGAGAATCAATAGAGTTTTGACAAGTATAAGAGTGAAACAGAATGAGTAATGGTAGAAAGGAATATGAAAGACTACCCAAGAGACTGAATACATCTACGTAAGCCATTGACAACGATTTTGAGCCATGTCACCTATTGTCTCCAGCCATTGACTCTTAGAGTCCCGAGGGCGGGCCCCAACCCGGAAGTCTGCATCTCCCTCCCTACCTGACTCAGTTTAACTGTCAGGGATTTCATGGATTGATTGATGAGGCCATGTTTTTGTTTGGCCACCACTTACTCTTTTCCGACCTGCACCTATATCAGCTAATAATGCCCGTCCGTCGGGGGAGGCGATGGTAAGGCATGCGCAGCACATGACCTAGCCATCTCAATCTATGTAACTTCATAGCCTCTTCGATTGATTTTCCCTCTTTGCCCAACACTCTAAGCCTAATGTCAACATTACTCACCTTATTATACCACCTCCTAATGTGAGAAAGAGATCGTAGACATCTATGATCGAAAACAGTCAACCTTGTTGGAGGCAATCGGCAGGAAGTCTTGCCTAGACCTAGGTTTCGTGCTAGTTGACACTCATCAGTAAGGCGTATCTGCAATCTCGAAGGAACTCATGTCCCTTCTGAGATTCGAACCCGCGTCACCCATGGTGGCCACATTGCAAACATGACTGATAGAATTCAGTCTGCACCAAACGAAGGACTAAACAAATTACACTAGTTACTGACTAGTGTGCAATCAAAAAATATCCAATACAGTCCTACAGGAGGTCAGTCGCTAGCCTGAATAGCTCAATGGTAACGTCTCTGACTGCAGCACTGGGTGACATGATTTAGAATCTCAGAAGGGACATAAGTTCCTTCTAGGTTGCAGATACGTCTTACTGACCAGTGAGTGCCAACTAGCACGAAACCTAGATCTAGGCAAGGCTTCGTGCCGATTGCCTCCAACCACCAAATGCCGACAGAATACTATGTATATTTGAACATTCCATTTCATGTCGTTTAATGTAAACCAAAATTACACACTCAATAATTGGTTAAACAATATAAACTGTATAGATACAAATAGCGGTTTGATCACTTGAAAAAAGCATACCTTGACTTCCATGTCTTGCCTTCTGCTGTTACCCTTCTGCATTTCTGCAACCATGCTACACAGTGTTCTTGAATCCTTTTGGACATGACACGAGTCAAACGACCAGTGTACCTGGTTGGCTCCACAACAACAGGTGAAGTGACAGATATGCACATAGAAGTGGAGAGATGCGAGATTTTGTCCTGCAGATCAATGAATGACTGGAGAACACTACTCTTAGCGTTGCTGCAAAGAATGTAATTTTTAAAACTCTTAAATAATCCCACATTTTTTTTTTGTTTCTATGTGCATCCTAATCACAACTCACTCATTGATTTATTCATCTTATTACGTAACTGTATTACGCTTATTCAACTTCTTTTATAAGTCGAAAAGTGGTTTTTTTCAAGTATTGGTTTGTAGGAATTTGATTGATTGGTTACAGGATTTCACATCATGAGCTGACACCGGCTAGAGAACCATTGGAAAACCAGCCGCAGGGAGTACTGGACGTCTGTTTCGTCCTAGTTTGGGGCTCTTCAGTGGTACGCACTCACCACCTGGGTTCGAAACCAGGACCTTCTAGTTACAAGGCGAGTGAGCTCGTAGACCATTCATCAGCCACTGGGACCTGATCCAATGGCCCATGAGTTCTAACTTCCTCCAATTCACGATATAGCTGCTGAAGAGTCCCAGACTAGGACAAAACAGCTATCCGGTACTTCCAGCTGGTTTTCCAATGGTTTTCTAACTGATGTCAGCTCATGATGAAATCCTGTAACCAAATGGTTTTTTTGAACAATGCATCAGCACTACCCTCTTACCAATCTTCACCCCCAACCCTCCTTGTTACAATTCGATTACTCATCACATTTTTGAAATGTCTTGTCGGACAGACCTAATGTCCTACAAAACAAAATAAGTATATGTAATTGGGATTGTACAGATGGAGAAGACAATGAATTCGCCACCGCCGAAAAGAGACTCTTCGCTGAACTGCATGTTTTGATATGTAAAATGCCTTTAGGAATATGTAACTTGAAAGACAAGATTTATGAAAGACTCCACTTTCATTTTTCAGATGATACTTTACCCTTAAAGTTAAGAAGCTCATTTAACCATATCATAATGCTTGGAGGTAGTCTTCTTTTTGAAAATTTAAAACAATTAGTCCCTTTTATAAGTTTGGACGGTGCTGTAAGACTGTATTCGATATTTTGATTGGATTAAAGGAGAATTGCCATGCGTTGGTTTGCAAGGATTTGATTGATTGCTTACAGGATGTCATCATGAGCTGACATCGGTTAGAGAATCATTGGAAAGCAACAGGAAGTACTAGGCAGCTGTTTCGTCCACGTTTTGAACTCTTCATCAGTACGCGCCCACCGCAGGGGTTCAGGCATAGGACATGCAGATTACAAGGCAAGCTCCTTAGGCCATTAAGGACAAAAAAGCCATCTTGTACTCCCAGACCCTCCAGTGCTTCTCTAATTGACGTCAGTTCGTGATCATGTAAGCACCAATCAAATCCCTGCAAATTAAAATAAGACAGTTAGTCCGACGTTCAGTAGAGACCGGCCCTATACAGGAATTACCTGGAGTTCTAGCAAGAAGTCATAGCAAGCGAGGTTCACCAAGTCAAGCAAAAGGACAATTAAATCACCCATGACATTAGCTGGTGGTTGCGCAATATAAACATAGCGAATAAGCAGAAGTTGGAATTCATGTGATGGCAGAAACTAAATTAACTCACAAACAGTCCTGTTTAACAATAACTATAATACGTCATTAAAAACCAAAAATTATAATCAACTGAGGAGTTCATTTCGCTTACCAATAAATATTAAATACCGATCCTTGAAAGTTAAACATGTGTGTTGACTAAGCTGAGGTGAATCTGCCGTGGTAATGTCTAACCAACTGCCAACTTCAGGATATAACTGGATTTTATAAAGACAACTGCTTGGTTTTTTACACAGTGCATTATTCGAAGTTACACCACCGTGAATGTATAGAACATCTTGACAAATAGCGCCTAAAATTCTTCAACATCAGTACGGAGAGAGAAAAAAACACATTTAGTACCAGCATGATTTTGTAGGGTAGGACCATCAGTCGGGGTGTTTACTTCAACCCATTGTAGACAGCATTGATCAGGCATTTGTTGAATAATTCGATTCTCCGATGAAATTTATCCAGTTATAATAATATATGGCAAAACACCAGCTTTCATATATTCAGATTCGGATTCGGAATTTTCGATCGAGAATAGGTCTGAAGCCTATGTTAATCCTTTTATTAGTAAATTTCTGGGCTTGTCCAAACCCTTCTTCAATGATTCAACTGAAGGCGTACTGATACCAATTCTTATGGGTTTCGGTTCCAGGAGTTGATGACAATGAATACTCCACAGCGATAGAGTTCCTTCTTAGCTTCCGAACTCTCCTGTTATGTCCTCTAAGGTGTTCCGATCACCTGGTAGGAATGGAAAGAGAATAGGTAAGGTTTGTGGTCATCATTTAATGTAATGAAATCTCTCTGCCTACGGTACAACAAGAAGAATAGATTTAAACTGTCTAGTCTTTTCTCGTATGATAAATTAGTCATACCAAGAATCATACTTGTAGCCCTCCTTTGAACGCTTTCTAGAATATGTGAGTCCTTTACAAGACAAAGACTGGCTGTCTGGATACAACTTTTTAGTCTTGACCTCACCAGAGTTGCATATAAAGAAGTGCAAATATCTCTGGTAATTCTAGCAGAAGGTTCTGAGAATTGTCCATAAAGATCTGAAACTACGCGCTGCCACTATGCAAACATTTGCTGCAGTTTCTAAATCGTGACTTACTATAACACTTGCGCGTCCAATGCGCATGGTTGCACATTTCCCTACATTGATTGGAGGCATCCATTCTTTGGACCGGTGACTAACAATTTGCTGAGGTCTTCTTGCTACGCGAGATTATCATTGTCGCCCTTTAGCTCCCTCCGATTTTTTTAGATTATCTGCGTATATACAAGTAGCAGTTTGAGTTTGTCAATAGTCCACAGGTAGAAAATTCAAACTAAATATGGTGATGTTTGAGAAGTACGTTGTGCAGCTTCTATCAAATCCTAACATGTAAGATTGCTTTATTTAGATATGTCTTTCAGCCGTCATTATTAGCAAGTTCGTTTCTGCTACAATGACTGAGGACGAATTAAGGAAGACTTTGAATGCCAGCACTAAGGCCTACTTTCACGACGTTAGTGATTGCGTAGCATAAAGGGGAAGCCGATGAAGAGTAAGTAAACATTTTTCGGTTACTTTAAGTTACTATACTACAGACAGTTCCATTGTATATATTTCACTTAACGAAATTCTGATTTAATTTTTACAGGTTGCTGTAGACAATAAGAAGAGTGACCAGAGGAGCTCTGACGTAAGTGACAATTTAATGAAATGAATGCTGTAAAAATGTATAATGCAACTGCCAGTGGCGTGTAATTGTAAACGATATGATAATTAGCGCTGTAAATTATATGAACCACATGTTTATGTAGACAGTTGGTTAAATACTTAATGGTTTTTCTATAATCACTCAATTGTTATTATATTTCAATTTCCACTTTTATTATTATTACCTTAGCTGCTATCATTATAAATATTATTTCCATTTTATATGCTGCATGTTTTTTATTTTTTTTTATATTAACCCTGTTGTAAATGTAGAAAAATTTTCTGTGTGATTAATTTTATTCATAATTTGAGGAAATTAGATGCAATATTGTGATTAATGCTGAAAATTCCATTCTGTATCACAAGTACTGTTTTTGGAATAAAGTAAATCATTATTATTATTATTATATGGGTAGGGGAAATTTCCACGTTTAAAAAATAGACCTTAAGTGTGACCAATTATTTATAAACAAGTAATTTAATTTCTACCCAACAACTAAGAAACTTTTGGCATCTAAATTACTCCGTTTATTATGTAATTATTATTATTTCACAGCTCCGTACAAGTAACTGTGACCGTTGATTACTGTCTTGCTCACTAATAATTTGCTTCCTTTACAAGATACTTAGATGGATCTGCTTGATGATGGCAGTCAGGCTTGATGCGGAATTCACACATCATGTTAAATGACAATTATTTTACTTGTTTGAATTATTTGCAGTTCTAAGTGTGTATAAATCTGAAATATTTGCAGAAGGGTTGTTAAATGTTTTCCTCTTCCATTAATATATATAATATAATATATATCTTTTTTATTACGAAATTTATTTTAATGGCGATCGCCCAGAGTTTTCTATCAGCAACCACCTTTGTTTAAGAGGACATGCAGCAGCAGTCGAAAGGTTACTTCCATGGAAGTAACCTTTCCGTCTTTCTCTTGCAAGAGAAAGAAGAGAAGAAAACGGGCACGGCGCGTAGCTATTTCCTCTTTTTCTCTATGGAACATCCTACTTTTATCCCCTTTTCTTCCGATTGGACTCAACGTGCAGTAAAACCTAGTAGAAATAAACTACATATTTCCCAAGATAAACCCGACTAGTACAAGAATATTAGACAGCTTACGAATGCATTATGCACATTACATCCGTTAGTTTAGTTGTACTCCTCTTCTGCGATTGACTGCCACTTACCACGTAACAATACATTCAAATTACGCTCGCTTCTGTCGTCATGTAAACGCATTTACGAGAAATTTGTTCAGTAACCAAAATCGTTTTTACGAGCTATTGTAAACCAATTTGATTTCTTTGTGCTCGCTCCTGAATTGTGAGGCAAAGGTTCCTGGTCCTCGGTAAACTTCTGCGTATTTCGTCCCGCCACTCGACTGTCGTAGCTTTGGTTGAATACAAAAGTAGTGGTGTCGGGATTAATTATATGTTGTTTGTAGTATGCGGTGTCTTAAGACTTTGTTGCCACCATAAATGGAGTTGATCGTTTCCCCGATTTGTCTTCTGGTGTTATCGTTTAAGGAATCTTCGCCCTCCTGTGAGCTATCTTTCATGGACTGCCATGACGGAGCCCACAATACTTGTTGGCAGAACACCTTTGTTCGAGTGTTTCTGGTCATTTGTTATCTTATAGGCGGTAATCAAGTCCCCTCTAAGCCGGCGGTACCTAAGTGTGAAGCGACCTAATTTCTTTAGCCGTTCATCATACGGTTTATTTCGGAGACCCACCACTCCTCTTGTCGCCCGTCTTTTGGCTCTTTGTGTGTCTTGTAAGCAGTAGAGGTGTAATCATATTGTGCGCTTCAACGTGGGGTCTGAAGTATGTTTTGTGCAACTTTAGAAAGAGCTCAGGAGTGAGTGCATACAAATGTCTATGTATAAGGTGTATGATCGCACATGCCCTCGCTACATCCCCCGTGTAATTCACGTTTGTGCCCATTTTTCCCGTTAGAACTAGACATAAGTCACGCTCTACCACTGTGCAGCACAAACTCTCGTTCCACAGGGTGTAACCTGATTTACACAGTCTAAAGGTGCATAATTTCACTATTTTGAACTTTTTCAAGTTGAAAGTCATACCATTGGCCACCGCCCAGCCTTCCAGCAGCTTTAGGTCCGCTTGCAGCCTATCTGAGTCTTCCGAACACTTTATTGCTTTCCGTATCTTTAAGTCGTCTGCGTAAAGAGTCGGGCAGCTCAGATGGCATGTGAGGTCACTGATAAAAATCAGAAACGTCAGTGGCCCCAGGATAGAACCCTGCGACACTCCTGATGACAGGCCGTACCAAGATGATCGGACCCGATTGATCTTAGTGCAGAATTCCCTTTCAGCCAGAAAGTCCCTCAACCATGACATAAACGGCTCATCTATACCTGCCTGACTTATTTTACGTAGGAGAAGGTCACGGTGAACTGTTTCAAATGCCTTTTCGAAGTCTAGGAAGACCACATGGATTGGAATATCCAAGTCCCACCATGATGTTCAATCGTTCCAAGCTGATGGTAGGTTTGTTACACAGGATCTACCTTTCCCGAAACCATGTTGCGCTTCACAGAGTCTATTAGTCCTATCGAGGTGCTCTCTGATGTGATCATCAATAATACTTTCTGTTGCTTTTGTTGCCACTGGGATTAGTGCTACTGGTGTATAACTGGTGGCATTTTGCCCATGCCCACCCTTGAAAATGGGAGGAAGGGTGGCTCTTCTCCATTCCCTTGGCAGTTTCCCCGAATCCATCGAATGTTGAAACAAGTCGCATAAGGACCTACAGAGAGCTTCGGCTCACAGTTTTAGAACAAATGGCCCAATCTCGTCACAACCTTGGGATTTTCCAGATGTGAGTTTCTGTAACTTACCTAATACTTCCCTAGTACTACTATTATTCAGAGAGTAGCCACCAGGTTCGCTTCCGGTGAAGTAGTAAAGCCACCATTTCGGTCCAAACCAGTAATAACTACACTGCTGTTTAACATTTTGGCAAAGGCCGAACTGAATATTCCAGCTGTCTCCAGACTAACGAGGTATCGACCGTTTGAACCTACTAAGGCGCATGCTCCCTGGTTGGTTTTCTCTCCGACACGAATCAGTACTCGCTTTTGGCAAGGATAGCTTGAAATGATATCCTGCCACTCCTGACTCTCACGTTGCACCAGTTCCTGATTTCCAGGTAGGCATCGTGGTCGGTCTGACTCTTGCATACTCACCATGTAGAACTAGCCTTCCGCTTTGTTTGCAGAATACGTCGCGTGCCTCTCTTCAGCCATGAGGACATTTATTCTGCTGTGTTGTGACTAAAGGGACGGTATCTGAGATTGCTGTGTGAATGATCTCTTTAATCACTTCCCAGTGTTCATCTACAGACAATTCAATCCATTCTAATGGCCATTCGGAGTCAGACAAAAGCCTCTGCATTTCAGCATGGTCCTCCTTGCTATAACACAGGCATTGTCACGTAGAGTCCCACTGTAAGGACTCACGAAGAACAAGTCACCGCTTCCTAGTGGTGTCATGATCTGGGCCTTTTCGACGAGTATTTGATCACTAGCTAGGATGTAATCTAGTTTCGATGACTTTCCACTAGGTCCCCACCTAGTGTCGTCTCCAACATTCTCAGTCAGTCCTGCACTTCCAGTGGTTTGCAATAGGCTCAGGCCAAGATTTCCCCTAGCATACCCCGGGAGTTGAGATCCCCAGCTTTGGTGATTTGGTCATAGCCCAAGTCCCGTATACCTGTGATGGTTCTGCGCAGTATGTGGTTGTGCCCTGCCCCACAGGTGGGTGGTCGGTAGATGCCACCCAGTAAAGATTTGGTGTGGCCTACGGTGAAATGATGGCATATGGAGTCTGGAAGTTCAGTAAGTTGTAGGTCTGTTGCACGTACATATTAAGCTGCTTGACAAAGTATGTAGCAACTCCCTGTTTCTTGTTATCCCTGTCTCTCCAGACCAAAACCATATCACTTATACTGATTTCGTTGTCGGTGATAGTGGGGTTAGCCAGGTTCCAGTAAAAATGATTATTTTAAGGTGTAGGTGTGACTGAAGGTTCCTAAGTTCATCTACTTTTCCTCTCATCCATCTTACATTGCTATATAGACAGCTGTCAGTGCGCCTCACAGCCTCAGCGTGTTGTGGGGTAGTTGACGTTACGCTGTCTGCTTGTAGGGGCCTTGGTATTGGGACTAGTTGGCCGATTCTGATGCAACCGGCCCGCTGTCGTTTTTTCCTTGGATTCGGATAGGACACTTGGGTGACACTGACTGTTATTCTCAGTACTGCATCTCTCTAGTGTCACTGAAGCTTGCGAACGTATTGAGACCTCAGTTTGCTGTCTCCTTATTGTTCGACGTCTGCCTCCGCAGCATCGGGTGTGTCACCCCATTTTACCCTTGGTCTTGTACCACCGTTGAAGTACTACAGCCAAATGTTCCTGGGAGTTGAGTTTTACTTTTAGCAGCCTTGGAAAGCTAATCAGTGTGGGATAAGCGGGTGAGGTAGCCGGAAAAGCGAGATTGCCCTAGAAGCAACAAGGGCCACCTGAGATGACAGCCATTTCCATGTGTGTTTTCGCAAGCGGTGCCAGTTTCCAGTTACGGAACACCGTGCATGACCGTAGAGGTAAAGGGCATCGGCTCTGGTGACTTCCTCACTATTTGCCTGTTAGCCCGAGGCCTATTATGCCCTATTCTGGTGTTGAAACTCCTGTCAATAGTTATTACTTGAGCCAGTAACAGTATTCCTACAGTCTCTGTCACTGTTGATGGAGGCGGCTTACCCTGAGGTGCCTGAACACCCCTGTACAGCCTGCACAATTTTGCTGCATTGATTTTCAGACCTAATTTATTGCACAGGCTGGACCACTGTTCCTGAACAAACAGTGCTCTTTGTTCAAGCAAACTATCGTTGCACACCGGTGTATTAAAGAGGACAAGGAACTTCAATCGACTGAACTCTGGCTTAGGTTTGGCTTTTGGCTGCTTGTCCTCCTTTGGAGGGATAATCACTTTAGATTTCATCAGGTTATGACTAGTCTTTGCTACACTGCGATGCTTGCTAGCGGATGCAAGTGGTGCTTTGGCAATGCCATCTTCCCCTGCTGTCGCAGGTGTGACATCGGGGGCCTTCCGCTGATGAAGATTGATATTTCCGGCCGGTTGGGCTGGGGTGTGATTCTCAAGGTTTTTACCAAGTTTTTGTGGTATGGTGTAATTGTGTGGAGCGCCGCATGAGACCAGGTCTAGACAGGAAGGTGGCGTGCTGTTTTCTTTATCTAGAGACACTGGGTGATACTGTGGTAGGGCGAAAAAGTGGGCAAATGTACCAGGACCATGGGCATGGGTTATTTTACATAAACTCATAATATGATTTGGTACCCCTTTGTCACAATGTCAGTGTACTCATCGTTTTCAAAAATTACATTCAAATGCTGAATCGGTTTTAGAAACGAAAACACTACAGGCCTGGCATTTGTCTCCTTTCTAGTCGAGGCTTTCGAGGTCTTATGACTTCTTGTGTGTTTCTTTTTTGTTTTGCCGTGTCACACACTGGATTTCAACGGATATAGCTGCAGCATCATGTCCACTTGTTTTCGGCCGTACCGTTTCAGAACAAGGAGATGTACACGGGTCTTTAGAACTGCTATGCGAGATGGAATTAATGTCCCTGAGTTATTGCCCCCTCTTACTTAAGCCCTTGAGACTATAGAATATGGTGTTTTAATGGTTTTTTCAAAGCTACTTTCAACCTCCATGATAACTGTTACTATAAATTATGCCCAATAGAACAAGAACAAAGAGATTGATAAAGTATAAGATTAGGAAAATAAAAGGTTTTCGACTTTGCCTAGTACGTTTCGGTCACTCAGATTGACAACAGTCATGTGACGGGCCAACAAGTCTTGTTCATGTAAACGAGTGAGGAAGATTCTGCTACAGATGCAGAACCTGAAGCTTTGGAATCAGTTCGAGACAGCTGAACGTACGACGCAGAAATATGCAATGGAAGTATATATATTTATTGCTATCTATGGCAGAATTTAATTCACCTGCTGGAAAGTTTTTGTTCCCTGAGCAGATAATTCACATAATAGATATTTTCTGGTTAGAGAGGAAAAGCACATGTTATGTGGCTGATGTGTGGAAGGCGTTCACCGACTGGTTCAAACTGAAAGTGAACAGCTCACCACTACCCAACCCAGAAAATATTTGAAGTGTACATT